AATGAGATTATGAGAGTTCCAACAGTTACCTAAACTAACCCCTAGAAGATCTTGAATTGAACCTTTTTTTCTGAGAACAACTGACTTTTAGCTTTCTCCATATTCTTCATTAAAAAGAAAATGTCCTTTTCCCTATCATTTTTTAAAATCATAATATTGAGTCTTAGAGATAACTAAGTTCTGGTTTTTAGGGTGAGGATCCTCCCTAGATTCATCATTAGTTTTAGAGAGTTTTACATGTTGATTTGATTGGGCTAATTTCTTAGTTTGATTAGGAAGAAGAAGAGTCTTTGAGCCACATTTTCTTAAAAGTTTGGGCTTACTAAGGTTACCCTTAACAGTTATATCCTTTCTATTCTCCAAGTTTTGGTTCCCTGTTACAGCTTCATGTTCATCAAACATGTCACAAATTTCACTAGCCACATTAACACCTAACACATCAAAACGAGATCTAGATTGAGAATCCTTGACTTTACCACTTGGGATAGGGGAGTTATTGTTCCTAAACATACTTGGTTTTCTTCTAATAGGCTTCTTGACTAACATCCAGGGGCCAAATTTGCCCTTAATTTCCCTAGATTGATCATCTTGACTAGTGGTGTGTAAAAATTGATTACTGGGCAAGTGTACCCGTTATCAGAGTAATATTATGAAAAATAGAGAACCAAGTGTCGTATCCACAGGGATTATTATTAAGAATTACTTCCTTAATTATGCAATTGTTAATGAATATGAGAAATAAATTTTTGTTGATAAAATTACTAAAAATAGAAGAATAATAAATTAAAAGGAACATATTTCTTATGATAATAAATTATAGAAAAGTATGACTAAAGGTATTTAATGGAAATAGACGAGTATCTAGATTGTAAATCCTCCTAAGTGTCCAAATAACTAAAATTCTTCTTCAACTACTTAGTTCCAAACCCTTATCGCTGCAGGAAATTCTGAATTAAATCAATACTTTTCTCAAGGATAATGATTCTTAATTCTCGGTTGATCAATCAGAATCTCTTTCTTAATTAATACCCCTAGGTTGCACTAAGTTCATTATGAATTCTATGATTAGGGTTAATCCTAATACAGAAAACTTACGTCTTTCTATCTCTAGAAAAATATTCAAGTCCTTTTAATTGAGCAATGTTAATTTCATGCAGGAATTTTACTCAAATTCAAACAAAAAAATAAGATGGAAGACAATTGATACTACTCAATTAAACCCAAGAGAAAAGAAAATGAAATAGCATTAGAAGAATTCCAGAAAATTTGGTCAATTAGGATTCATTACGTCTAGATACTCAAAGGAAAATTAGAACCTAAACATCTTGAAACTAAAATTACAAAAGAGATGAATTAAAACGCTTGATCCATCTTCCAGCCGTCTCTGAGTCTTTCTTCTCCTCCAAACAGTGTCCCCTAGGTTTCTGTGCCAAGTTCCCTTTTATATGAGTGGCCCAACTGCTCATCTTCTCACAAAAATTTAAATTCTGACGCACGTTAAAAGTACACGGCCATGTACTTTGATCGTGTACATCTCTGGTTTTGATAATACACTTCAATTGACGCGACCACTGAGATACACGCTCATATATACGGGCGTGTACTTGCCCATGTATATCTCTGGTTTTTTGTGTGTTTCAATTCCCAATATCTTTTAAGCTGTCACTTTTTTATCATTTTTCTTGAAATATGAATAAAATGAACTTAATAATAATAAATTCTCTCAATGAATAGCTCAAAAGTCTCAATTATCATTCATGAATTATAATGTAGGACCAAGTATAGAAAACATTCATCAACTAGATTGGGTATTCATTCTTGTGTCAATAGTTCCATATTCTTTTTCAACATTTTCATTTGTTAAAGACGCAGAAGCCTCTGCAACAGAAGGTTTGAAGTTTTGATTAGCATTAAAGTTCTCACTACATGAATCCATTCTGTGACCATATTTACCACAGGAAAAACAAATAAGATGTAATCCCTCATACTCAACCCTAAAATCATGTCCTAGGACTTTAAAGGAGGAGACAAGTTTTTGGTTGAGATCTAATTCTACACACATTCTGGCAAATTTTCTTCTAGAAACTAAGGATATGTGTGGGTCTATTTTTAACATGGTCCCTAAATAGATTCCTACTTGCCACAAAAAAAATTTATTGTAAAGTTCTAAAGGTAGATCAGGGATACGTATCCAAACTGCTATCTTTTTCAGGTTATATTCTTTCGGCCTAAATAGGGGTCTCCACCTCTGGACCAAGAGGTAATGATCCAAGATCAACCAAGGACCTTCAAACAGAGCAAATTCATAGTCGTCTAGATTATCAAACTTTACTAGGTAATAATTATTGTTTAGATCTAAGATAGTTAGGTTTCCATTCTTACCCCAAAGTGCCCCCAGTTTCTGATTTAAAAAATTATAACTTGTAGATTTCCCTAAAAGTTTTATTATTAAGGTAAATTTCCACGGTGAGCACCATTGCTCATAATCCTCAAGAGGGATTTTAATCTTAGGGCATAAATCCTGAACATCGTTGACAGTTAAAGCATTCACCTCATCTTCTAAGGGAATATCTAAATCTTCCATCACAGATCTAAGTATTTTATCATTACCTAGTTCCATTATTATGTCTTTTGCTGCAAGAACCTTATCCTTATAAGACATATGAGTAGGAGAACATGGATTAGAAAGAACCTGATTGGTGAGCAAAACAGGGCGCCGATCTTCTTTGCATGTCGTGAGTAAAGGCCATATGAGGATCCATAGCCATCACTTTAACTTTCTTCGTACTACGGGTCATGAGATCTACCTCTTCTGTAGAGCGCTTCTCAGCCTCTGACCTCGCCATAAGTACCTCTTTCATGCGTCGAGATAAATGAGGGCAAGAACCCTCATTAGCTTCAGACAACGCCTCTGATGTGGTCGTTTCTGTCGCGATGGCAGATTAGAGAAAAAAGGAAAAAAAACGGGTAAGGAACCCTACCAAAAGAAAAGAGGGATGAGTCTCTCTCCACTTGGACAAGATAGCATCTTGAACACAATTTTCTATTTACTGTTCGATTCTCAAATTATGATGATGTAACAGAAAAAGTATGAGTATTTTTTTAAAACACTAATATTGAGACAAATAATATAGTACCTGTCTATTAATTTTGATAAAGCATAAATGGAAATCAACTTATAGACTTATGATATCTAAATTAAAAATATTATATAAATGAGATATTAGTGAAAATATTAAAAATATTTTTTTGATTAAAAAAGATTATTAATGTTCTTTCCTTAAAATATTTAACTTTTATTCTTTAATGTAATTTTTAATAATAATGTTTTCTTTATTAATTTCTTCACCCGTACAATAGACTATAAAAGTCACTTGCCTTCATCTTTTGGGAATTTTCATGAGTGCTCAGACCTGATAAGGCATCTTTGATAATGTGAAGATATGAGTTTGGCGGTTAAATGCCCTGACTCGCAAACCAACTAACTGGAGTGCTGATGATACCCTTTGAAGAAGTCAGATATCTTCGCAGGTTCTGTGGCACTGAATGGGAGGCCATGATTCATAATAAATGCGCAAATTAAGGTTTCTCTTGTGTTGCTTAGCTTTGTGGTTTGCTTTCAAGTTTTGAGAGCAAGCTTTTATATGTATGTAGGAAGGCTTTGATTGGGTTCAAGTAACACCGTTGTTTCGTTTTGTTAACATACATTTTTATTTGAATTTGGATGTTCTTATTTGAGTTGAGGAAGATTAATGTAATGTAAAAATAGAAAGATAATAGAAGTGTAAAGTTACTAAACCTTGAAAGAAGGTCAAAGAATAATGTCAACTCCACATTTATTTTTGAGGTGTATGATATTGAAAGAAAAGAAAGATAAAAATAAAAAATATGATACAATAAAAGTACTTATAATTAGGGGAGGTAATGATTAATGAAGATTCCTTTGTAGGAACAGGGAATTGGAAGGCGTATGAAACCCAGCGTGATTCATCCACGCTATTCTATGAATAAGAGGTGATGCACTAATCTAATTTATGAGATTGATCTGCGTAAGCTATGGCAGCTACGTTGGTGCTAATTGATGGATAAAGTTTCTTCCAATTTTAGCAACCCAAGTACAACAAAGGTGCATCTACAACTACACAAAGGTGGGGGACAGGGATCCCCTGCAGTTTAGATCCAACGGCTCAAACTTTTTTATAAGCGTTCATAATTTTGCTTTTATATTAAATAAAAATTTTGAACACTTGAGATCATCAGTGCTCGGAAACTTTCAATTGCAGACATCCTTACTCTATTAAAGCCAAGGTGGGAATGCATGAGTTTCCAAAATATCTAGCTCCTTTTATTCAAAGACAATGATGCATCCCAATGTTGACTTTAAAGTAACACTAGAAATATGACATTCGTGTGAAAACAGCATCGAGTTTCTACGAAAGCATCATTTTCTATTTTAACAATGAAATTAAATACCTAAAAGAAACTTGAAACAGATGTAATCAAATTAAATAATGGGTAATTGTTGAGTTGAAATTTATGCTTCCATGCTTTAACCGGGCTACCTGCATGGACTTGGATTAGTTAGCTCTGAGCCACACCCTTGTTGATAGCAATATAAATAATAAATGATAGTTCTTTTGAAATTATTGAAGTCTGACTAGTTAAATAATTGAGCCCATATATTTTACTAAACAAATAAATTTAAGCTTAAGTTTATATTTAATTGTATGAATTTTTAGTTTTATAAAATATTTATTTTAATTCTTAACATTATATAGATTTTTCATTTTAGTGTTCTTTTATTTTTTAAATAGCATTTTGTATTAAAAAGAATTAAGACAACGTTTAGTGCAATAAATGTTTTAATATTTTTGAAACAATGTCACGGAAACTTTTACTTTCATGTTCGTGAGAAGAGAATAAAAATATTTCTGAAGGATAAAAGATTCTTCAAAATGTTAATTTGTGAGTCAGTGAAAATAATATTTTCTCACCTTCATATATAGGAACAAAACTTTTTTGTGGTACATAATTGACTATAAATTTACTACTTTTTTTTTTTTTTTTTGCAATTGATCGTAAACATGTTATTCCAAGCAAAGTTAGATAATACCAAATAAATTTTACAATTTTTTAGGGAAATTTATTTTTAGGTATCTTGTTTCCAAAAAAGTTCTTTATTTAGGAATGAGAGTTTTTCTATATGAAACACTACCAAATGAGAATGAGAAGTTATAAAATTGAGAATTAAACTGAAAATTTTATAAAATAAAATATTATAGCGATAGAAAAATACAATTTCAGAAATTAAAAGTTAAATTTGATGAAAATTTTTATAACACAATTTTTAATGCTTAATGTAAAGTATGATATTAGCAATTTAAACTCAATTGGTTTTATTTAAGTTAAGAGTTAGTTCATATTACATATAGGACATCAGGTTTTACATAAATATATAGCTTTTGAGTTTAATTTTAATATTTAATACAATTTAACAGTCAATATTCATCCGTTTTCCTAAATATCCTGTTTGAAAGAGATTTTTAGATTTTTATTCTACTTAATAATTTTTTAAAATATTAAATTAATAAATTCAACGATTAAATCACGATAAAATTATGTCAAAGTTTAGATAAATCAAAAAGTATTTATAGGCACACAATGTTATAACTAACGTTTACTTTTTCTTTTTTTTTTTGAAAAACTATATTATACACTAATTTAAAGTTGATGAAGTATCAAGAAGTTTTAAAATTATATAAAATTTTATAGAATTGATTTAATTAACGAGAACACTAAAACCGTTTGAATATTTTTATTTTTACTTTTAGGAAAACCGTTTCAATTAGAGAAACTCACCGTTAACTAAAACTGCTCCATCAACTGTTGTTTTTGAGACTTAACAGTGCTCAAATGAAGACTGCAGAATGCCGATGGTGAGAAGAGTCGATAGCAGAAAGTATCTCTCTAATCATCAATCTATTTTATGTTGACTTAGAAAAAGAGTGAGCAAAAATCAACCGAGAAATTGAGTAGATGGTAACAACCATAAGTCACGTAAGCAGTCTTCTATGTTTCTTTCTTTCTTTTTGGTAATAAAATAATAATAATAGTAACTAGTAAAGGACCAAAGCACCCACGCAGACCGAGTTTTGAAAATTCTATGGTTCCTCTCTTCATTCGAACTCTTCAATAAAATCATGCCTCGGAAGAACATGGGCCTATCATCAACCAATAATCACTTATCTAGCTGAAGTGGACTTGGTCAGCATCCTTATTCATCACACTATACACTGACCATATACTGGTCTTAGCTGAAAAACTCGCTTTCTCAGTCAAACTTTGACATTCAACCCTCCAATACTCCTTCCTATCATTTGCTCCCTTATTTGCAACTCAAAAAGGAAGCGCTAGTAGTACCCTTTAAATACAAGACCTTCAACTTCTTCATTCAGCAAAAAATCACCTTAGCTCACTAAGATTTGCTGCTTTAGACTCGCTCCTGCTTTCTCTTGTCTGCTCCAACATCAAACCATTCTATCTTAAGAAACCCATTTGAAATTTCAAGTCTCGTTCTGGCTATTTCCATGTTCACAGCTTACTATACTTCACCAATTAAAGGGTCTCCTAAACTTCTTCAATTTTCAACTCTGCTGCAGAGTAAGAAACTATTGGTTTTAGATACAAGTGCATTTCCAGAGTAGAAATGATGCTCTCGAGCATGAGATAGATACCAAGCACCATTGTCTTCAGTCAATTCTTATAAACAATACAAAATGGAGAATGAGTGGAACTGGGAGCAGAACACACTCATCAATGAGCTAATTCAGGGGATGGAGGTGGCAAGGAAGTTGAAGGCAGACTTGAGGGAACCGTATTCGGTTGAAACTAGAGATTTGCTGGTGCAGAGGATATTATCTTCTTATGAAAAGGCTCTGCTTATTTTAAGATACAATGCATCAACTTCCAAGTTGCAGTCTATGAATCAAGCAACAGCAACTTTGTTACCAGAGTCCCCAATATCTGTCAATGAAAGTCCTCAGAGGGAAGATGTTGATGGGGTAAAAGAAATGAAGGATCACCAGGAAATTAAACACGATTCAAAGAAAAGGTGAATTTTATTAGACAGATTTGGCAGCAGGTTTCTGCCACAGAAATATCAGCTATGTCTGGTTATGCTGAAGTTCCTAATAGTTTTTTTTTTTTTAAATGATTTCAGAAAGATAATGCCCAAATGGATGGACCAAGTAAGAGTCAGCTGTGAGAGTGGTCTTGAAGGATCGCATGAAGATGGCTACAACTGGAGAAAATATGGTCAAAAAGACATCCTCGGTGCCAAATATCCCAGGTGAGGGGACTTCCCTCAATCCTGCTTTAGAAAAGAATCACAAGAATTTTTAATGTTAATAAAATTGCCTTTACCTAATCAACAACTATTGTGACATTTGCAGAAGTTACTACAGGTGCACCTTCCGCAACACTCAGGGCTGTTGGGCCACAAAGCAAGTACAGAGATCAGATGAAGATCCCACCATCTTTGACATAACTTACAGAGGAAAGCATACCTGTTCTCAGGGAAACAATGCCATTCTGGCACCTGAGTCACCAGACAAACAAGAGAAAGCACAAAGTTATAATACTGATATTCACAATGCACATCCATCACAAGAAAACCTTACAAGGTTCAGAAACATCTTGGCTGTCGACACGAATAAACAGGAAAATGGAGAAATGGCATATCCTTTTACTTTCCCTTCAGCTTCATTTGGATGCATGACACAAGACAACCACAGCTTGATTCCTTCGGCCCTAGAGAACGAGTCCTTCTTGAGCAGCCTATACCAAACACACCTGTTAGCTCCAACAACACCAGAATCAAACTATTTCCCATCTCCAACTTTCCAGATGAATGAGTTTGATGGGATCTATAACAAGCCACATTTGGAATCAGATATCAACGAGATCATTTCCACCAACACATCAGCAACCAATTCTCCGATTCCCGATTTCAATTTCTCACTTGATCCAGCGGAAATTGATCCGAATTTCCCCTTTAATACCCCAGGATTTTTCTGCTGATTGGACAACTTCAGATAGCAGTAGAATTGTGGAATAATAAATCAGCAATGGTAGCACTTATAATGTCTTTGTAGTTAATATTAGAATTACAATTTTGGCACTGTTTAACAGTATCTACTTTCAGCAATGGTGCGCCAAATTTGTATCGGCACATCCTACAAGCCACCCCTTTAGTAGAAGAGCACAGCAGTCACAAAGAGTAACTAACAAATTCAAATTAAGTTAGAAGATTACATCAACTCAAAAAAAGAAAAAAAAAAACTATCAAAAGAGAGTTTTTAGAATTTAGAAAACAACATTGAAATTTGAAGGGCAAGCCATTGTTAACAAATTGCACACGAAAATTAGATCTTCTGACCAAAGCTTTGTAAGATTTCATTCCAATTGACGAATTACCACACAAAATCCAGCACTTAAACCCGTTTTATTTACAAAACAGCCCAGAGGCTGCATTGATAAAATACTACCAACAGTGACAATAGAAAAACATCAAATATCAAACCTGCATCCCCTCCTCTTCCTCGTTAGGAGTGGATTATATATTTTCATTTTGTTTTGAATTTTTTCCAACTTTCCTGAGACCCTCTCTCAGACCCATCACAATGAACAAGTTAGTGAGAGTGAGAAGCGACTCAGCCCCACCATGCAACCAATCCACATTAGACAAAGAAGTCCCATACTGCACCTTCGCTGTCATAACATCCAAACACAAATCACATATTCATTACCTATGCCTATCAAATTGGACTTCAATTTCCAGCAAGTTAGTAAAACTCACCATAAATCCCAGCTGGTACTGCTCAGTCGTGCCATAAAAGCAAGTTTCAAAACAGAGCAAATCAGCCAAGTTTATATTTTTACGTATCTAGTAAAAGAATTGCAGCAAAAGAAAAGAGAGGAGAAAAACTGACTTGTTGCCCCAACAAATGCAAGCAAAAAGTAGAAGCCGAAGAGAGTAAGGTTTGGAGCAGTCTTGGATTTGGTTATGAAGTACAAGAAAGCGATGTAGGGAAACAAGGAAAACGCAAATAGCTGAGGAGCAATGCTTTCTGAATCAATGGTGGGTGCCCATGCATCAACCGCTAATGGCAATGGCAACCCACACACAATCCCCCTTCTTTTTCTGTGACTCTTCAATTCCCTCCTTCTTCTGAGGTTTACTGCATAGTAATGTTGCACTTCCACAAAGCTTGTTGAAGGGTTAATAAAATTGGGGGTTTTACAGAGGGACACAAGGCCCAAGTTGATAGTTGCACCTCCCATTTCACAGTTCTTCGATCGTCCCTCAACTTTCTCGTAACAATCTCATCTCTTGATGCAACATTTCGACCGTTCAATTTCTCACGCTGTTACCCAAACGGGCTGGGCCCTTATGGACCACTCGAGAGTCAAGACTATTTGATTAATACAGTGGCCCAATTACGTCAGAAAAAGAAAGCCAAGGTTGTGGAAAGACAGTATGATTGTGAGTAAAGTTAGAGGTTTATTATTATTATTATTATTATTATTATTATTATTATTATGAAATTAAGTATAGTTAAAGGCGAGTCTTGGGTATATTCATTCTCAGCTGTCTACATGAGTTGACATCCATAAATGATTCAACTTATAGTAAATCAGGTTGGTTGTGTATTAAACAAATCAAATTCTAAGTTCTGTATGAACAGCGATCTATATTTATTGTGTGTACGGCTTATGTCAGGTTTACTGTATAAGTGTGACATTTGGTTTACAATTTGGTTCAGCTAAAACCATGTGTTGTTTGAATTAATTAAATTGTCCACTATGACCCGTTAACCTAGCTAAAACAAATAGGGATCCTGATTTTTTTTTAATGCGAATATGAGGGTTATGTTGCTTTATTTTTGTTTAAATAATTTTTTTATTTAAATAAAAATATAAAAACACAAAAATATGAGAGTCATATAACAAGAGAAAATCCTTTTTCAACAAGTTATCGTATCACAGCTGTTCAATCTAACCGAAGGTACGACTGTCAAAGTTCTAATATTGTGTTTAGTTTAACCAGTTCTCGTATTATTGTGTGTTTTTTTTTTTTTATTATTGTATAGAAGTATTTATTGCTGCATCTATATCTATAATATTTTAAATTAAACTTTTTCCATTACTGCTAATATAGAATTCATGTACGTTCCATGTCGTCGTTACAGAAAGGCACCCATTGCCCACCGACAAAGTGGTAATTAATAAACCAACCTACCCTCATTGTGATTATGCATTGTGACTCTCAAGATGGATTTGAATTTTCTTATATTATTGAATGGTTATGTTAAAAATTTGCAACTTTTATTAATTTTAATTAATGAAGTTTATTATTAATTAACATAGGCTTTCGTTTGATAAAAATTATCCCTATTTTTTTAACACGATTGCATCATATTACTTATTAACATGAAAGCATCTAAATTTTTCTAGTTTCCTCAACTTTATTCATACCTGATAGAGTTAGACCAGTTTATTAAAAGATAAATATTTTAAATTTTTCATCCATAATTTATGTAATAAAGTTAATATTAAATTTTGACATACATGTTTTGAAATCAAAATTTTAATTTTAATTAAAAATACATATAATACGATACTTAAATTTTATCCTTTATTAACCTTAGTATCTGTCAACAACATGAGCGAATTGTTTATTTGTTAAAACAATTGAGATATTTAACACGAAGCAAAATATACAAAAATAATAAAATCAGGACGCGATAAAGTGAAAAGCGCATAGAAGTAAAAGAAAACATTAAAACTAAATAGTTGTTGACACCAAAAACATTGAGCTTAATTGATATACGGTAGATTTGCATTCTTTCAATCGAACAATTGTAGTTAGCAAACTTCCACTTAAAATATTTTGAGAGTTAAGAACTTATAAAAGGAACATGATCTTAATCAATATTGAATTGTATTTGGGTTCAGTTATTTTGGTTAGTTGAGCTGATATAATCCATTGACTATATTACGGTAAGAAATTCAAACCTTAATAAAAATATCAAGATTATGTGTATGAAAATCAAAAATTCATTTTTCTAACACACGGCATTGCTATTATTAAAAAGGAAATTGTATTTATATAAAAATTATGTACAAAATATGATACAATAAAGAGGAATAATAAAAAAAATTGTACAAAGAATATACCTCTAATTAAAATAGGAAGCTAGAGTACACTCTGAAGTTTAATTCAAATCAACTACCTCAAGGAAAAAATAATTAGACACCCCAAGAAATCTTTTATTTTGAATTCTTGTGAATGCGTATGTGTAATAAATAAACCGTGCTACCGTGTAATAAAGATGTGACGAAGTATTGATTATTAATTAAATTTGAAGGAATTTTTAAAAAAATCATTAAATGCAAAGTATTTTCAAAATATAAAAGGGAAAAGAAATTGATTTAAATGTTTAATACTTGTCTTTTAAAAAATATATATTTTTTTTCAGATCCATTACCACGTCTGCGATTATTATCGTCAAGTTTTAGTTTTAAAAATTAAAATCACTGTTATCTCAACAATTACAAACTGGTTGATGTCCAGGTAAAGGTAAGTTTATAAAGAGGGAATGTGAAATCAGGTTTCAGTAAAGTTTATATACATATATCTTTATAATATAAAGCGAGTAAGTGAACTGATCGTAATTATATTTTTTTCTTTTACCAATTCTTTTTTGATTCTTACTAATGCATTCACCGATTACAGAAGTCCAAACCTTCGTAGTTGAAAAACCACTTCGACCGCGAGCCATTGGCCACAAATGGATGCACCATCCCCGGCAGGACCACCCATTTATCTAATCTAAATTAAAACTATACAAATCATTTCGTCAAACATAATTGTCAAGTTACATATTCCCACACGATCCGAGGATTCAACGTTGCCATGTAAAATAAAAATTAAGGAATTGCATCGTGAATCATTAAAAAACATATAATAAAATGAGAAACCCACTGTACATGTGCTGATTCCTATGTTATGACATGCAATAACAAAAATTATTATTATCATCTAAAGTCTAAGCCATTTATGTTAAGCACACGAAACACCAATGGTGGGCGTTGCCGTAAAACGCTCGGAAGCTGACTTTCTGACGAAGGAAGTTATCTCCGGCGAAAACCCACCGATCTCAATCTCTGGAAGTTCGGGGATTGTGGAGAGAGCGGGCTCAGACTTATCATAAACCACGTAGAAACGATCTTTGGAATATTTCTCAGCCACTTGAAAACTACTATCACTATGGCTACTACTAGAAATCCTTAATTTGTTGCCGGACTTGAAAACAAAGCGAAGAAGTTTCTGGAAGGGTCGAGAGATCTTGAAAGTCTTGTTGTTGTTGTTGCTGGAGAGAGGTTGAGGTTGAGGTTGAGGTTGAAGTGAGAGATAACGTTCAGGTACATGAGGCATGGAAAGGGTTCTATTTATAGGGGAATTAGCTATTGCTGAGTCTAATTGGCGTTTGAAGGAGTTGAGCTCGTAGGAATCATATAGCGTGCTACCACAATCCCACATATTTCTTTTATTTGATGAAGAGGAACACCTTGGCACCTTTGAAAATTGCTTATGCTTGTCTTTTACGGATTTCTCCATGTTTGATATAAGTAGCTGAGCTATTTGTACCCTACAGAGCTTGTGATGAAAACAGTGACTTCTTAATTTTCTTAAGGGTAATACCATATAGGAGGAGGAGATTTGAGAGAGATGGATGGGGCATATAGATGACTAAACAGAGAAGAGAGTTAGAGAGAGTGACGTTTGATCACTTTTGTGTGATGGTTTCTGAAGGATCAAACGCGTTAGTTATGACTTTGTGACTTGAAAACTGAAAAGTGTATGTTTATAAGGGTTTCACGTCCCGCAGATATTGACCACCATTACCATTAAATCCGTGAGGGAACTTCTCGATCATTTTTCCATTTGGGATGCCAGCACTATTATGTTGTGCTAGCTGCTTGCTTAATATTGGGCAAATGTATATTAAAGTACAGGTAAGCTTCATATCTAGAAAAACTTCTTCTATTAAAAAAAGATCGTGAATTTAATTAATTGGAGGATTCAAAACAATTAAAAATAAAGATACATAAATGAGAAGAAGTGGGAAAAGGTAGGACACTGAGACGTGGAATAAAAGTGGCCCCTTGAATCATGTGTGTGTACAATGATCGTATGTACCCATTCACACACACACTTGGCTAAGTGCGATGAGACACAATCATGAAGTAAAGGTTTGAGTTAGCTTAATTAATCGTCCATTTAATTATATTAAATTAATAATCATGTGGATGTGGTGGCCTTGCTAATACATTAAATCAGGTGCTTCTCCATGAAGACCGTAATAGTTGATCGCTTTTATAAACCATAATTATTTTCTTATATATATACGCCGATGGTATCGTTGCAGGATTTCAACGATGCACTGTTTTTTGTGCCTCTCATTCTTCAATTAATAAACGTAAAAGAATGGCAAATCATGAGTTGTATTCTTTTGTTCATTATATTGAAACACAAATTGTTCTACACTTGTGTAATAATGCATTTTCATGATAACTTGGTTGGAATTGTTTGCTAAAATTTGTTGGAATTAGTTTGTTTAAATGTATTAAATTAATACATAAACTTTAATTATTCACCGTTATACTTTTTAACTAAGATTACCTGCCGGTAGATTTGTGTAGTTGGAAGCTGATATGTACAACGTAACAACTAAGGAAGCTGGAATACGCAATTGAGGAAAGTGGAAAGATATAAAAGTCATGGTTATCAGTTTCCTGTTTTACACATTCACACTTTAGACAGAGACAGTTCAAAGTGGCTGATCTACTCGTGATAATTATGGCATGGAATAGTATAACTTTAATTGGAAGTTTGACTCGGATAGATAAGCCTGAATAATATAACTTTGAGTTAATCGTATTCATCTGGTCACTTGTTCATTGATTATATACAAGACAAAACAAGATCCACGATATGAATTAATTATTGGATATTGTTCATTCTATATACATCTAAAGAATGTTCCCACGATCTATTCATTTGTTGAAATATTCAGATTTTAATTACTTCAAATAGCTGCAAAAGCTAAGTAAAGTATTTTTGTGGACATATACAGCTAAGTTTTATTTCCTAACGAGGGTGTAGACAAGAAAGTATAGTGAAGCTGAATATTTAAAATTTAAGAATGACTTGTGAGGAAATTGAGAAAATGTTATCGATTTAACTTATGCATTGAAATAATTTAATTTTAAAGTTAAACTTTGACATATTTAAAAAATATATAACTCAATTTTTCATTTAATTTTCATATATTGCTAATGTAAAAGATTTTATACTGTCATCTTGTTAGAAATCATTCTATACGAGACTTTTAAAATAATTATTACAAGAATTAATAGTTTTTAGTTATGTGATATAATCTATAGTTGAATGATAATATAATTTTTTTACAAAGTCATTTATGATTTATTTTTATAACTTTATGAATTTAATATTTAACAAATGTTTTTATGCTAAAAAGTAATATTAAAAATTTTTTGTCCATGAAAGATAACTTAAAAATAAAAGGGTGAATTCTCTAATGATAGAGAGACGGTAGGAATTCTTAAAGAAGGTTGATGATTACTCAATTAAAGAATAACTACTTTTGAAAATTAGAATTAATAAGTGAAAGAAAAACTAAATAAAATTACAACTATTTTTATGATACATATATAAAGTTTTAATTAGCCATGAAGGTGCTCAGTATATCATTAGCCATGATTTTATTTTATGTTCTAAGGGGTAAGTATATCATGGGCTCAGATACATAAAGGTACATATTAAAGAAAAAAAACATTTGTCTTTAAATTTTATATAAATAAAAAATATATTTTTCAATATTAAATTTTTTTTTTTAATTCCATAATCGATGTGCTAACATGTGGACAAAACTTGAAAGAGAAAGGACTCTTTGATTTTTTTTTTAAATTTTGTTTACTATTTTTTAATAATCATAACAAATTTTTTTTCATGTTCTGAAGAACCAAAAGTACAACCCATACAACATTAACCTAAACTCCAGTTGTTGCTTGCTATGGAACTTACCGATTACAAGTTCTTACGTGCTGATCTTAGTAATTATAGCATCAGCACAACACATATGCTGGGGACAGTGTTTTCTATCTTTCTGCTGTCACCCATTTTACAAATGGAAATAACTTTTTGTGGTATTCCTTATCCTTTCGCCCCTGATTTATGCAAACATTTGCTTAATCCACAACATCACTGCCAAACAGCTTAAATTGATGGGCATCAAGAACCAATTTCCTTATGGAAGAGAATGCACCCATGATTCCTGCACCCGAGAATATCACCATAATTGAGATGTTGATCCAATATATTAAGGATGATTTTGGAGGCTTGTATGTCATGTTGTAGAGCAGCATAGGCAGAACGAAATCCAAAGGTATGAAACCAATTGCACCAACCACACCATTGATGTCTCCAAAAAATGGCAGCATAGCTGCCAAAAACCCACAGAATATCATGTAAATTGTTCGAAGAATTATGCGAGGAATAAGATTTCTTTTCGAAAATATCCCCTGCCTCACATCAGCTGATTTCTTTTCCATTATCTCATAAGCAACTTGAGAATAAACCTGTGATATGTTAGGACAAACTTTATTCATAGTTATTACCAATAAATAAACACATGGTCTTGCTAACCAATGTTAACACTAACTAAAGAATTAATAAATAGATAGTTTATTAGGATGGATTGAAAATTTGGATGAGAGAACATTGATCATACTTTCTAATAAAAACATTTTTTATTTCTTAACCAGTTACCTAAAACACTGTCTAACATTTGTTATAAATAAATAAATATTATTCTTGCTCATGGTCCAAAGGAACAAAAAGGAAAATGAAATCCTTCACATGACAAAACTTAATAATAAGAGAGAAGTTGGCGAGTTTACGAGGCCAATGGCAAAGAGCTGAAGAAGAACAAAGATGATTGCAAGTCCAAGGACCCAAGTTGGAGCCAAAGAAGGGGCATCATCTGGCAGCAGACTCTTCAAAATGTTTGAGTTGGATTTGTTTCCAAATACCCAATATCCAGAAACTGCAGCAGAGTAGAAAGTCACTAAAATTACAGAATAACACATCATAAGGCCTTTTACCATCTTCCCAGTGGCAGGGGGCGCTAGAGTTGCCTGTATTCATAATCACATGGTCAATTTAAGTTCATCAAAATAAAGTATTAGAAATTAGAAATAGGAACACTGAGGTACTTGTATTTCGGGTAATATGCCATTCCCAAATATTGCTGCAATTATGGAGATGGAAGTGAATGCGCTGAAGGCCCTTGCAGACTTCTTAGGTTCCAAGGAATAGTCCCTTGGAGGGGCATTTCTGGAAGTACCTGCAAAATTATTGTTTGCTTAAATCATTGGATGTTTTCTAGTATTTTTAATTGAACTATAGGTACCAAACTATGACTATTTGAACATAAAAGTATTGACTACATTAATCCTTGAGTTAAGCTTGTGAAAAATGAAAAATAAACTTTTAGCATTAGTCAAGGTGTTAACTTCCAATTGTACTTTTATTGTCTAATTAGCAGCAATTTCTGATTTGTCACCAAGCAAAGGATCCTTGCTCAAGGACTAGACTTCAATGTACGGCTACTGCACAAATTGCAATTGTGTGTACACTAAATGACATTTAGAATGTATTTCTGATAAACAATTTAATTAAACAAATATTCAACAGGAACTTATTATATAAGAGTTTATTATAGATGAATTAAAAGGAAATTATTTTGTTAAGTTTCTTTTTTAAAACTTTTGAAATAAACTATAAAAGAACTCATAAATAAGCTACTTAATAAGTTTCATATAAGCTTTGTGGTGGCAAAATGGGTGATTGTTTGTAGTTAAAATATAATGAGTTGGTAATATACCTGCATGGATACAGGCACCAACCACCAGGACCGTGTAGCCAAGGCTGAGAAGCAGCGAACACAAGTTGATGTGTCGCAAGGAATGGAAAGAAGGAAGCTGAGACAAAACTATCATCACAACTGTCACCATTGCTATAAACTCGTACAATTTCAGGGGTCCATGAGGTGAAATATTGGAGTACATGATCTTCCATAATAGAACAAAAAGCAAAAAACAAATAATTAATTTCTCAGAGTAAAAATTAAAAAATAAAATATTGTAGCCAAGGCCATTTACTTGGCACTAATATTTAATATTCTAAATCATTAGATTCTTAAACAATTCTGCAGCAAAAGCAAAATAAATGTATGATATTTTGGCAATATAAACTGTCCAAAGGACTTCAAATCTGAATTCCACATACTCCCGCAATAAATTCTAGCTTTGACTATCTTCAAGCATAAGATAAAAACAAAAAGAATCAAAGTTAATGTATATCCTTACAATTTCATCCAGGACGCTTGAAATTTTGCAATTGTTTTAAGGCTTTTAATTTAAATTTGTATTTGAGATTATGTGTTATTATTATCATTCTCATAATGTTACCTTATTCTAAATTACTAAATATAATTATTTTATTTGAATGTGTAGTTATTTTGAATTAATAAATAAATCGTTAGTGAATATGTTTGGCAATCTTTTTTTACATAATAATAAAGTATTAAAACTTCCTTTCTTCCAAAAACATTTAAACCTAATCCAAAAATGGCCCAAATGATTATTATAAACTTATCCTTTCATGCCAAAAAAGTCAAATCATTTGAGTGCAAACTCTCCCTCTTGAACCAAAATTTCTACGTAGAATGCGTGACCCAACAACACACAATTACCTTTGCACCATACTAATCCTTAGCCTAGCTTGCGGAAAGCGTCCAATCATTTGATATTGATTTTGAATTCTATCATTGTTTTCTTTTTTCACAACACTCCACCATTTTCACATTGACATACCCTCTTGGCCATTTTATGTTTGTAACCAGTTCTCACTCGCTACTACAACTCATCAATTTGGCTATATTAGATTTTAAGTTTAAAATTTTGTATACGTGAAAATTTTGTTGCAAATAAATTCTGAGTGGAAATTTCCCTAACTACTCAATTTCTAAACACTTTACAAGGTACCTACTTATTTGTGCTTTAAAGTTTGGATCAGTTCAACAACGTGCAAGTTAAGAATACTTCAAAAACATTCCAAATGGTTACGGCTTGTATAGAAGAATTTCAATTATCAACCACCCTATTAACAAGTGGAAAATATTAATCATTGATGGGAGCAAACGAAATTCAGAATCACAATATAATAACAGAGCGTAGTTGATTATCCAGAGTGATTATGAGCATAAATGCTAGAATTTTAGGGAGATGCTTTCATTGATGTCATTATCATAGCAAGTCTTTATATTTTCATTATGGCTCTTGATTGGAAAATGACAGGAAATCAACCACAAATGAAGCAAAAACAAGAAAGAGTGGTACAAATTTAATAGATAAGAATAATAAATATTCAAGTGCTGAGCAAACCTCAATGCATTCTGCTGCAAGCAAGATTGCCCCTACTCCAACTCCAGTGTTGATTGCCGTTTGAATAAAGATGACAAAATAGAACATCCTTCCCGACCCTATAATAAACGACGGCAACAACGCTGGGTCACACACATCTTACCAATTTCAAAGAGTGGATCTTTTCTTGCTAATCAAAAGGTCATTAGGTCATGTGCATAACATATCATGCACATAGCTTGTCATGTTATATGAAAAGGAAATGTTATATTAAGTTGAAATATTGTGTTTTTTTTTTTATCAGAGAACAATAACAGTCTCCTAAAAAACCTTATTAATTTATGTTCTATTTTTTATTTTATACAAAATAAAAATTGTCTCAGTAAAGATAGCTAGCAATTAGACAAATCTGAGCTTCAAAATGTGTAATGTTTTGCACATTATATTCTAGTAAAAGTCTGTAGTTAGAAATTAGTCTTTAAATACTTAGAGAACACATATAATAATAATAATAAAAAATAGCTAGCAAGCATGAAACACTTATAAGACACCACAACAAACATTAATATGACCATTTTTGAAAAATTATAAAAAACACCATGACTAAAATATAATGTGAAAATTAATATAATATTAATCTAAAACAGAAATTTCAAATTAAAATAAATTTATATTTCATTAATGAGTTTCAATTGTTTCAAGTATAATAAAATATTTGTCATATTATTATTCCTGCAAATATTTATAGAAAAGTTTTAAAATAATTAAAAAATATTGGTTAAAAGTATTTTAAAATATGAGATATTTCATGATAATTATTTTGAAGGAAAATATTCCATGGCCGTTAAAAATTGTACAAGGTGTGGTCAGTGGTTCTTCCATCTAATGGCCCTTATTTAATTTTAAGTTTTTATAGTTGGACAATTTTAATCGCTACAGCGTTATAGATAATAAGAAGTTGTATAGAATATTTTTTATTAAAATTATTAATTCAATAAATTAACATTATAAAATGTTACAATTTTTAATAAAAATATGTAAAACGTTAGACAAATAAAAAAAATGTTTATAATTGATGATAAAGTTGCGGTCAGTTTGGGAATCAGAATTGTTTGTAATTGCTTTGCAGCTCAAATCCCATTTTGAAATTTGAAATACCGTTGTTGGCAGGTCAATAGTCACTAGTTAATGATGGAGTAGACTGTAGACTTGTCTTGTATGCAGAATAATTTATAACTTCAATTTTATAAAAGATAAGAAAAAAAATGTTTGAAAATTGTTGTTTGAGTTGAGCTTCCACTTTTATTTTATACAGAAAATTCAATCTTATCCAAAAAATATATATCTTAGCAAAACTATTATGAGAAGCAGCCACAAATGCGGGCCACATAATTTGTTAGCATAGCGGAAGTAAATTAAGCAGATAATGCACCAGCTAACAGGGGAAGCAAGTTCCAGGAAGATTGGTTTCAAAACATTGTTTTGTCTTTAAAAATTACAACAAAAAATTGATTATGTTTTTAGTTTAATTTTTATTTTTACTATTAAATTCTCTATTTTTTTTATTATTACGAATTATGCCTATTATTAATCATCTTAAATCAAAATTATTAAAACATATTTCTATCTAAAATATCTTCATAAAACAAACTTATGTAATTATTTTTAACCATTTTCTACTTAAAAAGGCAAATTTATTAATTATATTTCACATATAATTAGGGAAAGTTATATTTAAAAAATTTAAATTTTGTATTTCAAAAAATATTTTTAATTTAATCACTTTTTTACTTTTAAATTTAATTTGTATCTTCTTTAAAAAACTGTATCTTAAATATGTCAAAAAAATTCCAATAATTCAAGCAAAAAATAATAATAAAGATTTGAATTTTTTTTCTAATCTTCATAAAATGAACTTAAAGTCTTAAACTCATCAATTAAAATCTTGCGCACAATTTAAATCAGTTTTTTACTTTGAAACTTCAACCACACAACAAATTAACTTTTTTAAATTTTAATCATAGTTTTTATCTTTAAACCTTCAAAGTTATTTAATTTTAAATTTATTATAAAACTCTAACTACTTGAATAAAACATTATTATCAAAAATTAAAAAAAATCAATTATAATAATTAAAAAAAACCTCAAACTGAATTATCTCTTATAAACAAAATACTTAAGTTCAATATAATAAAAAAAAATTTGAAAGAAAGAATATTAAAAAATTAAATCATATAAATCATAATATAAACAGAAAAACAAAATTAAGCCAGCCTAAAAGCATGATAACTTAAAAGCTTTGAAGAGGAAACAAAAACATATTTTATTATATTTTAATGTTCAACACTAACCATGGTTGCATAGTAATCACCTAAGACATCAGCGGCGAGTTCACGGAAGCGAATGTGGCGGCGACCGGACTTTTCGCAGTGATCAAGCACTTTAGACATTAGGTAGTAAGAATAGAACGTCACCACTCCCATCATCGTCAAGCACAAGAACCCAAGCCCCCACCCCAATCCTCTGAACGCATACGGCAGCGTTAATATCGTTGGCCCAACGATCGCCGTCGTTAAGTGAAACCCCGCATGCCACCATTCACCTATATCATCATCATCATCATTCATACCATATATTCATTTGATGTGCACATCTGATTCAAGAAAACAGAAATTCATTTAAATTGATTCATAATAACAAAACTATTGATTATTACCTTTGGATTGGAGAACGAAAGTAGCTCCAGCGTCATCCTCTTCCCCATGGTTTTTTCCCTTGGGTGGCTCTGCCATCGATGGTTGGTGATGTTGTTGCGGTTCAGTAAGATAAAAAAGGAAAATCAATATGGTTAACTGCACTAATTAATGTGTAAGAAAATATTGGTTTGCCTCCCAAAACGTTAAGTTAGGGGGGAGAGACCGAAGCATGCGGCTAGTGGAATCTTCCTACGACTGAGCCTCATAAAATTAGGTGTAGTGGGATTGTTTTATATACGAATCCACGCGATGCTTAACAGTGTTTGTGTTTTAATTTAGTGAAATAACTCGCGTATAAACTTAATGGTTGCGTATATTTTTTTAATTTATTTTAATAACCTTTTATTACGTAATTTGTATAATAATATTTAATTAAGCGCACTTAGACTTGTTTTGTGTTTACACTTCCACTTCGATTTCCAAATGTGTCGTTTTTCAAATTCAAAATAAGTAGACCCGACAGCGTGCTAAGAGCATCAATCGCGGTCTGTCCAAGTTGATGAACAGGGGAATGATTCTTTGTTGATGGCATTCTTATTTGAGTTCATAGTTTTGGAAAACTTAAAAGCTAATGTGTTAAATAAATGAAAAGCTTTAGAAAAAGAAATTCGAGATGGGACAGGGGTGGCAGATGAAAGCAAATTACTACTAATTGTGGGGATCGTGTTTAGTTAAAAAGTTTTGAAGAGAGTTATATAATATAACATAATGGAATGAAATACGAAGATATGAAATAGATTTGTCACTCCATTTTGAAATTGTCAGACGTAAAAAATGTCATTTCATGCCTAATTTGAGGGAACAAAATTTTGAAGCTTTTGAAGGGCTAATCTTTCCAACGTAATGGAATTTAGACATCAATTTCCACTACGGGTTCATTGTCATTTCCTGCCTTGCCAGCTTTCCTCGTTCATGTAAAACATCGCTACATTATCATTCGTAATATTAACTTATAATTTATTAATAGTGAGAGTTTGACAACTTATTCAGTGAGTTTTCATAGAGCCAATTCATTAAATAATATAAAAGTACATTCAACGAAGGTCTAGAAAAATAACTTCTTCTTTGAAAAATGTTTCATCATAGTCTAAAGGGACACTTACAGGCAGTTTTTTTTTTAGGATGCATTTATACATATAGATTTCTTGTTATAATTCCTTTTATAAAATTTCTTGTTAGTTTTTTTTTTTGTTTCAATTATTTCTTTATAAATATACTTTAAAAGAGTAAGACAACGAATTATAAAAATTAGAAATAGTAATAAGCCAGTGAGAAATTCAATGATTAATAATGATATTTAAAAAAATAAAAAACGATATAACAGAAGTTCTCTTTTATGCAAATTCCGCCGAATAATATATATATATATAAACATTAACTTAGTGTTGATATTTTTTTTTTATTGTTTGTTAAAATGTCCAATATTATTCTTATTTTTTTTATTTATAAATGACAGGAAATCCTAAAAGTAAATAATAATAGTATTTAATATTTTTAAAAAAAGAATGGCATAAAATAATTATATAAGAAAATATTTAATTGATATTAAAATATCATCTTCTTTAAAATTCTTTTTTTTTTTTTCATTTCATATTTTATTTCTTGACTATTACTGATGTGGTTCTTTTTTCTACAAAATCAATTAATTGATTTCCTTCATTGAATAATGGAGAGAGATAATACTTTCATTAACATTTAATTAATAAAAGTGGTTATTTGCATTAATGAAAAAAATAAAAGTCTTAACTTTTTAAAATGATTATGTTATTATTAAATAAAATTTTAATCTTGACCAAATAATTATGTTATTATTAAAGATGTTGACAATTTGAAAGTCCAAAATGGTTATATACTTTATAAAAAGTCATCGAATGATTTTTTATTTCTTTGTCATACGTTTAAATTTTAATTCCTAAATATAATTTATATATAACTTGAGTGACCGCAGCAGAAATAACGGCGACGGAAATAAATAGAACTGAGTATTTTCATTTATTCAATTATTAGGATTCTAGAAATTAACTAAACATTATAATTGATAAATTCAGCTTCCAATTCAAGATAAGATACATTTCTACTACAGCTAGAAAATCAAAGCATTGACTCAACTCAATAAGATAACTAAATATTAGGTGTTCAATACAATTTTGAACATGCCGCCGAAGGGGATTTATTTTCTTCACTATTCTTTGGCATTATGGTCCTGCTCCTGGTCTGCAGCTATGGATTTGTTGTTGTATTCCTCCAATTCCTTCTTGTATGCATCCATTGCTTCAGATGCTTTTCCATTCCACAATTGTCTATCTTCCTCGCTCAGTTCCTATACCCAAATTGTAATGAAATTAAGAATGGATTGCTTAACCACAACATAAATTAAACGTGAAGCTACTATAATAATACACATTACCTTCCACTTCAAAGAAACAAGTGCATTAAGGGTTGATGTGGTGATTCCTGTTCGTTCCTCTTGTAAATTTCTCCTTGCTTCTTTGCTGCATGGAACAAAGTTTTAATTTGTTACATCTCCAAAACACTAGATAATGCATGAACATATACCTCTTACAATTTAGTGTAACTTGTTATAATCACCTGAATAGGATGAATGAGGATGGAGGCCTCCTAGGCCTGTTTGGATCAACATTCTTATCTTCCTTGGTTTGTTTCTTCTTTTGTTGATTCTTTTTTGTTTTCTGCACCAAGCTAGGGTGGATTAACAGTTGCAGCGATAAAGAAGGGTCTGAATAGGAACAACAAAACAGACAAGTAAAGGGAAAAGAACCTTGATCATATTTTCAGTTTTCTCCTTCTTCTTCAGCAGTTGCAATGCTTCCTGTTTCTGAAGTTTCATATTCTCCTCCTCTTCTTTCATGAGTTGAGTAGCCTCCTCATCTTTTTTCTGTTTATAAGCCTCCATATCTTGGTTATACTTCTCCTTGTTTTTCTTTGCCATCTGAGAGTTCAAAAAAATAAAAAATAATTTTTAAGCCTATAAATGAATGAGGAGGATAAGGTTACCATCAAATACACAAGAGATCAAAAGAGCAAAAACAAAAACCTCTTCATAAGGCCTCCTTTGTTGTTCTGTCATGTTTTTCCATTCTTCAGCTGTGATCTTAGGAACCTGAAAACGAGAAAAGCAACACATAAAATAATGTTATTTCCGGTTATTATAAATGAAGTCAAAGATCACACACAGACAATAAATTTGTGCTCTAAATTTGTGCTCTATTACCTCCAAGAAATTCTTGTTCTCAGCTAGAAGAGCTGCTCGCCTATCATTAGTAAACAAGAAATAAGCTGAAACGGGGTGCTTTGGTTTCAATGGATCCTTCTCCTTCCTGTGAAAACGTAAGTAAAAGAACATCAGTATCCACATCTCATGAAGAGGGAGTAAAAATGGGGTAAATTAAATCTATAATTTACTTGTTTTTCTTGGTCTCTTTTTCTGCCTCTTGTTTGAATTGCATATACTGTTCAAGCAATTCCATGGCAGTCTTTTGCTTCTGCTCTTCTTCCAACAGCTTCATTGCTTCACTCTCACGTTTTTCCTTCGCAATTACTTGCAAATAAGCTTCTTTTTCAGCATGGTATTTCTCCTCATAAGGCTTCTTCTCTTCTTCACTAATTGACTTCCATTTAGCCCCCAGCATGTTTGATATGTCCTTAAATTCTGCCTCTGAGTTCCCCTTCTTAATCTGCACCACACCAACCCATCAATACCATTGAATTTAGCTAAATAAAAACTCAATTACCCCGAAGGATTCCCTTTCGTACCTCATTCCATTGGTCTTTGCACCATAAAATGTAAGGTGGAGAAGGCCTTTTTTTCTCAGAGCACCCATTCTTTTTCTTATCCTTCTTTTTAGGTTCATTATCTTTCAACACAGGCAAATTCTACACAAAAAGAGAAGCGACCTTGTGAACAAACAACATAATTTGAAAAGAGGAATTATAAGAACTAATAAACTCAAGCTCAACTCACCATGGTAGGCTTAAACTCCTTCAACTTCTGCAACTTTTTCAGCTCAATGTGAAGCTTCTCTTGCGCCCGCTCACGGCTTTCGAGCTCTTCCTCCTTCAGCTTGAGAGCCTCATCTTTGGCCTTTAAAAGCTCTTCAGTCTTCTCCTTCTCAAGGCGCAATTGCTGCAGCTTTTCCTGCATCTCTAGCAACTCTTTCTCGAAAGATTGTTGTTTCTTTGAGGCAACACGAGCCTTATCAGGTGGTGAAATTGGTGTTGTAGAGGACTCAGAAACCTTCCCAGCTAAGATGTTGGCCTCGTTTGTTGATGGGGTTTTTTTCTCCTTCAGGACTCTTCTGCCCCTTGACCTCTTCGTAGGTACTTCAGCAACCGTGTCAGCCATTGAAAACACAGAAGAAAAAAAATAGAGAGAAATGAAGCAGTGACTGAGTGAGTGTGTATTATTTCCTATAGATAAGAGCGCGATCTTTTATAGGAGATGATAAGGAGAAATGGTGCAACGGTCTTTTTTTTCAAATTTGAAAGGGAGTGTGTCATTCTGGGAGTGATTCTTTATGATTTGACCGTTGGTGATTTCTTACCCAAAGTGGTCAGAAAAAAAAGGTAATTTTTTAACCCCCCGAGTTTTGCTTATATCCTCTTAATATAATCAATAAATTATATATAAATTTTTATTAAAAATTATAAAATTCAATGCAATTCAATATCTTAACAGTATTAAATGTTACAATTTTTTATAAAAAATTACCATTATAATTTTTTATCTTATGTAATATTGCATGTGTTAGAAAAATTTATTTCATAATATTTTTATTACTTTATAATGTAAATATTAAATAAAAATATTTATTTATTATTGTGTTGAAAACAGAAAATATATTAAATATTTTTTCATTTAGTAAATAAAAAATCTATAAAAAAATAAAAAGAATTAAAAAAAAAATCTAACATAGGTATATTCTTACCTAAAGCGGATTACCATGTGAGGGGCAAGTTTGAATTTTTAAATATCCACGTAATGAACAATTAACGGCTCTGAATTTTTCCTGAGTTAAAAAAAATTAAAAAAGAAAAACATGTATAAATGGAAAATGCATTTTTGAAAGGAATGGCTGTTGGGGGAAAAACCAAATGTAATTTATTTGGTACACATCTTGGAATGTGGCCCAATATATTTGGGTGAATTCCAAAGCTGCAAACACAATTATACAACGTAAAATTCATCCAACCGGATTGAATATGGTGGATAATTTAACATATTTATTGAATTATGAATAAATAAATAAAGAAATGTATAAAATAATCTCTAAAATTTTTCTTTCTTATCCAACAATCATCCTCAAATCTAATTGAATTAATTTTTGAAGACAACCCATCGTTTATACATGCCAATAGAAAATGAAACACAGTCAAACTATAGTTGCCTCAAATAACCTGTGTTGACCCCGTTACACAAAGAAAATATGCCCATTCACTTCCGTATCAAAATTAGCTTCAAACTGATATTTAGAATCCCTTGTGCTACATTCAACTTGTTAGCCTCCAATCTCCATCGCACGTGTCTGTATGAATATGAATATGAATATTAAGAATCATAGTATATGTGAGTAACAATTCACCAAATATTCACAACTTCTGTGAGGGAACTGTAAGGGGCATTTGACTGATGTTCTTAACCATTGACAATCATTTCCATTATTATATCATTCCAAGAGTCTATTGGCCCAGGTAAACACCAATGCAAACAATCATTCTGAACATTAGCATTTTGGCCCTTGGCAAATGGGTGAAATTGCCTATATGGACCAGGATGTCCATCAGGCCTCAATTGTGAAAGTAGTGCAAAATCCACAAGCTTAAAATTCACTCCATTTCTTGAAGCTTCAGAAGCTGCCTTTCTAAACTCCTCTAACTCAATTTCACGAAGAATCTTGTTCAAGTACTTCATTTCCATCTCACCTTCTTTAATCGGTGCTGTTCTGTTGCATGTTCCACCACTAAACCACTCCCCATTTTCAAAATGATCAGGTGTGAATGTCCTGTAAAAAATCAACCCTTTGTGATTGGAAGACATGATGAAGTTCATGACGAATTTCAAGGCTTTGCGATAAGCAAAGTTAAAGCCCAGCTCTGTCAGGTTCCTTTTAGGACAGGAGTGGCAGCCCAATATAGTGTTGTTCTCGTGGTAGATAGCAGATTTGAGAAACCATTTCCCAGTTGAAAAAATGATGTAATCAAAGTTGTAGTACTTATCCGTCCATTTATTATCCAGTTTGTCAAGATATAGCTCAACTTCAGATGATGAAACACCATTTATGTCTTCAAAAATAGCTGCTTCCACAAGGAATGGTGACCAGATAACTGACAAACTGAAGTTGTATGAGGGAAAGTGCCAGCTTTTGGACTTGTATTCCTCATCGTGGTAGACTAAGACAGGTTGTTCTACCTGAAGGACAAAACAGTTCAAGTGAATCACTCTCTTCCCTTCCAACGGTTCCTGAGAGTTATTACAGTATATAGGCCATCGTAATTTCCAAAACACAATAAGCTCCAAACTGTTGTGATAAGATTTTGTAGTGGTGAAAATTAAATTTATTTAAAACAAAACAAATCAAGCGACGAACACAACTGTACCATGGAATAGAAATAAGACATATTGACTTGATTGACAGTGCTCACATTTGCATCACAGAGGAGTGCAAGTGCTTACATTTCATTGAAGTACTTGGAGTAAAGATCATCCAGGGTTCAATACTCATACCATGAATTTGCTCAACTAAATGAATAATTGTGCTTTTGTAGTGCATAATTATAAATTTGTTATATCATATATGATTAATTTCATAACTACACATGCTTCAATTGGCAGTCCAAACAGGTGGTTACAAAGTCCACATAAATTGATAACAGGCAGTCAACCAATTAAGAAGTGAATTTGGAAACCTAATGTAGACACAGGAAGGTGAGAAATGAGTTTAACACTGCACAAGAAGAAAGGAAAGGAAGTGAAATAACCCTGGGAACAAAATCTCATAAGTCATGAACTTAAAACAAATGCACATCTCTGCCTATGGTTTTGTTGTCGGTCCTAAGCTCAAGTATAGGAAGAATTGTGTTAGGCCTTCAGCTGAGGGAGACCAGTGAGGAAATTTGATTTATGGTCTTTAGCCTTGTGAAAGATAGTAGAGAGAGCCAAAAAAACCTTGGAGAAAGTCATCAAAAGTGATCTTATGATAAATAATATCTCTAAAAATATAGTTTTTGAATACTCAGAAGGAGTGTTTTCCGGCCTATAGTGATCTTACCCGATTCAAATAGGATTGTCTCTAGTGGAGGATACCTGTAGGTGGTCTAAACAAAAAGAATATAGTTTTTGACTGAGTCAAGTGACTTCATATGATCCATGTAACCAACCTCATCTAATGGGATAAAACATTGTTGTTGTTGTTGTAAAGTTGAAACAGAAATGAGAACAGGTTGCAGATGTTATGAGCTTGGGCTTGAAGTAGACTAACTGAAACTACATTTGCATGGACTTCTTTAAATCAATTACCAAATCCAGCTTGTTTATACCATTAGCCATATTACCCACTAGCCATTGCCAGTCCATTTTTCTTTTTAATTTGTTGTTGACATCTTCTACAAGTATCTTTTATCATAAATCTTTTCACTATGAACCTTATGACTAATCATTCCAATAAAAGTTCAAATCAATTGACCATCAAATCTTGTAAACTAAAATGATGCTATTCTCAATTACTTCAGAGCTGAAAACAATCCTTTCAAATAATTTTATAGTATTTAAATCTCTGCTCCTCAAGCCACTGCTACAAAGCTAAGAAATAAAAACAATGACTTTACAATCCACATGCTAAATCATAGGTTGGTGACTAAAAGTACTGGATAAATATATAACTACTAACTACTAAGTATTTGGGCCTATTCCATCATTTGTTTATGCAAACAAGCGCACCTAAACAAAAGCTTTCCCTCAAACACAACGACATTTTCTTGATTTTATTGTTTGAAATGTTTGGCATTGAAACCAAAAAACAAGATCTGGTCCAACACATGGTCAGGGAAAAAAACATATGCACAAAAGTCAGTTGTCTGATATCATCATAGAAACATTCACAAAAAATCAGACAAAAGGGAAAACAACATTTTGGCCTAATGATATGCTTTGTCCATCATGAAGAATAAAATAAAATAAGAGAAAGAACAAGAATTTTGTTAACTTCATCCTTCAAAATTGAATTTAAGCATCTAAAAATAGTAAATTTCTTTATTAAAAAAGAATACATATATTACATTGAAGATATACAAGTATAATACATATATTTCTTTTCAATAAAATATTATTATTATCGGTTGTTTAAAAACTCAACCCTAATCCTGATGGCTAAAATTTTATACTTTCCTAATGATAATAGCAAACTATTGAAGTCAGTAAGCAGAATTATAGCAAACTATTGAAATCAGTAAGCAGAATCATTACATACCTTGGAAAGAATACACAGCAATGACTGCACATGGTTGCGGGAAATGGAATCGCCAATGAGTGCCCACGCTTTAGCACGCATCATGTTGAGAAACCTTTGTGGATCAAACTGGGGCAAATCACAGTCTCTGGGAGCCCACCTCCAATACAGAAACTCTCGATCGGGCCTTCCATTTTTCAAGCAATCTTGATGAGATTCGATAAGGTTGCAGCTTTCGTTGGTATAAACAGGGCCCAATGGGTTCCGCACCCAATCCCCACTAAAATAATCACATTTCTCTGCATTTAAATAAGTTCAAGTTACAACATTGCACTAACTACCCATATCATAACCCAATTAATCAATTTTACTATGTATGCAACATACATAGCCGTTCATGATTACAGTCACAGATCTAAACGCAAGTGTGCATTTTTGTTGATAAAAACCCAACAGAGAGTGACACTCACCTGAGTCAGTGCGGGACACTTGATCTTCATCAGTTTCGGGAATATGTTCTGGGACAGGTGGCGGTTCAGGAACATGTTGTGAAAGAGGTGAATTAAGAGGTGGGTATTGGGGCTGTGGTAATGTGACTTTATCAGGAAAAGGGGATTCCAAAACAGGGGAAATCTGTGGGGACAGGGAGTGAAAGAAGAGGATGCGGAAAGCGAGGCCAAGGAAGAAGAAGGTAAGAAGGAATTTGAGGAAGAGACTTTTGTGGTTGAAGGGAAACTTGTGTTTGAAATAATCCAACCTCATTTTTCTGACTAATTGGTTGTGTTGGACAAACAGGGTACTAAATAATCTTTGAATCCATGTTTTTGTGATGTGTTCGCAGGTTATTGAGTATTGGGTGGTGGTTTTGAGCTAACAAAACTGAGTATGAAATGCAACACAGAGTAAGTCAAATGTGGCACTGCTTCCTAGACCCATGTGACCGACTCATAATACTACAGCAGTTTTTACGAGCAGACAAGATTCTCTACATGTTATTGCTACTTTTCCATTTTTTTTAATTAATAACTTAAGGCCACTCTTTTTCAGCTTCAGATGCACCATTATTGTTAATCTAATCCACACACACGTATAGAATATTATATTTCTATGTCACTGTCGCAAAATTAAATTTTAATTTTTTTAGTTTAGCAATTTTTTGCTGGAGACCAATCCTTCACTCTTCATATATCATAAATTCAAAATTCTTATTTTCATAAAAAAATATCTTAACACTTAGGAACTACTTAAATAAATGTATTAAAGAATAAAATAAGTTAGACTAAATTAAATTTTATAAAATTTAAGTTCAGTTTTTTTTTTTGTATTTAAATTTAAAGTTAAGACTTTGCCTGTTTATTTAATATACATTTTTTTAAGTCTAACTTTACATTTTTTTTAAGTCTAAAATTTCATTTTATAATAAAATATTTTAAAATATAATTACAACCATACCACTAAATAGGTTGATTAGTCTCAATGTTGAAATATACAATGTATTTTAACTTTTAAATAAATTATAAATGTATGATTCCAAAACAACATAGTTAAATGTTAATGCAATAATGTTATTACTATTGTGCTAGTATTTGTGTTTTTTCTTAAATAAGTTGATTTGTTAAGACTAACAAATCTTTTAAATGGTCTAAAAAGCTTTTATAGGTTTTTTTCAAAAAACTTGACTTGATTAATAATTTCTTACCTGATTTAAGTATACTGTGGATTGAGCTAGGCTCCATGAATGGTAAGTTTGTAGGCTACAATATAATATAATATAATGTGATGTAATGTAATGTAATGTAATTTAAAAATAAAAAATAGTGTCATTGTTTAATTTGAGAGTAAATTCAATTGTTTTAAATGTTTTTTATTTAAAATTAGTATTTTATTTAAAAAAATATTAAAAAAAATATTAAAGGCAACGTTAATTATTATGTTAAATTTTTAATTAAAAATAACACTAAAATGGATAATACTAAAGTTAATTTTCTTACACTTTTAAAATATATATTAAATGATATATGATTAAAATTTGTATAATAAAATTATATTGAATATTATATAATTCAATTTATCAATATTATTTATTATTTTATTAATTTTTTATTGCATCAACCGTAGAAAATTTGTGCATTTTATAATCCTGAGAGACAGGCGCGTGGCTCCACCGCGCCTATTATACTAATGGCTAATTATTGACTAATGAACAACTCTCCACTCATGTGATCATGAGATGATGATAACAATCCACCATCATTCCGATTGATAAACCTTATGTCGGTGAGAATTTTATATTTATTTTAATATTAATGATCTCTAACTGCGAATCACGATTTATTATTATTGAAGTCCTTTCTTTGATGTGCAAAATAATGTTGAGTGGGACTTAAAACTTCATGTATTTATAGTCACGAAGGGCCAATATTAAATGTAACTGAAAAATTACACACAGTGGATGTGTAATTTAGCACTATTAATTTTAAAAATAATTATATTAAATAATGACAATAAATAATTTAATACCTAATTACATTAACACCCAGAAAACCCCTTAGACTTTACATGAAATCTAACATCTAGCTAGCTAACAAAGAGGGAGGACCATATATGCTAAAATTTGAAGATAGAGCAATGAGTTTGAATTTTTTATAGACAGAGGACAAAAAAGTAGAAATACTTTGTTTATTGGACCCTATGTTTGGAAGGGTGGATAGCAACCCAAAAAATGGAGGTTTTCGACTGTTTGGAACCTACGTGGAAGGAACGTGATATTACCCATTTAACCTTCATTTCTCTTTTACTTTTATTTTTTACTTGCTCAAATTAAGTAATACTCTTTTTATTTTATTTATTTAAATAATAATCTATTATTAATTTCTTACTCTTTATTTACCATCCAAATAAAATTAATTATTATATAAAAAATATAAAAACTACTTAAGACACACTTTAAGAGTAAGGTAAACGCTATCCACCGCTTTTAAAGTATCGGTGAAGAAAGTAAAATGATAAATTATTAAATGGAAGTATTTATTGTATTAAAAATACAAAAAGATGTTGAAAAATGCAAGCTTCAAATATAAATTTGATATTCAGTTGAAGGCGTGGAAATGGCAAAACAAGAAGACAAACCAACCATGGTAAACTGCTATTATATGTCGAACAATCAGGAAAAAAAACTATTGTAACATTATTCAATTCAAAATCAAGAGAAGAACAAAACCTATACGATGCTCCTGCTACACCGGACAAATTGAATTCTAAACACGCAAATGTTTGAAAAAAGGATGACAAAAGAATTAATTCACATGAAAAAAAATGAGCTAATCATCACCATAACAAACCTAATTGGACAAGCAGGATTTATGCTGCTCTCTGCCCTCTGCGAGTCTTGGATAGAATGTCCTTTAGATAATCATAACGACTGCGGTGATAATCAATCCACAAACACAGTTGCCTAATGACCTCCCTCTTCTCCTCCCCCAAGTCCAACATACCCTCTTCTTTCTCTTTCATCATTTTCTCTAGTTCTCCAACTGTCTTCTTAAGTTGAACAACAGTTGTTGTCAGATTCACCTTCTCCGACTCCTCCTTGCTTGCCTTTGCCTCTAGCTTCTCAACACTCTTCCTCAAAGCCAATTCCTGTGCACTTTTACCCTGCAGCTGCTCCAACAAGTTGCTTTTCTGTTTCTTTAACTGCTGTTTTTCCTTATTCATCTCCCTGATAGTGTCTTTTGCAACCTCAAGCTCATGTGAGATGTTTGAGATACAGTCATCGTAATTTCTACAGTCATCAGAAATTTTCAAGCTTACGGCTTCTATGCCAGTCATGACACTGTTCACGGAGTCTTTAATGTTAGAGACAATTTCAGCAAAAGCTTCATTGTTGGAAGTTATTATTGCTGACAAACCAGCATTCCTGTCCTCAAGTGCTCTCTGATCTTGCTGAAACTTTTCTTCTGTCTTTCGAAAGCTGTCTTCTTTCTCACTTAGCAATTGTTCCGTGACCCTGAGCTTCTGGTTTGACAAACGAAGCTTAACCTCAAGCATCCGGACATTCTCAAGCAAAGTACTGATTTCATCTCCCTTCTCTTCTACGTCTCTTTTCAGGTGTTCTACTGTATGTTCCAAATCAGCTACCATCTGATTTTTCGACTCAATGCCTTCATGAAACTCTCCAGCCATTTCTTCAATCTTCTTCTCTGCAACCCCAAGTTTGACCTTGCATTCCTCAAACAAACTATCAATTTGTTTATATTCTTCATTCAACTTCCGATATGCATCTTCTCGTTCTTCCAACGTTCTCTTAAGATCCACATTTTTGCTTGCTATGTCATTCTTTTCGTTCTCCAACATTATAAGTCTTTCTGCATGTTCTTCTCTAACTTTTTCACAGTGGAGCTCCAATTCTTCTTTCTTTTCCTGTAAGGAAACCAAGTCTTTCTGCAGATTATCAATTTGGGCTGTGAAGGCAATTACATGACCTGAAGCCTCACTCTCTTTTTCGTGAAGCTTTTCCTGTAAAGTAGATAATTCTACCTTTCTCTCAGCCAATGTTTTCTCCAACTCAGTAATTGTGCCCTGCAATCCCAAAATTTTCTCTCTCAGCTCAGTGTTCTCATGGTCTTTAGCTCTCATTTGCTCATCAACTTCACTCTTCTTGTTGTGAATGGAATCCACCTCCAACTTCAGCTTTTCACACTGCTGTTCTAATTCCTCTTTCTCATTCTGCAGGGACGCCAAATCATGGTTAAGATTCTTAATTTGTTCAGTGAAGGCCATTATTTGAGCTGAACCCTCTTCCTCTGCCTTGTTAAGTCTATCCTGGAGAGCAAAGAACTCCGATTCTTTCTCTGCTGATATTTTCTCTAATTGAGCTACTTTGTCACATAGCTCCAACTTCTCCTGTCTTAGACAACTGATCTCATGGCTGTTAGCACTTATTTTCTCTTCATCTTCACTCTTTAGGTTCTTTATAGTGCTCACCTCTGATTCCAAAGCCCTTATCTGCATGGCTAAATTTTCTCTATCTTCAAGAAGTCTCTCTTGTTCCAGGGTTTTTCTGTCAATCTCCTCTTTGAGTGTTTGTATTTGAATCACATTCTCAGAGTTTTCTCGGACTTTTTCCCCCAACTGAACTTCCATGTCAGATTTCTGTTGTTGTAGGGACTCCACTTCCTGCTGCAACACATTCAGTTCATTTCTAATGTTTTTGACTTGAGTTGAAGCTTCGTCACTTTTACAAATTATCTGCTCCTCCAGTTCACTTTTCTGGGCATTCAACGTGTCTATATCAGTCAGCAGATTGTTTATCTGAGATTTCAAATCAGATATTTTAGACTCAGACTCATTGGCAAGATCTTTATATTCCTTCGAGAGAGAAACTAGCAACTCTTCTCGCTCATTGGAATTCGTTTGAATTTCTGAAAGTTGGTTTTTTAGTTCGGCAGTGTGCCTAATTAGCTGTTCCATATATTTTCTCTGTTTTTGTAGTGATTCTACTTCCCGCTCAAGGTCTGTGTTTTTTGCCTCTAGGTCCCTGAGTTGATTTGAGGTTTCTTTCCGATGCCCTTCATGCATCTGAGTGAGGGCCGAAATTGCCCTTTCTCTATCATTAAGTTTCTCCTTTAATTGACTTGATTCAGCTTCCAATTCTTGTATTTTGTTGTGAGCCAGCTGAATCTCGTTTTTCATTTCTTCCTCGCTGACTTTCAGTTTGTGGATTATATTTGTCATTTCCTGTCCTGAATGTTCCAACTGCTGTTTCAGAATAGGAAGTTGACCAGTAACCGACTGTAGCTCTTTCTCAAGGGCTAATTTATCATCTTTCAGTTGATCAACAGTGATTCTCAGGCCTTCAGTAGCCTTCTTTTCCTCGTCAATCTGTTGGAGAGCTGTCTCTTTCTCCGTGGTCAAACTATCTTTTTCTGTCTTTAAGTCTTCCAATCGTTGACTCAGTTCAGCTTCTATTTTACCTGCAACGCCCAGTTGTTTATTTAGTTCAGCATTCTCAACCAAAAGTTTTGATCCTTGAGTGCGTAATGCTTCAGCATCAGTTTTCAAATCCATGTTATTTTTTTCTGCTTCTTGTATCTTGCTCAATGCTGCGAGATATTTCGAATTAAGATCCTCCTTCTCTTCCTGTGTGATAGTCAACTTCCGATTTAAGTCAGCCACTTCAAGTTCTTGCTGCTTATCAGTTGTCTTTTGAAATTCATTTTCCAGTTGTCCATTTTTGTTGTCTTTTTCCTTTGAAGAATGATCCGAATCTGAGTCTGAGCTAGATGAAGAACTCCCCTTTTCTAGCTTGCCCTTAATCCTTTTCCTTAACTCGCCAGTTAGATGATCATATTGTGCATGCAGTGATTGGTATTGATTGTGGAAATCCTCAATCAGTTCAACAAGTGATTCCTTCTTAGAAAGTTCTAATGGGGTTCCACCCTCCTCAAGGTTGTCATCTTTAATAAGTTTCAACAGGCTTTTCACTTTGTCTTCAACTTCTGTAGGAAAAGTAGAAAAAGTTCCAAATCATTTGTTTGACCACCTTAAGGTGATACGCATAAATCATAGAAGTTACTCATCATTATTTTCCATGATATATATTCAGCTGTCATGTTAGTAGCTGAATGTAATCTTGGATAGAGACTGTACCTGCTTTAGTTCCACGAAGCTGCTCTTCTTTATCAGGGTCAATGTGACTTCCCAACAAAGATTTTATAGACTCTCTGAAGCGATGTTTTACCATCTTCTCGACCGATTTTCAACTTCTTAGCCGTACAACGTCAAGATAATCTGTTCCCCATGTTGATTCCAGGAAATCAGGAACTGAAATTTTAACACAATTCTTTCGTATTTGAGCACACTGTAACGAACACAATTTTCTATATGTTTTTTAAGAAAATTTTAAATACATCATTAATGAGAACATATATCTAGCTACTCAAAATTTTATTTATATCCATCATACTTGATAAACAAATATATATTATAGTAGAACAGCTGAAACGTAGAAATAGTCCTGAAAGATACAACCTTGAACATACAAGTCTCTAAATAGTTAGTAAAAACATATTTGGTCTCTAAATCTGCATTTAGTTATTAAGTAAGTCCTTGAATATGTTTTCTGTCAATCAAATTAGTCCCAGAATTCATAATGTAAGGATTCATTTGACTAAAGATTCCCTTGAATACTAGATGTGTATTCTGAGATACTGAGACAATAAGAATAAGCCGCATAATTTCCACCGTTAAAGAATTAATATAACCAAACATGAATCTTTTAAGATTATTTTATCTCTATAACCGTTATTTTGGTCATATTATTTTTTTCTCTCTAACCGTTGTTTTGGTCATAACAGAAAGAGTACATGGGTTCTTTTGTTTTTATAAGGGTGACAAGTATATGGGGTTCATTAAAACGAGCAACTATTATTATTTTGTACATCTCAGATCAGTCCAACTCCGAAATAAATTTCACGTTTTGAAGATGAGAATTGGGGTTGAGGAGTTAGACTATGGGATTAACTGGGGGCATAATCTGAGAGAGAGAGAGGGGGGGGGGGGGGAGAGAGAGAGAGAGAAGGCAAATGTGCAATTGTTTGGGTCCACCATTCACCGTCAAATTCTCAATAAACTAGATGCCATGGCCATCATCACTGAACCAAAAATTGATTCGTTCAGCTTCTCAGAGTTCAAATTTTTCGGGACAAAAAAATGATATTTGATAAGTATTTTTTTTTATAAAAAAAAAGAAGAAAGAAACAGAGCAACTAGTATTCGCCAACAACTATAATCTGGCGCCACGTCAGCAACTCTGGAAATCACCCCGGAAACTTATTGGAATTCAAATAATACAGCTCACCAACCAAACAAGATTATTTTTCTTGATAAATTCAAATTATTCGTCACCGTTAAACAGAAAAACAAAAAAAATCACCTTTGTAATTGTACCAAAGAAAAAATGAAGAAAACAGACAACATCTAGATGTTCAAGATTCGTATAATTGCAACTATTTGAGCAAATAGGATTAGGTACCTGAGATATGGTTTCAGTTTCTCCTCTTCTCTTCAGAATGTGTCAACCTCCAAAAACAAATTTGCAGCTGCCAAAAGATTAAAAAAGAGAGAGAAAATTATCATAAAAGACAAATTAAATTCAAGGCAAGAAACAACATGAGTGAGCTTCAACTTCAACCTTGTATCAGATGATAATAAAATTACCAAAGGCAAATAATAATCATAACACAGATTTTAAATTGCAGCAATAGCTTTCTTTCTTGGTCAGTAACATGGAAACTAATTTACTCTTTTTTTTCCTTGAAAAATCCAAAGCACAGTAAAGACCGAAATCGTGGAAGATCGACATGCTAATATTCGTATACAAATTTAATAACAGAATAAATTATTCAGATTAAAGATCAGAAACGAGTTCCCCTACCTTTTAAAAAGAACAAAAGCGGAAACAGAGAGAAGCACTGTTTCAAAGCAAACAAAGTGATCCGATCGAATCCAAGAGCTGAAAGAAATTGAGAAAACCAAAGAGCTTGAACGAAGAGGCTCAAGAATTGAAGTGATGCAAAAACAAAAGAAAAAACAAGGAATTACTGAATTGACGATTACCTGTAGAAGTGGAAGCAGAGGATCGAAACTCGGAGAGTATCGCAAAGAAAGATGAAAGATTGGAAATACTTAGGAAGAACTCTTCAGTTAATGGAAGAGAAGATAGAGAGCCTAAACCTGAATGGTTTAAGTTTATAAAAATAAAAACTAATTAATCATTTATTTATAAAATGATAATGATGTCAAAAAGTAACTTTGTTTGGATTAGAGCGCCCTAAAGAGATGCCACCACTTTGCACCTTCAAACTTCAGGAATGGAATCTTTGGATTGCCTTTCAGAAGTTTACCCTCTCCTTTCTTCTTTTATTACGACAATGCCACTATTGCCGCGTCGTTTCTCGCGTGAGGACACTTTGAGGAGTGACAACTTGACACTATTTTATAGCATGAAACTCAGATCAATTTTGCCAAAAGTAAGTCGGTGATTTATGTTTTGCACAGTTCAAGATTTAGCAAATGAATTAAGAAGGATTATTTCACACTCCATGCTTCTTTTTTTTAATTATCTCTCTGTACATTGATTTTTTAAATGTTTATCTAAAAATATTTAAAAATTAATAAATGATAATTTTTAATTAAAATAATAATAATTTAATGTTATTGTATATTATATTTTATGATATTTTGTAAAATTGAAACAAATTTTGCAACGCATATTTTATTATTGTGTATTCTTAATTATATGTTAAAAAACATTTCTTAAACTTAAAAATAAATTGTAGTTTTGTAGAGTACTTATTTGAACAAAATTTATGTTCTATTTTAGAAGTAGTGTTATTTATTGACCAAAATTAAAATTTTACTTTAATAAAATAAAATTGCGCTTCAAACTTTTCGTAATAATTTTCCAAAAGCTTATAGGACGTGGAGACGCATATGAGAATCACACTCACACTGTGCGTAGTGATCTTTTCTGGATTTTGATGTTCACAAAGGAAGACTGTTGTTTCCCTTTAATGCCTTTAAACTATAAAATCAAATAGTATATTATTATCAAGTATTTATTATATTTAATACTCTTTTACATAATAAGTGGTTATTATTTTGAGTATTTTTTAATGGTATACTTTTGAAATTTGAAATCTGAAACAAGGAAATAAAGTAAAAGAAAAAACTCTTACACTTTTTTTATAAAAAACTATTTTTTCAGGGTTCTTTTATGTTTTATTTATTTAAAAAAATTCAAGTCTTTTTGTTTTTTTTCCTACTTCTCCCTTTAAAAGAATATAAGCCAAAAATAAGTTAAGTGACAAAATACCTTAATCAAATAATCCCATCTCATTCCTTGATATAAAGTTAGTAAGAAAAATATCCATATCATCTAAATTTTTATAATTAAGAGTATTAAAGATTAGTGTGATATTTTGTAAAATAAAATAAAATATGGTAACTTTATATTATTTTTTCCTAAATTATATAATTACATCTACAAATTATTTCTAGTGATGTTTATGTCAAAACAATTTTACTAATTCACGGTAAATAAATAAATTCAATTTAAAGTAACCACAATATAAAAGATACATTATAATTTATTGGATATTAAAACAAATAATAGTTAAATTGATAAAGTAAATTAGAATATGATGATAATTTTATATTAATAATTATAGTAAGTAAGCCTAATTTATATAAAATTTAATTAGAATGTTTTGTTGTTCACCTTCGTTTTTATATGAGAAATATGATTTTAATATATAAATTACAACAAATCGGAAAAAAAATAAATTGTTCGGTAAAATTAATAGCGACAGCGCATAGGAGGTTTAGATGAACTAAAATTATTATTATTTATTTATAAATTAAATTATATAAATAAATTTAAAAATTTACATAGCATGATTTTATCAACAATTAATAAATATAAACAATTTTACTAATTTATAGAAATTTAATCCTGTAATCATTCAATTAAGTTTTATAGATTTAAGCATGAATAGCTTTTATCATTTATAATAAAAAAATAAATATTTAATAATAAAATATGCACTAATGTTAACGTTTGTCGTGCAAGATGATTCTGCAATAATATGCAACGATAGTTGAATTAAAATAACCTTGTCAAGAAGTTAATATTTATTCGTCTCTGCAAAATAACTCGTGTCATGTTAAACACAAAATAAAATAAAATCGATCTCCTAATAAATTAACAGTTTTTTTAACATCTGAACAAGAGTATATAATAAAAATAAAAACAAATATTTGATATTATTAATATATTAAATCTTATATTTTCAATAAAATTGTATTATATATCTTTATACTATAAAAATGGATAAATTAACTATAATTGTAACTTGAGAATGTCGGTTGTCTCTGATAAAATATAAATTAATTTGCTTTGAATCTGACAAAAATCATAATTTAAAAAGAAAAGAAGAAAGTTGACAGATAGAATTAAAGAAATATCAGGAGTGAAATGGCAGAAAGGAGCATGATATGATGCCACGAAGATCCCGTTTATAGCATGATGTTGAGGTGGATCTGCAGCACGTAGTTGCAGTTGCAGCACCTTTCATGTTTTCTATGGCTGCTTCTTCTTCCCTGCAATTACAACTCACATGACCAATCATTGTAAACTTTTACAGATTTGTATATTATCGTTCTTTTAAAGGACTTTTGAGTCCTTCACCCACTGCTGGGTTCTGTTTCTATCAAACCAGGTTCCTTTCCTTGGTTGCTTTATTTACTTTTGTTTCTCTCTAATTTATGCTGCAATCATATTTATGCATTTGGGTACTCTGTTATTTAAAGAATTTTGCAGATGTGATCATACCCATAAAAATCTTCATATCTGTCTCTTTAATATTATAATTATTCATTTCAATAATTTTATTTTATACTATTTATTTTAATAACTATACTATTTACTTTTAATTGTTTTAATAAACTGGTTTTTTGAAACAGAAGTATGAGTTTAAAATTAACTAAATGCATAAAGTATAATTATCTAGAAGTATTTTTTGTCTACAGAATAAAAGTATTATATAAAAAATATTAACACATTCTTTTATGTAATTTATATTGATTAACTAGTTTAACCATTACTTTTACAAAATATTTTTAATTTAAAAAATTAGTTTAATAGTTTTCAATTTTTAACTAGTTTATCATTTATTTGTATGAAATATAACTTATATATGAAGTTATGTATTATTGGATAATAGTTAGTGTTCTGAAATTTCATCTATTTGGATTTAATATAAAGTTATCAATTTTGAAAAGAAAAGTTGATGTACATATAGAAAAATACATTATTCCTTCACAAGAACATGGACTATAAGATTAGATTAGATCTCTGTATTTTGAAATAAATGTGCAGATTACATACAACATTCAAAGATTGAGATGCTCTGCCGAAGTTAATGTCGGAACTTTTCATCTGAAACATTTTATGTTTAATTATAAACATTTTTTTATTTTTTTAATTATGGCTGTATTTGATAAAGTTAGGAGATAAACTAATTAAAAGACAAACACAAGCTAAAATTTAATTAATTAAATGAAGTTTTTGATAAATTAAAAAATATTTAATAAAATTAACTGTTGAAATATGACAATATTATTCTTAGGAACGATATTCTTGAAAAAAAAGTGTATGTTTGATAATTTTATATAGTTTAAAAATATATTCACAACAAAAATATCCTTAAAAATAAATTAAATTTCAATTTTCCGTTTAACTGCCTATTATCACTGCCCACTGTCCAATTTGTAAGACTTCCATTGTTTTTTGTAAAATAAATTATTCCGACCACTTTCTGTGGATGCGAATGATACTGACAAAAAAAAACCATATATGAAAATAAATTTTGCTTAAAAAATATTTTAAAGCTTAGTGTAAACATAAAAATATTTTGTAACTATCTTAACAGAGAAAGAGGCGGTATATATTAAAGAAGTATTTCAAAATAAGAAATTTATCAGAATTTATTAAAAAAATTTAATTTTTCTTAATTTCTTTCAATAAGTTTTAAAAAGTAGGAAAATAAGTTTGTTAGTTTTTTTAATAAAATTTTTGAGTTAACATCATGACAGAAACTTTCATGTAATAAAAAATTATTAAATAAGTATTTTATTTATTTATTCAAACATATTATAATAATATCTGAATAAAAGAAAATATAAAATGAATAAAAATATATTTTTTGTAATTTAGTTGAATTAAATATAAAATGAATAATACATTTAAAATTTTTGATAAAATAATATATATAAGATATTTAATAATTAGGTAGTCATTAATAAAAAATAAATGTTTTTCAAATTTTTTGTAGTTTAAAAAAATAAAGTTTTAAATCATTTTGTAATTTTAGCTTGGATTCCAAAACAAATGTTACCAGAACATCAATTATTAAAACTTTTAGAATACAAATTACGATGCACATTCATAAGCAAGTATCTTTTCACTTGTACAAACAACAAACCCAGCCTCAGGATTTGTATAGACTGCAGTTGTTTTTACAGTAAAAAAATTATAAAAATTTTACAAATAAAAACAACTTTCCACTGAAAAAATGAATGTGCAATTGGTGCAAAGATCTTTATTTGTTCAGAAAATGGGCATCCCACAAACCAATACATACAATAAGTCTTCTTCCCTCTGTTTTCTAAGTCTTGTTTTTGACCCTCCTACTTTTAGTGACCACATCCTTAAGATAGTTACAACGATCGCGATGAAAATCAACAAGAATACAAAGTTGCCTTATTGCTTCCCTTTTCTTCTCCCCAAGACTAACCAATTCCTCATCCTTTTCTTTCATATTTTTCTCCAATTTTGCAACCTTTTTCTCAAGCTGGCTCACTGCTTTCGTTAGGTTCAGCTTCTCCCCCCCTTCCTTGCTCACCTTTGCTTCTAAGTTCCACACTTTTTCCCTTAACAACACTTCTTGCTCTTCCTTTTTATTCAACGAGTCTTTCAGGTTATCCACATTGTCTTTCAGTTCTCTCACCTCTCCATTCCTTTTATTTACCCAATCCTTGGCAAAATCAACCTCACGCATCATTTTAGAGACACGTGTCATGACATACTCTTTGTGTTCCTCAACCTTCAAATCTAGTTCGATTAGACCAACCAATTCAAACTCATTTGGAAAATACAAAGTCACTTGTGAGGGTGTGGGGTCAGCATCCTCTTTAAGCGCCCTTAGTTCCTCTTCATAAGTAGCAACCTTCTCTCCTAGTACTTTGTTCTCTTCCTCGTACCTCTGCTTTGTCATTTTGCAACTGTTTTTGTTTTCATTATTAACTTGTTCTGCCACGTGGAGCCTCTGGTGCAACAGCCGAATGTTGTCTTCCATTTTCTTTCGGAATTTCTCTGCCAACTCTTCCATTTTCCTTTCCGCCAAACGCTGATTGGACATCAACTTGCTAGAAATAGTCTTGGCTTGCTTGTTTTCCTCACACATTCGTTCAATAGTTTTCTCTTGATCAGATAAGTTAGCATTCAATGTTTCCATCTTAGCTAGGCTTTCTGCATGTTCCTTCTGGCTTCGCTCGTTTTGTTGCTCTAACTTGTTTTTCTGTTCTTGCAGTGTGTCCAACTCGAGTCTCATAGCGTTAACTTTTGCTTTCAAAGCCAAAGCCTCCATGGAAGCTCCATTTTTATTATTTTCGTGTTCCCTCAAAAAACTAGAGATCTCTTCCCCTTTCTTTGTCAGTGATGTTCTCAGTTCACGGTTTCTGTCTTGCAGGGTCTTGTTTTCATCAATTAGTTGTTTGATCTCATAGCTTGTGTTACTTAACTTCTCTTCCAATTCATTTTTCTCGGTGCTTCGAGCTTCCAATTCTAGTTCCAGATCCTTCATCCTTGCAAGAAAACGCTCTTTCTCTTCCTTCATATTCTCTTCAACTGATCTTGTTTCAGCTAAATTTTCATTCAGGTTTTCTATCTGAACCACTAGTTGGGATGTTTCTTCTCCTTTTCTTTCCATCTGAGCTTCTAATTCTTTGTTTTGATTTTCTACAAAGTCCAACTTTTGCTGCATGACATTAATCTGGTTCATCAAGTCCTCCCTTTGGGTTGAGGCTTCATTTTTATCACATTTTATTTTATCTTCCATTTCATTTTTCTGTGTTCGAAGAGATTCTATGTCCAGTTCGAGCTTATCGATCTTTGCCATAAAATTTGCAACGTTGGACTTTGCCTGGTTCTCATTGTTAATGAGTTTTGCCTGCAAATCAGATACCACCCCATTTTCCTCTTTCAATTTCAACTCAAGGTCCATTATTTGGTCATGCAACACAGTGTTCTTGGCGCTTAGTTGTTTAACTTCATGAGTTTGGCTTTCAACTTCAAGTTCAAGATTCCCCTTCTTCTGGTTCAAGTTCTCCATCTCTTTCACCAGTAAAGTTAACTGTTCCTCAAGCTCCGTTGTATAAGGTTCATGTTTAGGGGTGTTATAATGAGATACGTTGTAATGTTCTTTTTCTGACCTTCTCTTATTCCCATCTACTTCTTCTGAGGAAAAGTATTCCGAGTCTGAGTCAGAAGAAGAATCTGAAGTCCTTTTGTTTCTTCTGCGAGAAATTACTTTCCCAAACTCTTCAGTGACACGATCATACAGTGCATAAAGTGACTGGTGCTGGTTGTGTAAGTCCTCAATTAGTCCCACAAGTTGTGTCTCTTTTCTTGAATGTTTGGGGCTCCCATCTTCTGCGCTACGGTTTTTGTTCTTAACAAGCTTCAGGATTTTAGAGATACTGTTGTCAATATCTGCAAGGAACGAGGAAACATAAATTATTTAAAGTTAAAACTAATGAATTCAAATATTTCAACCATCAATTACAAGACGCTGTTAAGTGCAAAGACTATGTTAAGCTTTCTAGTAAGGCTGCAACAATATTTTAAATCAAGTTTTTAAGCATTATATTTCTTAGAATTGGTCTCTTCTTATTATATAGGGTATTCCAATATTTATGTGTGACACAAGTATGAAAGCACCTGTTTTGGTCCTTAGGAGGAGTTCAGCATTTTCATGTTCAACTGGACTTCCAAAGAACTTGACTGATTCCCTTGAGCGCAGATTGTTCATCTTTACTATGGGACAATCAGAATCTATTACATTTAGAAATAAATTCCAATCAAGGAGCTCTCTACTGTCTTAAAAAATGACTAGGAATCCTGAAATTGAGAAATGAAGACAGATACAACAATATGAAGACCCTTTTAAATGATTTATGCACATGGCATTGTAAATATGGATGCAACTGAATAATTGATTACCATGTGATGACAGATTCGGTGCAAAGAAAAGTACAAAAAGGATAGCATCTGTGTCGCCTAAAATTAGTAATATGGATCGTGGAAACAGTGATAGCATTTAAGAATTAAGGCAATAACATATGTAATAGTCACTCAACAGTAAGAAATATTCAATCAACAGGAAATTAGCTACAGTGATCATTGGTAGAAAATTTTTGAAAGAGAAATTTAGGTTATAATTATCCAATATAAGTTAGCTATAGCAGTCAACATTGATGCTTGTTTCTAAGTAAGGCTGGCAAAAAAAAGAAAAAAACAAATTCCGAACCCTATTACCATAAGATAGTTCAAGGTTTTTCAAAAGATTATGTCAGAAGTGTTGGTGCATTGAAGACCTGGATTTTGTTTTAGGGTGATTGAAAGGTTTTGGAATATTTGTTGTACAGGAGTGAATGAAAGTCTCGGTTCAAAAAAGGAAATAAAAAAACATTGGCTAAAAGCCTGAACCAAACAATCACGGTCAATTAAAGAGAATAATTGAGGAGCAAAAATAAAATAAAAATAAATTCAAGTAAATTATCTACTAATTGATAATATGTTCGAAAAAGCTTTTTGTAAATATATAAGAATTCATCTCTTTTTTTTTATTAAAATCTTCAAGTGCGTATTAGATGATATTATTTTTAACAAAATAATTATTTTTAAAAAAATTATGAAGTTATGAAAACTAAGTAATCATTTCTTCCAAATAAACTCATCCAAATATGCATTAATTTATATAGCACCACATCAAGACTTCCTATTCAAATTCACCTATACACTAACTATCTAATTTTTATTTGTATAAAGATTTTTTTTCAATGATTCAATTATGAGCTTAACTGCATTTTAGCTTAGTTTATGCATCACTGTGAAGGGAAAACCATACGTCATCTCTCTTACATATTTTTTAAGTGTACGCTAGTTCTCATTTGCGAGAATTTGTAACATGTAGATGAATTAAAAGAAAAAGTAATTAAAAAGGGGTAAAAAAACTATCGGCTCGTGCACAGTGATCAGTATTCAAATTGCATTTAATTTTTCCTAAGAAGCCAAAAAAGAAACACTATAATAAAAACATAAAACGCATTTAAATCCATTTTACTTCTTCTTACTATTCTATATGTGCTCTTTGAAAACTACAATGATGTTGGCAAACATTAGCATCATTGAAAAATAGTGACGCAGATTCAGTCCCGGATGGTGCAGTGAGTATATTTTACACACTCACTTAAGCGAAAAAAATTTCATTTAAACGAGAGTGTAAAATTTTGTTTGATTGAACCATCTAATTTGCGCCTAAACGGGACTGGATGTGAATCTGAAAAATAGTGGTTCAGTTGTTTGCCCACGAAATGAATTTAGAATCATAAATGTGGCTGACGCAAGTTTGGGCATATGTCAATTTCTTTCATTCATTTGCTAGCAAAACAGGACCATTCAATACCGTATTCACTCTTTTCCATAAAGATAAGCTTGTTCAAACACCTTATTCTGATTTATCGAAAAAACTATGGCCATTTCCAAACTGAAAAGGACCTTAGCATTTCCTTCAAAGTTCGCTGAAGAATTGAAATGAATGCCAGAAAAGCAATAGAAAATACCTGGCAGGCCAATCTGAAAGCACCCATTTATCATATTTTTTATAGGGACAAAAATCAAAGGCCACAAAGTGGAACAGCTAAGAGCTTATATCTCTTAAGCTTACATTTTTTAATCACATTAACGAAATCCACTTAAACGTATTATCATAACACCCGTAACTGATTATAGTAATTGTCACGTATTAAACTCTATGTTCTGGCATCACTTTATTGGTTTTATACAAAGAAAAGAGCTAATAGACAATGACGTTCAATTCAACCTCAAGCCTTAATTTCGGGAATATTTACATCAACAATTGATTGATACTGTTATAGAAAAAATGAAAATCATAGAAAGGCTTAACCAACTAGATACAGGAACTTGTAAAGAAAGGGGGAAAAAGCAACTGCATTGATAAATCAATGTAAACAAACCGTGGCCGAGAAAAATAAAAGAAAAACCATAAAATTTCAGTTATAATAGTAGCTCAATGGAATTTCAGAGAATGCATGTGCAAATTCTATGTATGTGGAGATGGAATATGCAAACAAAGGGTTGAAAACCTAAGCATCCTGGATGCGCAGATAATAAATTCCAACATAATGGTGATTTTGATATAAATATTCATTATTTTGAATCATCTTTCTCATCGCAAATCCTTTCAGCATTACCATGTTCTATCAGATTTATGTTACATGAATCATTCCAAATTAAAATAACAAACAGTTTGATCCTCAGAAAAAAAAAATGCCGCAAATCAAAGGATGCGTTTTCTTCAACAAATGTAAATAACGCAAATCATTAAATAATAGATCTAACACATTCAATTTTTCCCTGATAACGATATAAGAAAACTACCTGGGAATGGAACTTCATAGTTGATATCCACAAACCGAACATGATTAAGAAATAGTGAAAAAGAGAGCAACAAAATAAAAAATGTAGAAGAGTATATTTAAGAAAAAAAAATAAAGAAATAAAAAATGAATCAGAAAGAAAAACCAGTATTGTTATTATTACTGTCCTTCTCTCTGAGGGTGGTGAGGTAATCTTGGCACTTTTTTGGAATAAAATGCCCTTTAAAGATCGAAATTATTACGGTGGAGAATCGCTTGAATATCTCGCGAGTAAGTAACGAGATCTAAAAAAAGCCGCGCTACAAAATCGTCTCAAATATTTCTCAACGGAGGAACAGAGAAAATGAAGGAAGTTACCGTTTAGTTAAAAAAGATAATAGGTAGGATATTATGCTACACATTCTTATACTCACGTTTTAAAAAGTTATATAAACTTAACTTTATACGTGTGTGAATATAAATATTAATCCTGTATCTGTATCTTTTAGGTACTCGTATACCTATCTTGTACTAATTATCGTGCTTGTTTAAAAAAATATTTATAAAAAAAAATATGTTTATATAACTTCACATAAGTTGCATAATAATACAAAAATTTAATATTTAGTTGTGGAATAAGGTACAAACATAGATAAAAAATAAATATTCAAATATCAAAAGTGCTAAATGTATCTTAATATAATAATTTTATAAATTAAAATTTTTAGAAACAATAAACGAAATTAAACATACAAGTTATTTGTTAGTAATAATCCTATCTTGTGTAAAATTCGATCAATCGACAATGTCAAAGTAACAACGAAATAGATATGTGTCCCTTCGTGTGGTATCATTTGGTGACCTCTTGACAGCATTAACAACTAACTCTAATAAATAGCGTTTCATAGTTGTTAGGTTGTAATGAGATAGGAATTAAGAATGATAATAAAGTTAGGACAGAGAAGTTCAAGTACTAACAACGAAAAGTAGATACATAAAGTATATTTTTTAACTTTTGAATTTGAAATTGTAAAAAAAATAATAGATTTGATTAAAATAATAGAATATAATATAATTAATATATATATATATATATATATATATATCAAGACTAATATTTTTAACTCATATACTATACGAAAGTATTTTGTCAAAAATATAAATTTTTAAAAAATTATTTTAATGAATTAAATATTTATAATGTATATAAATTTTAAAAGAAAGAATTTGAATAAAAGATAAATGGTCTCAATAAAATTTTTTAATAAAGAAATATATGTGTATATTAAAAAAATTATACTTTTTATCTAAAGAAAAAATTAACAATAATTTTTTATATTTTATATCTTTTTAAAAACTCCATTCAACGTGAATAAATAGTAAGAATAATATTATTTAGATTTAACAGATTATAAGTGTGCTTGTAATACATATATTGCATAGAAAAATATTATTTTAAATTAAAATATAAAAATAAAATTTAAATATCATCAATAAATAATATGTTTACGATAATAGTAGGTGATTGTAAAATTTATAAAATATTTACAATATATTTATTATTTATTATTCACTTTATAATTTAAATATCAATATGATTTTATTAACAAAAATATTTGTGTAAAAAATATTTTATGTGTGTCATATATAAATAATATTTTTAAAAAAGTCAATGTCATATCAACTATGTAATAATTAAATTGTATTAGTCTAATTAAATTATATAAAATAGTAAATAAATTCTTCTATTAAAATATAAGCCAAAATAAATTTTTTGATTTACTTTATTATTAAATATATTTTTATATTAATTTTATATAACTTCATGTAAGTAATATAATAATACAAAAATTTAATACATAATTGTAGAACATAGTTCAAGCATATATATATATATATATATATATATATATATATATATATATATGCGGTATGAGACAAGTACTTAGATACCCATACACACACCTATCTCTATTAAATTTTGTGGGTACCCATCAAGTACTTTATCCATTGTTATTCCTAGTTTTAGTGCATATTAACAATTTAAAAAAAATCTATTTTAAACTTTCTAAATAAATTATGAGGTATTTTATATAAAAACAAACTAATATAAACATGTACTTATCACGTTTGAAGCTTATCTAGTTTTTTTTTTTTGGGGGGGAGGGTTTTGAATGTATTATGTTTGGTTTTATCATTTTTTTGTCAACATGTTTGGTTTATCATTATTAATATACTCACTACGTCGCTGCACTTTGAAGGTTGGTTTGATTTCGTTTAGATAAATATTTTTGGGGTTGACAAAAAAAAATGGATAAATATTTTTGGGCTTACCTTCCACGCAAGTTTTGTGTCTCATATGGATTGGGACTATACATGTGTTTGGGATAAGAAAATTTTTCTAAGTTATAAAATCATATTGAAGGATCTACTTTTCGAGGAGTTTTGAAGGTTTAAAGAAGCGCCTTTGTATGCTGAAAATAGAGATTTCTGAGGAATCACGAAGAGAGCCTTCAATATTCTAAGTCCACAAGATGAGAGACCTTCCGATGAGTTTTTAGGGGTTTTGAAGCTCCTGACACCCAAAATTGCTTAAAAGACAGGCAGAAGAGTGGACTGAAGGTTATTTTCGAAAAATTTCTGAGGATTTTTCTAACCTCTGGACTGAGAATAGCTAAAATTGCTTGAAACAAGATCGAACATCTTTTCGTGAAATTTTTGGGGAGTTTTTTCAAAGTCCCTTACACCAAAAAATTGCTTGAAAAAATGACTGATAAAGAAATTATCCTAAGTTCACAAAACTGGAGAAATTTTGAGGCATTTTAGAGGACTGTCAAGTCCCTCACACCCAAAACTGCTTGAAAAATAAGAATGATAAGAGATTATTCCGTGTCCTCAAGACTGGAGGGCTTTCGAGAAATTTTTTAAAAGTCAAGCACCTAACGCCTAGGAAGTGTCGAGAACAAAATTTTTTTAAAAGGGTTTCAAGCACTTGACTGAGCCCCCAAATCTCCTCCAGAATTGTTTGAAAAATAAGAATGAGTAGAGGAAATATTTTAAGTCCACGAGACCAATACGAGCTCTCAGATCCCCAGAATTAGTCGAAAAGAGAAGTTAAGGAGAAAATATTCTAAGGTCATAATGCTAAATGAGCCTCTTAAATTTCTCCCAGAACTGCTCGAAAGATAGAAAATAAAAGTTCTAATAGGATTCAAAAACTATTGCAAGGTTCAAAAGCGGTTACCAATAGTTATCACCAGATGAAGGTTCAACAACATGAAGAAATATAATGGGCGATAGCAGTTATAGAAGAAGCCCCAACCAACAGCACGATCACAAGCAATCTTAGATATTGAGTATCAGTAGTTGAAGACAGTTATTAAGAAGTGTCTGTCAAAGAAGGAGAACGACATGGTCCTCTTGCCTATAAATATTCTAAAGCTTCATTTTCTGGGAGATGACTTTTTGTACTTAAATATTGCACCTAAATTTTCTGCACACTGAAACCTTGCATCGCTCCAGACACTAGCTACAAGGAGATATACGACTGTTGTTGTTCATTGCTAGGAGTCATATGTTTATTTTCTTGCATCATTTACGTTTCTGCATTTTAGTTTTAGCTCAATTTGCTTATTTCTTTTTATGCAATTTGGTTCTTACTTAGTACATTTCTGTAGAAACCTCTAAGTTTAATTAAATTCTGTATGATTATTATTTGTTATTTCTGTCTACAACTTAAATTCAGTCTCCAGATTACTCTTAGATTATTTGTTTATAAATTATCATTTTTCAGTATAAACAACATAATTATTTTTTTTTCAAGTTATCAAAACGACTATGTAATTACACATTGCGTGCATATTCCATTACTAATACCAAAAGTTAAAGCAAACATTTATATTATTTGATCTAATATACTATAAAAATAATAAAATAACCCAAAATTGTATTGCAAAATCATTAGTCTTTTCGCTAATTAATAATTGTAAATTAAAAAAAATTCTGGGTTATATAATTCTAACAATATTATTCATTTTGTTACCACTATTTGTATATAAAACTATTCAAATATAAATAATGTTATTATTACCAACTCAATACTTATGATAAAAATTAAGTTTACAAACTCTATTTATAAAAAAAAAAAAAAGACACTTAATGCCCAAATTACCATCAACAAGGTTAGTTCAAGTAATATACAAAGTTGTTAGTTTTACTGTACTATGAATCTTTTCCACCAGAACTTGATTGTCTCCTCTTTTCCTTTTTTTCTGTCTCCAGATATTAAATAGCTGATTTTTCTTAGTTAGGTTTATCTAAGTTTTTTCTTTGTCCTTTATTTTTAATTTTTCAAACATGCCTTTCATAATTTTTTTTATCAAATGGCCTTTTTGTAATTTTTTTCCTTTAATTCCTTTAAATATTTTTTTTTTCCAATTCCTCTAGGTATTATGACTCTTTTATATATATATATATATACTCATCACAAGTACCATAGATTTTTAGTTTGGTCTCCCTAAGATAAGGGACTGAAAATTTAATAAGCCTCGTTTATTTACTGCGCTTTGAACGTTTTTTAATGTTCGGTTATTTTTAAGAAATTGTCATTGTTTCAATAGTTGTTAGTAATTAAGGCATCTTTTGAATATATTCGTTGACACATTTTTTGTAATTAGTTAAAGAAATTATTTTAATTATTTTAAAAAATTTAACTAATCGCATTAGTCATAAAATATATTAAACGAAGGTGCAGTCAGCATGAGCTTTGATACAATAAAAATCTCATACTTTGTTGAATTAAAGTCGATTTTTGTCACCACCTTTCATACTTAGAAGACAGCTTTTATTTGCGTTTTGTTTAGTAGTTATTTTATAAGTTGGTGTGTTGTCCTTAAAGTTTTGATTTTATAAAACTTTTTTCTAGTAGTGATTAATTTTAGTTAGGATTTGAATGCTATTAATTTACTTTGTGGTTTTGGCGCATACAGAAGTTAAATTGATGGGGGTTTAGCACCTTAAGAGCAACAATTTTTCTTTTTGTTTGCGGTGTTTTAACACGTTGTTCATCTAAAGTTCAACTCTAATCTCATAGGGCTATGACATCAAATCATATTCCATGGCACTAGTTCTTAAGGCAACAGTTGTTCATCTAAAGTTCAACTCTAAACCCTAAACATTGATCCTCTAGGTAAATTCTTTGAGTCCACTGTCTTGGAAATATTAGGTTGAGTTTTGTAAATTTGCTTGAGCATGTGAAGTTTTATCCTTGAATTATCGATGAATAAGTTAAGAGACTAATTATTTATTAAGACTCTAAGAGAAACTCATAAATTAAATATTTTATTAACCTCAACTCTTAAAGTTAAATTTAAACATTCACAAATAAAAAAAATTTATAAAAAAAGTACACAGTTATTATACTAAAATTATAAAAATATAATAAATATATATTTTTAATAAAATTTTATTATTATTAGTTGCTTATCATTAGTTAATAAAATCCATAAATTAATATCTAGTCAATCAAAAAATTTAACCATAAATACCATGACAATTAATTAAGATAAGTTTGTTAAAATTCATAACAATATTGATGTAAAGTCCATATGTCAACCTTCTCATCCATTGTTGCACCTCTTGGTGTTTATTACTCTTTTTTTTTCTCATCTTTTAGCTTATATTGTATTTTTTTAATTTCCCGATAAAATTTTCGTGAACCGTAAAATCTATGACCGCTCAAATACAATAGAAATAGCAAATAAACATATTAAATGAGATTTTGCTTTTACGTAAAAGTGAAAACATTGATCATTAAATTTTATTTGTAAATTTTACATAAATTCGAGTGTTTTTTTTTCTTGATTTATTTAGATCACTAAACCTACGAGCCATTTTTAAAAAAAATATATATACTTTTTGTTATGTCTTAATATATTATATTAATTAAATGGGTTGAGTTGAAGGCCGAAATATGTCACATGTGGGCTAACCTAACCCTGTTCGTTTAACAGTGATCTGTAGCAAATCAAACTTATACAAGACAAGTTGGCTCGAATACTCGAATCATATTGACTTGAAATTGACCATGCAGACCTAGAATAAATATAATTAGAATAAAATTTAAACTGCCGATCTCTATCCATTTTAGCCTCTTGAAAAACTGAAATAAAGGAAATGACTAAGGTAAATGATAGCAAAGAGATAGATTAGGCTTTGTTTCTACGTTTAGAACCACTGACTGAAAACCTTTTTCTTTTTCACTTCGTTAAAACTTAATCATACTCTTTATAAATTGATATTCATCTCCTAAATTCCATTTCATAAAACAGTTACAGAGTCTTATACGATTACAGCTTCAAAGTATAATACCGAATTGGTCATATAGAAGTCGATCGGAAAGATAAAATAGCAACCTTTAATGTTCATATGTAATAAATAAATAAATCTTGAATGTTACAGCCCCATTTATAATATTCCATAATAAAATATTAACTTCAAAATTTAAGATTTTAAACAAATAAAATAATAATTTTTATTAAAAAGTAATATATATAAATATAAAAATATAACAAAGATTAATTTTTATAAAAATGATTATTTCAAAATATTTCAAATAAATTTGAAAGACTAAAATTAACAAAACCATATAAAATAAAAAACTTGAATGCAAAGCAACATATAAATCATAGTATAATAATAGATTGTGAGGTGTAGTGTAATATTGAGAATGAAGTGGAGCACATAGGAACAAAAACTCATGAGTCACACAGAGAAAAGTTAGAGCGGGAAGCAGCAGATAGCGCCAAAAGAGTGAGTCGCAAACTTGTTGGTAAGTGGGAATCCAATTTGAAAACTAAGGGCAATCACGTGGGTTACCGAAACTCATGGCTCAAAAATGGACCCCACTCCCTTACCGGCTTCACCGGTTACCTCTTTCCTCTTTTCTCTCTCCCACGCACACCTTCAACTAACTACCTTTAAAAGGAGCCTTCGCTTTGTTCTCTCTCTCTCTGCGCGCTTCTTCCGCATTCGAGAGAGAGAGAAATGGCATCGGCGGCTTCCAAAGATTCATTCGGATTCGGAGTTGTGGCTGTTATTGCCACTCTCATTTTCGCTCTTTCCTTCCCTGCTTCTGTTCACGCTCAAACCCCAGCACCTGCACCTGCCCCTACTAGCCACGGTATTCACTATATAGTTTCAATTCCATGCTTCCTTTTTTTAAAAGCAAACCACTCCTTAACGGTTAATAACAAAAATTAAATAAATAAAAATACAATGTCAAATGTATTTCCTTAATTTAATGTGTGCATTACTTTAACTGATATTTTTGTGTTATGTTATAATTCAGGGTCTTCTGTTGATCAAGGGATAGCATGTGTGTTGATGTTGTTGGCTTTGGTACTCACATACATCATCCACTCCGCCGACATCTCCACCAGCTTTTGAATTTCAAGCAAAAAGGAAGGCATATGGGTGGGTTCATAGAGGGTCTTATGTTTCTAAATTGTAATGATTAACAAAAATGGAGAGTAGGAATTATGTTTATTTTCCCACTGAAGAAAGTGAGGTCTGTGCCATTTACTGCCTATCGGATGTGATTTGTAAAGGTGCCAAGTAACGATCTTAGATATTCTTGTCAGTGTTTTTTCTCTTAGTGATGTAATCATTATCTTGCTTTTACCTTTATGAATGAATGGCTAGAGTGATTTCAACCAGGAATTATCTATATTTCCGGCATAGTAAAGGGTCTGTTTTTGTTGTTGCAACTAGTTAGAAATGTTTTCTCCTTGTAACATGCAGGGATATTTTTATGAAGATGAAATTCTGGAAGAAATTGATTATGATCAATTAAACCCATGCCAAGATGAATAATTTTACCTCATCCCATAAAAATTCATCCAGGTTATCATATAAAGCCAGAAATCCATCCATTAACAGTAACTAGAAACACAGATATTTTAACAAGTTAGATTCCACTCCATCTTGCAAGAGTTCACAATGTTTAAGCTGAACAAAAGGTAAAATGGAAATCGTTGGCTATATTAAACCTCCATTCATTCAACTTTACACTTAAAACAATTTTTTTTTTTTGTAAAAATCATAATTATTTGTGGATATTTGAAACTGAACAGCTTCTGGTACATGAAGATATGAATTAGAAGGCACTTAGAAAGAAATGGTACCGATGCACGTTTAAGCCTTCTTGGTGCTCGGTTTAGTTTCCTGTTGTTCCTGTCCAGCGAGGGAAAACTTCTTCACTTTCTGTTGAAGCAGAAAACAGAGACAAAATCAAAAGCCATAAACAACCCCTAAAACCCAAATGTTGAATACAGGGAACAACGACATCATATGCATCCTGATAAAAGTGTCTCATATGTTTGATATGGCAGATCAAGTGCAATTCACATAATGCCATATCTATACACTGCTGTCACATTATGTTGCTGTTGTGGCCACCTATCTTATAATAGAAGGGCCAAGTCATCTAAGGCCAATCCAGTGCTTATTTAAACTTGCATTGCTAAAGGAAATCCCAAATTGACTACCAACCCCTAATATTCTCTAAATGAATTATAGGGCTTCATCATCTATCAGGCAAATTTTTTTAACTCAACGTATTTCAAGTTCTATCAAACTAAAGCCATAATCAATGGTTGGTTGGTTCAGCCACGAAAATGAACAGAGATTTAATCAAGAAAGAATAGAGGGATTTAGAATGGAGATGAAGCGAAAGAGTACCTTGGCGAGGACGCAGTCGCGCAATGAATGCAAAAGGCGGCGGCATTTGTCTTCATCAAAGGGAGATTGAGTGACACAATTCAACAGATTGAGGGCTTCCTCTGCACACACTGGACCCGGTTTCGCTCCACCTTCATCCATTTTCGCTTTTTAGGGTTTTACGGTCAAATGTTAAACTTCAATTACCTTAATTAAAACCCTTATTCTCCTCTTCCAAATCTAAAGGCGCCAATTGGGTTTTCGCTAAACCACGACTCTTTATTACTCCTGTGTGCTCCGGCTGTTTCTTAATCTTACCTTACCATACTCTTCCTTTTCCTATACCCTGCTCTCCATTAAAAGGTAAGCATCTCGTTTTTATCTCTCCTTTTTCAATAATTTTATATTTCTTTATATTTCATTTTGTTTACGGTTTTGTTAATTAAAGAGGGCTCAAAATTAATAATGAGTTCAAGCTTTCAAGAAATAATTTTAATAGCCCGTAGATTAACTCATTTACTTGTTATTTCAAATTTGAGTCTCAATTAATAGAGTTGCGTTAAATATTAAAAAAAATCATATAACGTAATATTCTATCCTACTTGGCTGTGTAATTTTATTATTACTCACCTCATCTAGATTTGGTTTATCGACATTGCTCAATTTATTGGATGGGTTTATCAATATTGGTAAACTTGTTGGATTTACGGTCTATTAGACAACAGTTATTCTAGGTAGTTCCGTCCAATTTCCATAATTTTTCTTTTGAGTAACGAGAAAAAAGTAAATATCATAATTACTTTTAATATACACACTGAACAAATTTTAAGAAAAACAATGTTTTCTCTTTTACAATTAGAATACATGCTACATACTTAAAAAAATATACACAAAAATAAAATAAAAGTTAAATACTATTTTATGTTTACAAAATATGCCTGAAAAAATAGATCAACAAGCTGAACAAAATTAAAAATGGCAAATCCGAATATAGCAATTATAAAGAATTAAACATGTTATTTATGTAAAAGTTTGGAAAATTTACTCCTGAATTTAAAATTAGTCAAAATTTCAAGTTATTTTTAAATTACAAAAATCTCATTAAAAAAAGTCACCTGTGTAGGGCCTCATTTTGCTTGTGTTTTTTTGCTTACACTGAAAGCACTCACATCCCTTCAATTGGAACAAAACATGGGTACCATCCGCACTTGAAAACTTGAAATTGAACCATTTTTAATTCTGAGGAACAAATTGACTTGGTCAAGAAAAACGAGTTTCTTAATAAACGCACAAACGGGAAGAGAAATGCCAAATTTAGTGAGCACTATTAAAAAAACTAACTTAAATTCAATCCCACCTTTTGCTTCAACCAAATATCATCACAAGTTAATGAATTAAGGCAAAACAAACACAAGCAGGGGAAGAAAATGGCCGTGAAAATGCATCTTAGTTTATTCATCTTTGCCACAATTGGCTGCATTATGTTGGTATCTGTGAGTTCAACAACAACTCACGTTGTTGGAGACAATTTTGGTTGGAATATGCCCAGCTACCCTGGTTTCTTCGAGGACTGGGCCAAGAAAAGAACCTTCAGTGTTGGTGACGTACTCCGTATGTGTTAACACCTTTAATTCTCTTACCTCCTTACTCCCTCATTTTTCTTAAATACATTTGATATTGATATTGGGTTTCATTTTTTGTTCAGCCACATCATTTGGTGACTTGGAAAATAAAATATTATCAGCAATGCATGCCTAACTATATAAACTTAGTTTAATTATTTGTGAAAATAATGAAGTAAATCCAAATATTGCAGTTTTTCAGTACAACGCGGGGCTAAACACGGTGGTTGAGGTAAACAAAGAGGACTATGGTAACTGTACTACCAGAAATACTCTCAATTCGTTCTTCGAAGGGGACTCGAGTTTTATTTTGCGCAGGGCTGGGGATTATTATTTTTTATCTTCAGTTGGAAAACATTGTGAAGCTGGCCTAAAGCTTTGGGTTAACGTTCATCAGTAATTGGACCATTCGTCTCATCAATTTCCTCCATGTTTGTAGGCTATAACAGTATTGGGCTCATGTATGTAAATTGTGGCCACAAATTTACCCATTTGTTTATGCTCTTTGCTATTTGTAGTTTCGTTCTGAATATTTTCATGGGCCAAAAATAAAGTTCTGTATATTAGCTTCAGTGCATTTTGACAATGTAAATATGATTAAAAATATTTATGAATAAATACATATATAATTAAAATTATTGATTTGAGATTGTTTTAAGTTTTAGCCATGCTTATGTACTGTTTAACGTCTAGAACGTGTTAGAGGCATTTTGCAAGAGGCAATGTAAATCAGTATCATTTCCTTTAAAAGAAAAAAAAAATCAAATGTAGGACTATCAATATCTCATAAAAAAAAAATTATCACATAAAAACTGTTATATACCATATTAGGAGCTCCTATTCTAAACCACATTTCCCTTTGCATGGGAAAAATTCCGCAAGAGCAATTACAGTTCGCAACAAGCGCTATATTACGATCATGTCATAAAGAGTTTGTGGGAGAGAATTTTTCAACAACCACCACAGAAAAAATTAAATTTTCTCAGTCAGAAAATTGTGTTGAAACTGAATGCTCCTGGTCTTTTCTATTTAAGTGAAAACATTGCTTAAGCAAAAATTTCTAAGAAAGTATCCTCCTTTTCCATGGCTGTATACGAATAACATTTACGAAATAATACACTAAACAGCTTGCGTTAATAACCAAAAACAACACAGCAAAGATCCTTAGTTTTACTGTCAATTAACATTTAAGCCTCATCTGACAAAAGACAACAAAATCCTCAATCTATTCCAAGAACACCATAATTGTAATTTCAGACATAAGTTGAACCCATCTTGCTTCGGTTGACAGGCTAAACTTATCTTTAAACCCCTCTCTCTCTTGCTCTTTCCCTATCTTGCAGCAAAGCAAAGGGAAACCAAACAAAAAAAAAATATAAAATGAATGGACTAGAATATGCATGATCAATCTGTCAAACATAGGAAATTTATTTTCACGATGGCTGCATCCAATTCATACGTGATAGAAAAAATAGAAATTGAGAGAACAAAATCTTTGAAAATTCAGTCACTTTTTTTCCTGTGTCTCATTCATACACGAATTAGTTCGGTTGAATTTTCAATTCTCTCTTTCAATTTCTATCCTTATAGTTCTTCTTAACCTTTCAACATTCAAACACCCACCCAACAACAACGACAACAGTTTCATAGTCTCTTTCAGCTTCATTAATTTCATAAAAAGAAGCAAAAGATTTGAGACTAGGATTTAATGCAGTTGATAGCTACTGGATGTTCCGTAAGAATATGACCTATATCAGCATTCTTGCTTTGAATTCGAATTTACTTTATCTTGGCTGGCTCTGTGTTGTTTTTGGTTCTGAACGCACTGTTAACATAACTTTTTTTCAGAATTTTGTGCTTAAGCAAATGTTTCTTGCTTGAGGGGAAAAACGAGTTTTACTTAAACGAATATAGATTTGTTTAATTTGTTTAAACAAAAATAAAACTCAACGGTTTTCTGCACATACAGTACAGCCATGTCATGTAATTATTTGTGGGGGAGATTTTGATTTATCTTTTGTGCGTGTATGCATCAGCATAAGGCGTGCATGAAAAAAATGAAGATGAAATAACAGCCATGTAGCACTATAGTTGAATTTTATAAAAACTCACGTAATGTTTTACAAGACGCCACGTTAGATATCACGCCTTGAATGCATTAGACGCTATGATAATCTCGACTAAATAACATAGTTTTTTATATCTTTTGATAGCTATCAATACTACAATAGTAAAAAAAATTCTATTATACATTTTCTATTTGTCCCTTTGAATATTCTAAAATCTGAACTGCTTTTCTTGACGTATCTTGAATTGTCCTTGTCACTTATTCATCAACTAGCAAACTGTGTATCCAAAATTAGGAACTCAACTCATATTTTTTGTACTGTGGTTAGTAAGAATTAAGAGAAAAAAGTAGTTTTATACATTTTCTATAACTTTTGAGGGGGTGGGGAATAAGCAATTGTTCTTTGATTCTGTTGTGCTGTGTCGATGAACAAATTGTAAATAAATCAAACAATTTTTCATAATATTTCTCTTGTGCGACTACTGTTCTCTTGGTATATATGAAAAATAAAAGATAAAAGAGATAATTTTCAAATTTAAAATAAACAGAAGAATTGGAAAAATTATTTTAAATATTTTCATTTTATTTTTTCTTTAATTAAATAGTAAATTTTAAAAATTTTCATCCCTCCAAAATACACTCTTGCCTTTTGTCTATTTTTTACATTAAACATATCAAAATTCATGAAAAAATTTATTGTCACTTAAATATGAATGAAGGTAGAAGAGAGAGAAAATAGTATTCCAGGCAAAAATCACTTAAAATGACAATAGGTAAATTCTAATTTTATTTTTGTAAAATCATATCAGATTTACATTTAGTAAAAAAGAAAAAGAAATTTGATTTTCTTATACTCTTTTTTTTTTTTAATTTCCTCAGTTTTTAGTCTCTGTTTTTTTTTTTATGTCATATCATTTATCATAAAACTCACTTTTTCTTTTACTCATTCTTTTACACTTCAATTTTTGTAGTTTCGCCCACGGGTGTGTTAAGTTAGTGGCAAGCTAGTGTTTTTCCCCCCTCTCTTTTTGTGTGTGAGATTAGTAATTGTGGAATACAACTATGGAATGCATTTTGACATCTTCCGAGGGCAAATCCAGTTTTGTTGTTTGCATGCCCGGAAAATGTTTTGCTATAAACGAGTAGTTGGGTAGTCATGGCCCTGACCTGAGCTGCTCAAAAGAGAAAATTATTTATTTATTCAAAAAGAAGTGTCTTTCCTGAGACAAAATTGTGTAATGCATTTATTGTACATATTTGATACGATGATGGTGTTAAATGCAAACATGCAAAATGCATAGGCATATACCTAATTGCTAATAGTACAATATCAGAGTGGATGGGACCATATATGCTTGCGAAGAAGATGGGAGAAGAGAACCAATCACCATCTCAGCCCTCGAGCGCCATGTGGGCTCGCTTAGTTCCAAATATCCCACTTTGTAAGTACCACACTTGTGTATGTGGGTCAACTCAATTTTTCAAACCTTCAATTCTTCATGCCTTCATCTATCTACTCGACAGGGACTCATCTGTGGCCCTTTCTCACACTACAATGCAAACACCTATTTCAGATTATTGACCATAAAAAAATCCTTCAAACTCATATTTTGTTCTTCTCATAACCCATCACTTAGCAATATAAAATTGCATATATATTCATTGAGATATGATACATTAAACAGGGAAATAAATTCACCGTCGAGACAAAAGCACATGTTATTTATTTATGAAGTTTAACCATAAATAATTTGTCCTTTAAAACTGAGTATTAAAAGTAATTATTTTTTATTCATAAACACAGTCTTTTCATTAAAGTTATACATGTATGATAAACATATTTTCAAATATTTTTTTCAATGTTTTATTAATCAAATTCAACCTTAAGAATTAAGATTAATGTTAAGACTCTAGTTAATATTTTTCATAGTATATATAAACTTTGTCATAATCTCCTATTTATTTTTTAATAAATTTTTATTACTTTGTAAATTAAGCATTAAATAAATATATATGCATATATACATTATCTTTAAAATATAAAATTAATTTAATTTTTATTTAATAATCAACGTCAGTACCTGAAAATATTTTAAAAAAATACATGATTTAAGAACCTTCAATCAAAATCATATGTTTTTAGTTAAATATAGAAATGAAATCTGAATAAATTTTTAAAAGAAAATAAAAAATTACGTAGTTAAGTTTTTGTTTCTTGTACGAAACACGACGGCTTACCATGATCTACACGAGGAATATAATATGAGGACAGGAACGCTCTGTTCTCATTAAAATAGAACAATAAATATATTTTTAAATTTCAAGTGTACTTCGTCTACGCTCTCTTTTCATAATAAATAAAAGAAGAAAACGTGGGAAAGTGAAGGATTCTAATAAGGACCGCGATGTCTGGAGTAAAAAAGATTGGGTTTTATGCTGTTATCAATTTCATGGTTATGAAGTTTTTTTCTACAAAACATAACAATGTCAAGGGTGCAACATTGTCTACAATACCAAGCTTTAACTTAACCCTTTTCCATGCAGTTAACGGTAGTGCATTAAAAAGTATCCAACTCTCATGCCACTTGCTCCCCTCTGCTTGTGTCAGAAATTAGAAAAACAACTGCACCTGATCGGTTTCCTCAATTCAAACGCATTTTCATGAACCCTTTTCTACAAAGTGTTCAAAGAGCTTTTTTTTTACTATTTCATGTGTATTGTCAAAATTAAAAACTAAAAATATGACAACAGTGTAAGGTGTATTGTGATGTACAATTGAGATAATGCAAATTTATTAATACAAAACAAAATGAATTTCTTGCTCTTTACCACCTAACAATTTTTCAGCTTCAAGTTCAACCTCAAATATCGATTTTATCTTCGCCTCTTGGCATCTCAAAGATCCTGTCTGATTTTTTTGTTTTTTCCTTTTGCTTTTCTTGGGAAGTTGGGGAACAAGCCTACATTTGGCCAAAACAAAAAATGTAAAACGGAAAAGAAGTTTAATAGTGTGTTTGATTTGGCTTTTAGTTCGAGATGGGCAAAAGAACTACCCTTTTTCTTTTACATGCTTTTGGCATCGGAAAAACCAAAATATAAAAGAAGAGAGAAAGAAAGATTAGCAGAAACAATTGATAGAATTCATTTTCTGGATTTGACAAGCTAATATATTGCTAATGTTTCATAGTTAAGCTAACATTTTCTTCTATCAATAAGATTAAGATGACATGATTTTTAATATGAACTCTATGAAAAAAAAAATGGTTTACGATTCAAATCCTCAATCTACCAATGGATGGCCCAACTCTGCAAAAATTTACCAAAGATAGTTATCGTTTGAAGTCCTGAACCAAACTATCCCTAGCAAATTGTTCTGGTGGACAGAGTGGTTCGCAAGGTTTGAATATCTGGTGGAGTGTGTAGCTGAAGGTATTAAATTCATCCGAACAAACTCTTAAAAAAAAATAAATACAGTAAAAAAAATCTCCTGAACACATGTACTATACGTACAATATAAACAGGTTAGGTTAGGTGTGTGCGTTACATACTAAACTCATTTAACATGGCGCAAGACTTTATTGTACAAGTGATACATGTATCCAATACCTTTAAATACAATTCGCATTAGGGATCTCCTCAACCAGTTTCGTCTCACTATATTAAAATTAATATATTTTATTAACAGAATAATTTAACATAATCTCATTCCCACATGTTATCAAGTTTTAATTGAATTAGGTAAATGTTCAAATAAATATCCACCCGTCTCTTGAATACCCATAATACGCATTACCAGATGCATTAAATAAGCTTAGGCTCGTAGTAGTATTGCATTTATCGTTTAAATGTGTAAATGGAACAAATTTACAAATGACTTGTCCTCATTTAGAAATGTTGCTGTAAAAAAGTAGTTAGTCAATGGATGCAACAACGTTAATGTTAACGACTCATGCCAATTAATAAACATATATTTAGAATAGGAATTCTCTCGTTACAAACACCACCACAGTGAAAACGAAAGTGGGTATTACTATGCACCGGTAATTATAATTTATAATGAACGTTCATGGTATAATGAATGAATTTACTTATGAATAGCAACTCACAAATTTCGTACGTTTAATTTGTTAATACATTGACGGTTGAACATATTAAATGTTTATTGTTTGCTTGCATGTGTTCTTTGTTCCAACTTTTTAATAAATGTTTAGCTTCAATTCTTTCAAATATTTTTTTATCTGTATATTTTTTGTAATTCTTTTAACGTGATCTAATAAAAAATTATATGTAACACCCTTTTAGTGGACTATACTAGTAATAATAACTTAAAATAAGATTTAAAAACTATTTAAAGAGATTAAAATAAAAATTTTACTAAAATATATAATTAAAAATATATTTAAATCATACTATTATTTTTATATAAAATAAATTAAGTAAGCTTCTTATTAAAATATTAACAATTAAAATATCAAATTCTGCTCAAATTAAAAATTTGTCAAAACTTTTACTATTCAAACTCTAGTCTCATATTTTATAAAATTCTTTAAATCTTAACAAATTTTAACTAAATATCGTACAAGTAAACGTTAAAAATTATTTAATATTTCAAATCTATCATAAACTATCAAATATTTAAATATAAAATATAAAATTAAAGATTTAAATTAAAGGTAAAGAAATTAATTTTACTTAATTTTAAAATTAGAAAACTTAATAGAAAAAATATAATTAAGCCTAGTATATTTTGTGTAAATATGTGTCTCTTGAAATTATACTAATATTTGTTCAATGGTTGTAAGTGTTTAAGAGCTGTCATATATTATTAACTTGATCTAGCGTGAAGTTAATCTTGCTGAATTATGTTTTGAAAATTTAGACGTGACGTATTTTAGAAATGTGTTTGGTTATACATTGAGTTACTTCTATCAATTTCAATGGTTTTTTTTATATATATTTTAATACTTACGTATAAAAATATGTTTAGGAGGAGTTTATAGAAAAAGTTTAAACTCTTACAATTTTTTAAAATCGATTTTAATTATTTTTTATATTATATCAAAATAAAATTTTAACTTACTACAATAAATTTAATGATCAAATTTTTGCGACGAACCTTTGATAAGTGTTTAATTTAGTTGTTCGCCTAAACACTCTTAAATAATAAAACTTCTTAACTTAATTAATAACATTTTACATAACATAATAATATATTTGCATTAAAATTGTTTTTTCAAAGTATGTCATAAAATATACTTTCATTTTTATTTCATATACAATATTTAAATTTATATATTAAATTAGCAAACCATCCTGACTCCAATCTCAAAGCATATATTATTAATAAGATTAAGTTGAAGTGATGATCAAACCAAACCCATCTATCTCTAACCAATTCTCAACACCCTTGTATATATATGGTTGTCGTAAGTGTTGAGATGAAACATGTTTTCTATAGTATGTACATTACCAATGTAGTGCCTGTTTGTTTTTACAAGCAAACCGCAGATTTGTATACCAAGAAGGTGTAAATTACAGCATTTGAGACAAAAAAAGAAAAATAAAACAAACAGGTAACTAATGAGAACTGAAGTACTTAAAAAATAAATCGAGGCAATACCGTGGGACGCACGGTTTTCCAACCAGTCTTAAATCTTAATAAACATATTACATATATTATAGTAGAAAATCTATGGTTACAGATACCACCACATTAAAAACGAAAATAAAATAAACATTTGATTTTCACCTAACAAAAACAAAACAAAACAAAACTGATAGCATTACGAAGGAGCAACTCTCAGTTCCCGCCGATACAAAACTTGCCCATTTTTGTTGGCAATAAAATGACGAGAATGGTGTTATACTATTAACCAAACAAAGCAAATGAATCAAAGAGCTAAAAGGGGATCCGAAACAAACAAATCCCCAATATCTTGGAAATTATCACACTCGCTATGCCAATTTCCGAACCCAAAATCCAAACTCACAAAATCGTCAGCGAAGAAGATACTTTCCGGCACATTAACGACGTCGTCGAACATATCCAACGTGCTCTCGAAGTCAAACACTGAATCGCTCGGAATCGGAAATATTGACTCCGACTTCAACTTATCTTCCGAAACGCACGAATATTCACACTCACTAGCCGGATCAACCACATCGTCTCTCGCAGTAACGGACTCAACTTCCTCCGAATACGAACGACACCGAAGAACCGAAGTGGGGGAATGCAAGTCGTTGTTCCGAGATTCCTCGCCGGAATTGTAACCGGACTTTTTATTCTCCGCCGGCGGCGTTATGAAATTGGTGAGCGCGTCGGCGCCACGAAGCTGAATGGCCGCGTTGTCATACACAATGGCGGCTTCTTCGGCGGTATCGTAAGTTCCCAGCCACAACCGCACGCGGCGGGACGGGTCTCTTATCTCCGCCGCCCACTTCCCCCACGGCCTCTGTCTCACTCCCCGGAATTTCTTCCCGGAGCATATTCCAGGTTGCCGCCGAGTCGCCGGAGACACGCCTTTGTTACACTTGTTCCTGCTTCTCCTCCGGGAAACAACACCAGCGCCATGGTTGTCGCAGGAGTCGATTATAATTTCGTTGACGAAGTTTTTGAGTCGGCGGCGCGTGGAGGACACGGAGGGTTGGTCTTCGTCGCTGGAGGAGTCAGTGGCGTCAGCGTCGGTGACACGTATGCGTACTAGTTTAGGATAGGGATGGTTCTTCATTGGGTAATGTTCTTGTGAAGAGGGTGTGATGAGTAGTTTGGTGCGGTTAAGGCGGTGAATGTGCTTAGCCATGTTGAAAATGAAGATGAAGCTTTTATGTTGGTGTTGGTGTTATAGCATTGAAGCGAAGTGGGTGAGTGAATTGAAAAACCAATACTAAAGGAAATGGAAAAAGAGAAAGAGAAAAGGGTGGTGAGAGAGAGAGAGAGAGATTCCTTGGAGAGTGGACACAGAGGGAGGGGAGACTGAGAGGGAGAAGAAGAGAATAATAAATAAAGGAGATAACACGTCAGAGAGAAGCTTAAAAGGGAGAGAAATGTAGCATGAATGTGGGTTAAATACTGCTTCTAAAGTGTTATTAAAGAACGAGCAATTTCAAAGAAAGTTACGTTTAAAAGGAGAGAATAACAGCGTCCAACAAAACAAACCCAGCACAAGCACTAGAGAATTTGGGGTCAAGGGAAGCAAAAGTGTAAATTTTCGGCTAAAGTTTAAAGAGGAAAAAAACAGTAACGGTTGGCGAAATCAAACGAGGAAGCGCTTGTTAATTGCGATGTACTTGCTTAGTTTGAATTGATGAAATAACTCATCTATCTACTCTCTCTCTCTCTCTCTCTCTCTCTCTCTCTGCTCTCTAGCAGATTTCGTACGAGACGGAGGTAACAGAAGGAAATTCACGAGGAGGGATTGGGCAAGGCTCTGAAACTCTCAAAGAAGAAGAAAAGTACTGTTTCTTTTGTTACCTCAAACCTATTTTATAGTATCCAACGGACCTATATGCTAAATCACATTTCATTTCTGTAATTTTCTTTTCTAATGTTTTCATTTACTTTTGCTAAGCTTTATGCTGATAAGGAGACGCATACGAATGTGGCAGTTCAAAGGCAAATCAGAATATGACACGTTGTCAGACAGAAGGCATACTAATCACGTGAGGAGAGACACTTTGGATCAGATCAGTCCTACTTTGACTGAAAAGAAGTGAGCAATTCGGGATACTTTCAGCTCCCATCCAATTCCATACTACTAATGTTTAACCCCCTTTCTCCTATTCAAATCCCCCTAATTAATGCCTTTTAATATATAATTTATTTCAGACTTTAATTACTTTCTTTCCTCTTTTCATTTTCAGATGTTATAATCAATTATTAATCACATTTCAATACGTAAATTAATTACTGTAGAGCTGTTTTCATTTAATCAATATTTTTCTAAATATAGTTTTAAATACGTAATTGCATTAACTATCATATTTAATACACGTGTGTGTTTAAAATTAAATAATATAAATGAAAGAACCGTTAGTTATTTTATAAAAATTAATAAATTTCTCATTCATCAGATAATAACATAAAATTTTAAAATAAAAAATATTTAATGATAAGTTTTAGATTTAATAAATTTATAAATTGTTTTTTAAATGTTTAATATATTAAATATTGTTAAATTAGAGAAATAGTATCTTTAAACTAAAATAAAATAAAATTTTAAATTAATAGAATTGATAAAATTAGATGTTCCAAGCTAGAAGAAGAGAATTAACAGCTAAAGATACTTTTCTTTTAAGATTACTCTTAAAGACACTTTTGTTCACAAATTAAAGTTCATAATAATTTATAAAAAAGTATAATTTAAAATTTATAACATGGATACTAACCAAAAAAAAAGAAGTTAACCACTTATTAACATAATTTTTATTTAAAAATTTAAAGTTTATTTAAATCATGAATGCGTAACTTTATTAAATAGGAGAGGCTTACATATAACGCCTCCAGTAAAAGGTGGAGCATTTGTAAATTAAATTGAATCAATTTTTGAAAAAGAATCATTCAATTCGATCATAAAATTATAATATAATTTAATTCTAAATTAACATTTATTCAATTTGCATTTTGAATTGGATTGAATAATTTATTTTTTATAATTTTATTTTAACCAAGTTAAAATAAAGATTTCCGCTCCATTCAACTGCACTTAATAAATTTTAAGATCATACTGAATAACGGTCTCTTAACGGCTGGAGTTGAGACAACGTGGTCGGTCACGTGTCAGGTGAATGACAAAAAAACATCGAATATAATATTAAAGATTTTATAAACCTTAATATTTTGGTTAATATTAAATAATTTAAAATAATATTTTTTTATTAAAAATATTTATTATACTAAAATTATAATATTTTAGTAAATTTTTATTATTATTAATTACTTTCAATTTAACTTTGAACTTAACATTTTTTAATATTATTGAATTATATTTCAGTTTTATTGGACACACTCCAATTTTCCTCTTTCCTTTTTTCATTAATCAGTGCACTTAAATATTAATTAAAAATAATAAATATATTTTTTGTCTATGAAAAATTAATCAAATAAAGATATGTTGATAATATTTTTCATAATATTTATTTCTAAGATAAATACTAACCATATTCTAAGAGTATTAATTAATGAATTAAAAGTAGTTTATTTAATTTAAAAAGTACTATTAATTCATTTTAACTTTAATATATAACATTTTTTTACGTATTCTGAATTAAAGAATAATATTTATGTATGGATATGGATTTATACTAAAGAATAGAGTATGAATTAATTTGTAAAAATTTATCATGATTATCATAAGTTTTTGCTTGAGTTAGTTGAGAATGAATGTATCGTATCAACAATAGGTGAAACTTACACACTAACTATTTTATCATTATTTGTGTGTCCCTTGCCTTGAAATCTTTTGTTTATTTAAAATTTGCATTTTAAGTTGCTTACACATTAGTGATGTCCAATTAGTTTGAGTCAATAAATCAATACTGTTAACATCCCTCCTCATTAAAACGATATTCTAATGTACTCGTTGCTGGCGTCGAAGCAATTGTTTTTCATTCGATATGAATTTTTAAAAAATTGACATATTTTTTCCTCTTTGTTTACAAAATTTAACAGAAAAATTTTAAAATATGGATAATTATTTTTCAATAAATTTAAAATTATATTAGTACATTTCATTACACTTTAATAAAAAATTTAATAAATTTTTATTTATTAATGCTGAGAAATACGTCAAGGGTACTGGTGTGTATATAATATAAGTAGGGGGTGGCCTGATTTTGTGGTACCCGTTATGCACTGTTCCTTTGGCAGAGTGAGTGGGGAAGATACAACGTCTGTAATGTATGGGTTAATTTTAATAGACCTTGCTGAACGCTGAGTACAAAGCATAAACTATGAGTACAAGTACACTGTTGCTGAACAACAACACAAGACGACACAACACAAAGGTGGCCATTCTCCACGCACCATCGATATATTATTTTATAAGAACTTGGTCACTCAAGTAAATCACGACACAAGGCGCTTCATTTGTTTCTTAATTGTATTTTATTTTGTGTTAGGATGCACTATTATAGAATACCTGAATTAATAAGGATTGGTAGTTTGATAAACTATCCAAGACTTTCATAGATGATAATTTTAACAGACATGAAGATAAATATTTTTTTCCAATAATATTACGTGTTTTCTTTAGTTTAAAAAGAAAAAAAAAAGAATAACTTTTTTGATTTTTTAAATTTTATCCAATAAAATATCCTTTATAGTTTCATTAATTAAACCAACGCTCTTCCTTCGAATTACTTTCCGTGCTATTTGTATAAGAATAGAGAAAGGATCAGGCTAATTAACCAGTTAATTGTATTTGTTAAAACAAACAATGGATATTAAATTCTCCAAGATTTTGGTAAATGGATGGCTGTAAGGATATGTTATTTTTAATATCATGCACGTTAGTTAGGACAGCATATAGTGTGATATTTTAAAGTTTGGTATAATTATTAGTTAATAGTTGATTTTTTAATAGGATAATGAGTTTTTTTTTTGTTATATTCATAAAAAATACTTAGAAAATATTACTTTAGCTATTTTCACATCTTATAAGGGCTCATGATAGCAATAAAAGTAATAAAATAGATAGTTAAACAAAGATGTATTATAATAATGATTGAAATTTATTCATCTGTTCTTGTATAATTTTTTTATTAGATACACATATATGTGTATCGTGAAGGGATATTTGTAAGATTTTAAAAGAATATAGGTTCACCTAAAATTATTACAACGTAAATATTGATTTTAAGTTTTCTCCACGTGGAATCATCGAGTCATGCATCTCCCCAATCCATTTGAGTCCAAAATATATATTCTCAGAAGAAATAGCCAGGGAACATGCAAAATTATTAATGAAGGGAAACTAGAGCCTAAGCGCATATTGAACACGCAACCTCGTCTAATTTAAACTAGTTGAACCAACCCATTTTGATACATTGAACCCAGTGTTTTGTTTGCATTGCAGTTGTACATGATTTCTCCATGATTACAGAACCCAAGTACCCAACCTCGTGTTTGAGAAAGGCTTTGAAAATGCCGACCTACTAAATGCTCTAAACTAAATTTTGTTTAATAAAACATTTCAGTTAAAATGTCTTCATTTTTTTAACACTCACTTGCTCAATGGGAAAATCAACTTGTATACTCAATTTTTTGAGGAAAAAGGTATTTAACTCCTTCACAAGTTAAACTGTACAGATTATTTTATAAAAATGGTTAAATTTGTTTATCCTTTACTTTTTATTGAGAAATTAATCAAAGCTAGCTCAAAGTTTTGGAGCTTTATCCATGTCGAACATAGTTGGGACAAGAATACTTAGTACAGAATTGTGTAGCAGAAAGAGTGAGTGGAAGAGCATAGGCTCTCCATTAATTGGTTTCTGGGGGACCATGTGCGCGAGCTGCACCATCTGCCATCTGGGTAGCTACCAGCCTTGCAAGCACATCAAATTGGAACATCTGGTAAGCACTACTCCACCCTGCACACAACTTTGCATGAAACATATTTTCTTTCCATATTAGAATTCAAAGCTTACACCCTCTTCTTCTTCTGTACTTAATTTTATTATTTAAAATGGACAATATATTATATTGTTACTGAAACAGCAGCACCGATACTGTTTATTTTCCCCTCTTTAGCTTTCACATGGCTCCACTGCACTTCATATTATTAGTCACTACTCAATTAATTAAGCGGTTCATCTAATTTAATGTCTTGTCTTTACATGATAATTGTAAGATTTTTTTTTAATATGTACAAAATTAATGATGATAAAAAAATTATAAATAGTATTTAATAGTGTCAATATACTGAATTATATAATTTTTTATTGTGTATAGTCTTATATAGGTTTAAAAAATCATAAAAAGTTTACTTGCTCTAGTGAAGACAAGTTTACAGAATATCATGAGCTATTTTGCTTGTATTTTAGCACAGTCTCCCTCTCTAACTAACTTCATAAATGTGGTTTGTGGTAGGGCGAAAACAGTCTCCTGAAAAGGATAATCGTTCAGAGTATTTACTATCAAGCATATCCCTTCTTTCCCACATATAATCTCATTTATTTATTAGTTTGTCTCAAATATTCAATAACCACAACCAATATGAGAATCTATCTGAAAGTTATGTCCTTCAAAAATCACGATATTTCCTTCTTTATCCACTCCAAGAATCTAATGGGCATTGACTTATTTGGTGGGATAATTTATAATAAAATGAGTATCTGGTGGAAACATTAAAATACCTTTGCAATGACTCTTGAGTGAATTAGGAAAACAATTTTAACATGGCCCTGGATGGTAGATCCATTTGACCAGAGTAATAAATGGAAAATTGAAAACGTGATCTAGCTGAGCAGGGATCTGCTTCTCAAAGGGTAGCTGCACCCACAATTAAGACCATCTTTACCTTCTTCCTTTTCATGAGAATGGGAATTTTCCCCTACTGCACCTTTTATACCCAAAGTTGTAAAATTACTATGGTCCACAGAAGAAACTGTCAACTTTTGCGGAACCTTCTTAATTTGTATGTTTAGCTGCATGTGTATTTGGTTCATAATTTTCAAACACAGCATCCATTTGTTTTCATGCACGTTGTATCGCCTCTCAAATTGCTGTTACTCCAACGACACATTTTTCTTCCTTTTGGCTAACATTGTATTGAAAATCGTGTTTTTCCGTTACTAGAAAAATCAGAGTCTTGTTAGAACGAGGTTTTCTTAACTTCAACCTGTATGATTAAGATTAAGCATTTAAAAATGGTACATTTTTATTAAAATATAATATAATAAATGTTTTTGGAAAACAAAGCCTAATTACTATTAGTTGCTTAAATTTAATTTTAAGGGTTAAAAATAATATTTTCTTTTATTAAAAAGACTAATTGACAACCTTAATTTTAAAGAATGAAAAATATAACCTTTTCATATCATCAACAGATTGTTACCATAATTTTAATAATTATATTTTAATTTAAATTCCTTAACTACTCTATGTAAACTTAACGTGAAATCAACCGTGTTAGAAATGAGCAAACTTGACTTTGTATCCCCAAGTCCATATTAAGGAGTCAAAACTGCGGAACTAAACGCGTGCTTCGTTGATTTTTTTTCTTGATATATAGATATAGATTTCAAGGGGCGTTTGTGTTGCATAGATTTGGTCCATAATCCATATACAATGGGTAATGTTTGTTTAATAGCTTATTGGCCCTTTTTCCCCCTGAAAATAAAGTATTTAAACTTTAAAGAAAAGAGTAAAACCTTCCTATGGTCTACTTTTATTTGTATCTCTTAATTCTTTAGTTTTCTTTTTACATTTTACCTTTTATTCTTAATATGTTAAAGTCACAAATTTCTTATATCTCGTATTTTTTTATTAAAGATGATATTGTTTTTATTTTTATTATTTGACACCGAAATAAGTCTTTATAACGTTATTTATTTCTAGATCAAGTAAGTATAACAATGACAATCTAATCTAACAGGATATGGACGTTAGTGAAGCCTGAAGTTCTATTGTACCATGGGCCAAAACAAAGCAACCAGAGCCCAACCCACATTGACATAAGAGCCGTGCCTTCCAAAATATTTTCCATCACCCAGATATAAAAATGTTGAAGACCCAACAGACACATATTGATCTTTTCATTATTTGATTTGATCATTGTTTTAAGCTAAGCAATATTAATAAGATATTGAATATTTTATTTGCTTTAAACATGTTTATTAAAATTACATTTGATTTTCTTAATCAGTTCTCTTTAAAATATTTGTTAAAAAACTTATTTTTATTTGTTAACAACTCTTCTTAAAGAAATAAATATGCAAAATAACTACTAAATAGTTTATATTTATTATATTAAAAATACTTATGAATTTATCAAATTAAAATATTTGTTATTTTTTTTAGCAATCTCCAGTGTCAAATCAAGCTTTTGATTTGTTAAAATATATTAAAATTTACAGTATGAAAGGATTAATAAATAGTGTGTGTGTGTGTGTATATATCCTTAATCAGTACCCTTCAATTATCAAGCATTTCCAATATTTTATTTCAAAATTTAAATAAAAGATATATTTAATATATTAAAATATAAAAAATTTAAAATTTTTTCCTTTAGTTTATAGGAAGACTGACAAAAGAATGTTATATGAAAAAATAATTTATTCCCATAAAAATGATCGAATCACAGCTTGTTACGTGTTAAACTTTATTCAGTTTTTGGCTGATTATATGAAAAATAGTACGCAGCATCCATCTAGAGGAATTTCTGCATGGAAAAAAAGAGGCAGAATCCTCCGCAATTGAGTAGGAAGAATTGCAGGAGGTGCATTCCATCGTTTGTCTGGCTCATCTTAAGCTAACGATTTAAGTTTATAGTTCAGAAATTTTAAATTATTGATATCAAAATATGCATGTTCTATTAAAAAGTAGAAATCTGGTTTTTTCTACTTTAAAACGAATAGGGAATAAGTTTGCCTTTTTATATTTATTATTATATAATTAATAAATTATTTCAATAATTGAGATATCAAATAATGGCAACAAATGAATGCTAGAACCTGAGTCCGGCGAACATTTCTACGCTCGTGAAGTATAAGACTCCTCTGAAAAGTCAAGGGGACAAAACTTCTTTTGATTTTTCTTGCTCGTGCTCTCTGTCCACTGTTTTTATAATCTTTTGTCGTATTATTTTCATAGTACTCTCAATCTCAAACTTCTTATTCTATATGAAATTGAATTAATACAGAGTACTTAACAATTTAATATACATTGGCATTGACTTCATTTTTCGCTTTTCCTATCTCATGAATTTGACGACCCATTTTTCCATATCTTTTAGAATTCTCAAATTCTTATATTCTGATTAACAGTTGCATCTTCTTGGTAAAGAATTGCTTCACATACACAAGAAATGCTTCACGCTATATAGGAAATATGTTTAACCAACTCAAGCAACTTAAATATAGGAAAAAATAACAATGATAAAAATAATAATTATAATATAACCACGCTCTTGTTCAGAACTTGGAGAAAAACATTGAAAAATACACTACAATCAAATAAAGGAAACATCTTCCATTCATCTTCTACCTTATGGGAAGTAGGAAGGAGTGGAAGGAGAATTATCATTGCCACGTTGAGATAATTGAAGTTGTGCTTGGTTCCCAGATGATGTCTTAGTTTCTGTATCAATCTGCCTAACATTTTCTATCATCTTCACAACTTCAGACATCTTAGGTCTCTGATCAGGCATCCTAACCACACATGACATGGCTATCTGTAACATTTCCACCATCTCTTCTTCTATGTTTGGATATCTCATAAGCTCCAAGTCAAACACTTCAGCTGTCCACTCCTCACGCACAACTGAATGAACCCACCTCACCAAGTGGATAATCTCATCACCGCCAGTAGTGTGAATAGGAGATTTCCCAGTCAGAAGCTCTAGTAACACAACACCGAAGCTGTAAACATCTGAGGGTTGTGCTGCTTTTCTTGTGTCAGTAACTTCAGGTGCTCGGTAACCGGCGGCTCGTGATATTGGCAAGGCAAGTGAGCTTGATATGGTTGCCAGGCCAAGGTCACATACACAGCCGTATTGTTTAGTGTTGAGAAAGATATTTGAGGACTTTATGTTTCCATGTACAAGCCTGCCACCATTCTCGAGATGGATACGTGCAATGCCTCTTGCAGCACCTAAAGCTATTTTCAGCCGAGTGTCCCAATCTAACGCCACCCTTTCCTCTCCTCTTTTACCTGAAACTCTCACAAAGCAGATACTTTTACATGTAAAGATGTGTCATATGTAGAATGTATTAGAATAGAATAGCATATTCAAGACAAATTGTTTCTAATTGATTATTTATTTGTATAATTTGCATGTTGACTTCTCCATTAAAACAGCAAATATTGTGTACAGGGTATCTAAGAGTGTGAAATTGCGATTTGTTTGTTACTAAGGGGGTATTAAAGTTGTACAAGCACTCAAAAATTGAAAAGATAGACGTATCAACATATTTACGTACCTCCTGAGTGCGGATTCTGATTGGTGATGTTCAATATTTGAGTGCTTGTACAACTTCACTATTTGCAATTAATATTAAAGCTTAACAGTCATTCTAAAAAATAGTAATAACATAACAGCCATGCTCGTACACCCCCTCACAGTTGCTCCTAGCAAACATATGTTCAAGTTGTTTATTTTTAACTCTTTTAGTTATGTAAGTATATGCTCAAGGTTTAACATTCGGGAGGAGGATTTGGCTCCACTAAAGTGAGATACGTAAAGTAAGAAAATAAGGGTATATACTGTAATTTGAAATGAGTTAACTTTACAAGATACTTTAATTAAAAGTATTGATAAATACAGTTTTACTTTCTCACTTTATATATCTTTACTTTAGAGGATTCAAATTCATAAGAGGAAGGCCAATCAAGTTATGGTAAACTTAACATACGAAGGCCTCCTATGTTTACAGTCACATATGGTTGCGAGTAGCTATAGCTAAGCTAGAGAAGTGAAAACATTCAAGAAACTGCTTTCATCTAAAATAGTAAAATTGACCAAATATGTCTTTACTAGTATTTGATTTAAGCAAACTACGTGTCAGATCATAAGTAAATTGGAATTGAAATGGGCTAAAACAATGGAACATACCATGCAACATAGAAGAGATGCTCCCCTGACTGTAGTGATCATATACCATCAGTTTCTCATCTTTGGAATAATAATATGCCTTCAGCTCAACCACATTCTCATGTTTGAGACTTCCTACAATCTCCATGTGTTGCTCAAAATCCTTCTTACCAACAGCAACCTCCTTTAACCTCTTTACAACAACCGTGGTTGCATCCTCTAGGATTGCCTTATATGCAGTACCAAACGTTCCCTTTCCCAGCACCTCAGCAGAAGCCCTCAACAAATCCTCCAAATCAAAGGCATAATTGCATCCCTCAAAGAAAACCAGTTTATTATTTGCATCCTGGTTCCTTGAGACTGCTTTTTCAGGAGACATTTCTCCCTTCTGCAACTTCCCACTGAAGACCTCATCTTCATAACTTCTCCTTGAGCAGCACACAAACATCAGAGAAACAAAAGCCACAAGGCCTAAAACACCAGCAGCAACAATAATTCCCAGCAGTGCGGTTTCGCTGAGCCTTCCATGTTTCTTAGACTTTGAAGATGGTTCATAAGCCAGTTGAGGCACAGGAGAAACAGCAAGAGAACCTCCGAAAGAAACATTGTTACCAAAGAATGCTGATTCAGGAAACCTCAAGAGGGAATTAGGCACACTGCCATTCAAATCATTGTTAGACAAATTCAGCACCTGCAATCTGGACAACTGCAGGTCCGGAATTTCACCAGAAAGAGAGTTGTTTGCGAGGTTCAAACTAGCAAGCTGAGTCAAATTGGAAAGTGAAACTGGAATGCTACCATTGAAACGGTTATTGGACAAATTGACAACAGTAAGGTTCTTCCAGACTGAGAAATCAGGCAAAGGACCAGACAGATTGTTGAACTGAAGATAGAGAAAAGACAAGTTTTTTAGATTGGTGAAATCAGAAGGAAAATGTCCACTTATCACATTGGATCTGAGGCTCAAAGTTTGAAGTGCTGAGAGACGGCTAATGGTATCAGGTGGAATAGTGCCATGAAATCCAACCCCTGGTAATCTAATTGTTATTACTCTTGACTTGTCTTCATTGCAAGTCACTCCAGTCCAAGAAGAACACATGGGGGAACTTTCATTCCAATTCAGAGGCCTAGAAGGAGGAAACTTCTTCACAAAATCAAGCAAAGCCTCCTTATCTTCAACTGGTTCAGCATTTCCTTGCCAGAGAATAAAACACAAGAAGCAAATGGAAGACAAAATGCGTAGTAATTCCATTTCAAGTTTTGCTTCCACTTCCAGCAGCAGCAGCAAGGAACGAGGTGTTTCTTCTGCTACCTTATTTACACTGCAACAAGACTGCTACTGCATAGACTGAAATGAATCAACACAAGTTTGTTAGTGGAAACTAAAAAGAAACCAAATTTCCCGCTTGAGAAAACCAAAATGAAAGAAATAAAGCGAGAGCTTAAGACAAAAGGGAAAACCCAAAAGAGAAAAAAAAAAAAAAAAAGGTGGGAAAGGAAATCTGATTCCTAGAAGATTGTCCATGAAAGTAGAAACGGACACTGAGAAACTTGTGCATAAAAGAATGAGCTTGCAGGTTCTGTTTTTAAAGTTTTCTTCTTCTTTTTTATTTTTTTAATAAAAGCAGTTTGTTTCTTTCAGTTCCCCCAGATTGTCGTGCATCTTTTTGCTCTTTATTCCGCAGTAACTTTTCAGAGAAGATGGCGAAATCGAGAAAATTCAAAATTCATTGGAAGATAAACGAAGTTGAAAGCAGGGGCTACAGCTATACTCACTTGGCTCCAACCCAAGCCATTTTTTAATTATCTTCTTTGCAGATCTGAGCAAAGAATGTCCTCTTTGTCCCGTAACAAAAACACCCTTTAACCTGAACCTGCGCTATAGGCTAAGATAATATAGATAGAGGACGTAAGAGAGAGGTTGGAAGAAAAAGATACTAGTTATGATTTGAGAAGCAATGGTAGTTAGCTTAAAAAAGGTAGCATCCAATGCAAAATGAAACAGTGAGTTTGAAAAGGGTAAATAATAAAGAATGTGAGCGGCATGGCATTGGAAGGGAACATGGAGTTTCTAGAGCTACCATTCCATTCCCAACGGCTCTATTTGTTGCGGTGGCTGTGACCGTCTGAGAGAGAATTGGTGAGTTGGAACGTCTCACACAGAGAGTGAGAAGAGTGAACGTTGGAACGGAAAACCGCTATTCATGAGTTCATGGAAGGATGGGTTTATATGGATCACTGACGTGGGCGTATTGCCTCTTGACATGTGGGTCTCATTTCTTGTTTCATTGCTTTACAAAGATAATAAACACTGTTTTTGTTTTTGTTTTTTCTCTTCTTCTTCTTCTTTTTATACAACTTTATTTTTTAAGTATTTTTAACACCCAAATATGACTCATCTTAAATTATTATGGATTAAATTTGAAACGATTCAACTTAAATTGATTAACCTTTATAATGAACAAAAAATAGTAACGTAGTGAGTTAGGTCACTTAATATTTAAAAAATCCAAAACAATATTAAAACATTATAAGAAATGAACTCCGTATAATAATTTTACAATTAGTATTTGTTATTAGCTAACAATACTGAATAAAAAGTATTAACCAATCATCAAATAATAAATTTAACATTAATCTTTTGCAATCTACAAGGTTAAATCCAACTCATCGCAAGTTAACTTTGTATAACCTACAAGTTTATTGAATTGAGTTATAATAATTCGTATATTTTGTGAACTTAATCTTCTGCAATATAACTTATTAGTAATTTGGGTTGAACTAGATTGGCTCACAACTTAAACATATTTTAAATCCTTTAAGGGTGTGAAAAAAAAACTATTTAATAATTTTTGTTAAATTATTATAATCTTGTAAATTCGAAAACATTTATAGCTTGATACTGTAACTGCAAAACGTTTTTTTTTTTTTTGTGTGTGTTGAATCAGTAATATATTGAGAGATTCTTTGGCTGTTATGGAAATGAATTATTTTACACAATTACATGTATAACTTTAAAATTTTAATAAAATGTACTAATTTAGTTATATAAAAATGTTTAGCTTTTATTTCTCCTTCTTTCTTTTATATTTTTAGTTATTGCAAATAAATTCTGGCATAAGCAGTAAATTATTAGTTATTTATATACTTATCATGATATATTTATTTTCTGACAATGTATATGTAAAATATTTCATTGAAAGACAAAATTTATTTTGATGATATTTATCGATTAAAAAGGACTAGTTTTTATTTGTTGGTTTGAGGATTTTATTTTATTTTTTTGTAGATACTCAAAAAGGTTTTAGTTATTAAATACTTAGATTTTTTTTCTTAAAATAATATATTTAAAGTTAGCTGCGATAATACTTTTTTAAAAATAGAAAATAATTAATAAACAGCTGTATTCTTTAAATATCTCAACGGGAACGTTGATACTAAATAAAAAAATAACTAAACGATCCAAGTGTTTTGATATTAGAACATCCAGAATTATTAAATTTTTTAATGACGAGATATCGTTTAAAAGACAGTTATAAATTTTAATTATATCATAAAACATAATACTAATAAATTAGTATATTTTAGAAAAGGTAAGGACCTTCTGTACTGAATATTTTCACTGCACCAACAGTAACAAATTTTAATTATTTTTTAATTAAAACTAGAGTTAAGAAAATAAGTTATTTTATTTATTCGATTGACTTATTACTGGCAACTAATTTTGATCAACAGGATTAAAAATATTTAAATAAAATTTAAATGTTTAAATCCATTGAAATTTGATTTTTCTTTAAATTTTTATAAACTTAATCTATATTAAATTGAAGTCTTACATTATATTTTTATCAAACAGATTTAGAACAATTTAGTTACACAAATCATTTTATTGATGCTAATTAAAAATATTATATTTACTGTTCTTAAAAAATAAATTAACTAAGTATTTGAATAATATTTAGTGATGAATTTACTAGAGAAGATCTATGCCACAGTCAATAATGACCTTGAAGTAGATCTACTCATTAATTAATTAATTTATTGAAGAAAAATATTATGTGGGAGGGTGGGAGCAATGAGTAGGAGGTTTGAGTGGCTGGTGAGTGGTGAAATGATCATTAGCCCGTTTACAATAACGACAAACAGTCAATGTTGTCAATGGTCCAACACAAATAAGGACTCGTACAAACAACTGCCTCAAAAACCCAGTCATGAATCATCATCATCATCATCATCATGGCTACACAGCACAATAATTTCATTTTTTTATCAATATTTTTTAATAATTAATTATATACATCTCTCTATAATTTATTGCTGCATTTGTGTTCAACTGTGTATTCATCTAATATGTAAACAATATCACATTATTATCTCATCATCAATGGCACGTGTTAGTCAAATTCTTCGCCAGCTTTGATGAAAACAATCATCTTCTTGAACGAAAATGTTGCAAGATTTACTAATTTATTGTTGATAATGAAAAAATTGGCCCACGTGTTGGTCTAATTTGGATAATAGCATCAATGGTAAAACAGTAAATTCATGGGTTGCCTGGTTTTTCACATGGTATAAATTTTCGAATAATTTGATCTGCAGGAGACTATCGATGACAAAATGATAAGTCATTATGACTGTTGAATATGTCAAAAATAAAAGTTTAAGGTAAAAAAATGTAATTATGATGATAAATCAGCATAACAAAAGTGTTGTATTTTTCATATATAAAATTTTTATATGAAATCGGGCAAGAATTTATAAAAGTTGGATTTAGTTATTTAACAAATGTATTTATAAAAATTATGTAATTGTAATTTTAATAAGTTCATAATTTTTTTGAGAGTGACGTATTTACAATTTATTGTATATATAATATTATCTTATAACAATTTCAACTGCTAGTTTTTTGTTAATGATTAGAACTACATTTTATTTTGTAAAACATATTTATTTCCTTATAAAGGAAAGATAAATATATTTTATAAAGTAATCGTATAACTTATATTTATATAAACAGATATTTATAAAATTATTTTTATATAATTTTTAAATTATACTTTATTATATATTTAATTTTTTTGTTGATCTACACTTTTACTTTCTATTTAAGCTCGTTGAGAAAAAGTAAAAACAGCCGAAATGTGCTTGTATGTGGAGTCTATACATTGCATTAGGCATTAGCAGCGTTGGACTCTGAATCCTTTTTGCTGATCAACGATAAAGTAGGGGCCTCGTTGATGAATTGTGGTTTAAGAAGAAAAAAAGAAAAAGAAACAAAAGATAAGAAGAAAAAGTATGGGATTTATGCTTGTCTTTTTCCTCCAACAGCCAACGTTAAAGTCTAAACTACCTCTGTCCTCTTCGATAGCTATCATAACAAAGCCTTAATACACAGGTCATTGTCCAGAGAAACGGTTGGTCGGAAGGGAATGTGGATCAATTCCTCATTAGGATTGTGCATTTCTGCTATGCTAAAGCGATGACACAAAGTAACCATTGGTTTGGTAGACGGTGCAGGGGGAAGAGGCCCTCCCACAATGCAGCCCTCCTTCTCCGACAACTATATTTTATGCCTTCGACTTTATACCATAATTATTAAGTGCCCAAACACTCAATTCCAATTATTTTCCTCCATCATTTTCTACAAGAAGTGCATAGCATAATGTTTTATTCCAAGACAGGAAAATCTGCCTAATTCAAATACTACATTTATATTTTATAATGTTTTAAAGTAACAATTAGAGTTTATATATAGTCGCTTTTTCAATTAAAATTGTAACATTTAATGACATTAATGTATAAAATTACATACATTTTAACAACAAAATTACTCCTTATGTTATTTAAGTTAATTTTTTAAAAAATTAAATTTAAATGCAAGTTTCTTGAAAATAAGAGTTTATTTCTTTTCAAAAAAATGTCATTGTACGAGTATCTCTTCATTCACTGTAAAGTTGGCTTCAACAGTGCAATTTTTTTCGCGACCTCAAATATTGCTAAGTTTGCCCAACTCCTCTGAGGAAAGGCTTTAATAATTTGGCTGCTTTTAATATGGAATTGTGTTTGCATTGTGGGAGAGTGTACTGTTTGTAAGTTTGTTTGGTTAAGGAGAGCCAGAAGTTATCCCGTGGTGTGGCCCTGGGTGAGGAGGACACACAGGGATCACTTGTTTTCATTTCGACATTAGTTCTTAGTTTTGATTGTTTGATGTGCCTATTTCGTGGGGAATATTGAACTATGCTGGGTTACCATTCCCGCTACCAAAGGCAACATGATGCTGAACACACCTACCTTTCTGGGCACTAGGATTATGGTAGGTCATCTACACGTTTTGTCTTTCAATTTTCAATTTTTTTTATTGTCAAAACATTACTATGTTTTTAAAATCTGTTTTTAGAAATAAAGGCGCTTACTTTTTTTATGTTACAGATATAGTTATTCACATACGTTATAGTTTCCATTATTAGCTTTTTTTTTATTGGGCTTACAATTTAATATTTTTAATTTTAAAAATTAAATTGAGCGACATGTGTAACTTTGGAAATTAATTTGGTAAATTACTCTGAAAGAAAAAGAAAGATAAAAAGAGAGAAAATGAGAAAAATGTAATAAATATAATTTAATATAATAAAAAATTAAACTAAGAAGTAAAAACACTGTGCAAATATATAAATTTAATTGACGACAATCAAGGTTGATTGAGATGCTTGCTTTAACAGTTGGTAGAACTATAGCATACACTAAACATGGATAGAACTCGACCAAAATAAATCCCTCAGCACCATTAAAGATATCAACGGACAACGGTTGACGTTGAGATTTTTTTTTTGTATATTAAAAATTATCAAAATATTTTATGAATCAGAAAGTCAAAATTCTTCTGGGTAGGGATTGTTAAGCCCCAACATCATTAACGTTTGAAAAACTAGAGCACTAACAGTCCCATCTTCACCTCTTTTATTTGTTTTGCCCACAATGCGAATGTCAAAGAGAAAGTTTAGGGGATGGAAAAGTGCGTATGGGACTTTAATATATTGTGCCTATCACGCTCATAAAAGTTCCTTTGCCATCCAATTTCAATTTCTTCCCAAAATCCTATCTCAGATAAAACCTTACAACTTTTCTTTGCCATATAAACTACGAGTCAACATTGATCTACTCCTTTAAATCCTAATTAACACATATTCATTTAGAAAAATAACAAAAACCAAATTCTACCATAATTATGAAGGTCAAATTCAATAGAGCAATTACAACCCATAATCCTGGCACACTAGGGTCCTTATGATGGCAAGAACTTAGCATTTAACTTGAAGATAATGGGAGGTCTAAGAGTCAAAATTATTGGTGGGATCTATGATAAAACCAAAATTGGAGCATAAGAAAATCTACTACAAGTAAGAACGGGTGTTGATATTTTTTTCTGTGGGGTCAACGAGTAGGTGTGGTACCAACAAGCCATAATGGTTCCCTTCTTCCCTTTCCTTCGAGTGCATGCATTCAGCTAAAGACCCAAATTCAGCATTCTCTTTCCTAAGAGTATGTATAGAATTAGGAGTTGGTCCCGCGTAGATAATTTAGTGGAAAGGCTGGCGGGACATGAACCTCCGAATGGGTTAGCCAAACAAGTTTGTAATATAACAAAAATCAAACTTTGGAGATAAAGATGGAGTACAAGAAGTAGTGTGTAAATTTGGATGTTACCTTGAATTAAAATAACAAAGTTGGTGCCAAATAATACTTAATATACCTTTATATTTACATTCCAATTAAAAGGGGTTGGAGTACATAATAAAAGGGGGTTGGGTTTTTAGTGGTATGATATGCAGTAGTTAAGTTGGTTCTTTTTTATTTCCACTGCTTCTTAGGTTGAGCTTTGGTCCCTCACCTTAGGATATGATTGAATATATACTTAGCATGGAAGCGATGTTTATGGTCTCACCTGAGTTGAAAGGATGTGGCGTACTATCTGAAACATCCTTTAATTGTCCACACTTGACATCTTTAAATGCTTCCTTTAGCAGGTAATGTTTCATTCGTTATTTTCTTGGGTGTCCAGCTTCTATGTGGACTGATGTTTATTGTTTTTGTTATACAGCCAACTCACCCTTCAATGCTTGTCCGCAACAACAGCACCATGCCCACTAATTAGGTCACTAATGTTGATGTCGTCCCCATCTATTGGCATAAATGGAATTTGATTTTTCGTTGGCTCCTCAATTAATAAAGGCTCATTTTGTCTTTTAAATTAATATTTCAGAAAAAAAATATTATGCATGTAGAATATGGTCTCACAGATCGTGATTGTTAGAACATTGACTGAGAATTAAAAAAATGATCATTAATAATATTATTTAAAATTAAATTTAGAATTTTTTATATAAAAATATTATTGACATATATTTATTGTAATTTCTAATGTATTTTAGAATTTTTTTAAGAAAATTTATTATTAATTTCTTAATCAATGCCTTTACAACTTTGTTGACAAGATTCATTCAAATGTAAAAAAATATTAATAAAAACATTGAAAAGCATTAGAAATCTCAATAAACATATACTAAAAATTAATACCTTTTATTTTTTTTAGCCAATATCCTTAAGACATTAATTAAGTTTTGTCTATAGTATATAGAATTAATTATTTTAAATTTAATAGTTAAAATGCATAAAAAATAAAAATAATAAATTTTGAAATTAAATTAATATATACTATACCTTTTATATTATCTTTTAATAAATACTATAATGAAATAAATTATTATTTTTAAATATTCATTTTAAAATGCAAGAGTTAATTATTGTAGTATATATATAGCTAGGTAATAAAAACTACTTTTAAAGTAATTGATAGTGATTATTTGGTAAAAATTACACCTAATAATTATAATAAGAGTGTTAATGAAAATAAAATAATTAATACCTTCTTGATATTATAAAGTAACAAATAATCCGTGATAAATAAAAAATGTTTAAAAAATATTTAACATGGGACAAAATAATTACTTAATTTAACATATAAGAATAAGAAGTACAGCAAAACTTTTCATTTAGGGAGATAAAGTGCCTTGTTTGCTTATAAAGTTAACAAATTGTAACTAAGTATTTTTTTAAAATGATAAAACGTTTAAAATGAATTAAAACTTTTAAAGTCATAATATATTGAAAAATTAGATTATTAATTTTTATCATATACTTTATTTTTAAATTTTAATAGTATACAAATACTCCTTACTATTTATCTTAGCCTAAAAAAGAGAAAGTGATATCTAAAGTTTAAAACCCCAAGTCATGAAGAGAAAAGGCAATTTGTATTCCATTTCGAAGTCCATCAGTTTATTTTGAATTGGTGGTATGAGATGAGATGGGTGGAGGGATCAATATTTAAGTATGTATGTTTGATTGATTGAAATATTAAATTGAAAAATTGAAATGGGATGGAATAATTTACGTTGACGTATATCTCATTTTGTTTTCCCTAATTTAAAAGATACGAGATCGAATGAAAGTCACTCATACAATTAATTATAATTGTTAATTAATTGACAATTTTAAAGGAAATACTGAGAACAAGTGATTCATTATTTATTTGCAGGTAAACCAATGAAATGGAAATACAACCTCAAAAAACATGTCCACCACTGTGTTTCACAAACAGAGATATATACTACACATGCATAATGCTAACTTCACACTACTGCGTTTTTATTTATTATTATTTCTATTTTGTTGCGATCTTTTATTAATATTTTTATAAAAGTCAGATATATTTGTAAAATATAAACTTTTTATCTTTATACACATCTCTTGTTATAAAAGTTAAAATTATAAAGAAAAAGTTATATATTTTAATTTTATTATTTATTTTGTTACTTTTACAATAATCTTAATTTTTTATTTTATTTTTATCTATTTTCCTATCTTTTCTTTTTAACTATATTTTATATTTAAAAAATATGTGACTTAGAATATTTTATATTTAAATACATATAATTATTTATTTAATTAACTGTGAATAAATAAAATAAATAATAATTAATTTTATTATTAAATTAATGTAATATTATATATATATATATATATTAAGTCATTTAATATAAATTAATTAGTTATATAATTAATTTCTTAAATAATTTTAATTCTATAAACTACTTATGTAAAATTACAACTACAAAGTTTATAATTGTTAATTAATTTTATAGTTTGAAATCTAAGCGCTTAACTCTTATTATATTCCGGAATCTAAGTGACCCATTGATACAAAATGTTTAAATGAACATGTTTTATCGTCTGCCAAATGCACACTATATTGCAGCAGTTCTTTTATTCAAGTCTACCTGATAACCCAATCCAATTTGTAACTGTTTGTAATGTTTTATTTTTGTCATGTAACTGTTTGTATTTTATTTCCATTATACCCTTCAATTTCACTATTCACAGGCTTAAAATTCACCATCTATGGGCTATCGTCTATTTACGGGAACAACTTCAATCCATATTCTGTGGTAAACCAACTTTTTGTCACACGTTCTCTTATTAACAATCATTCATCACTTTTATTTATACTTTATACAATGAATTTCAATATATAAAATAATTTATACATATTTATTGTACAAATATAATTCTTTTGTATAATTTTTTTTTGTTAAACCACTAGTATTTTCTATAAGAGATAATTTTACTTGATTTAAATAAAACTATTATGAATAATAAATTTTTTCTTTTTTAACAGGGCTACATAATTTGCATAAACAATTTCACTACTTTCTTAAAAAATGTATTTTAATTAATTTATTAAATAAAATTTACATGTGATATCTTTTATATTTTGAATATTACTCAAGTAAAATTTCCAACAATAACAGAACAAGAGACATTGAATTTATTAGACCTAAGTTTGATCACAGTTTATTTGCTTAAAATCGGCATATTGAAGTAATTTCATATCAAGTGAAAGGGACGACAGAGAGCTCCAAGTGGCCTGTCCATTCTTCACCTGGCTTCAACATGACTGGTTTTTCTATTGCTGCACCATCAACGCAAAGCATGTGCTTGTACTCTTCATCCCCCAAATCCGCTATCGACTTGGATTTTTTCTCCCAAGGATTCCAAACAACTATGCAATACCAAAGTCGGTGAAGATATAGTTAGTTTTAGTTGTTACACTACGTACGAAATGACACAAAACCAACCAACATCATTAAGCATTTCATTTGAGGTGTAAATGTAGCCTACGGGACCATACCAACATCTGGAAGTCCTTCCTTTCGTATCTCAAATGTTCGCTTCCTTTCATGGTCTAGAACAGCTACGCCATTGCCAGAGTCAAGATAGACCCGATCCACCTAAAACATGGGAAAAATAAGATTTTAGCAAGCCCATTAAATCTGCTTAGTACAATTAAAAAGTGATAGAGATGGACTTCAAAAAGAAACAAACAACAAAAAAGCCTTATTCATTCAGATGAAGTCCACTACGTAGATCATATATTGCCACTAAACTTGATAAGAAAAATTCAATTTTTAAAATATTATTTATCAGCTACATTAATTGTCTCACCTCCGACTCAAATGTCAAAGCATCTCCTTGTTCTGTGAAGAGCTCTTTGTTGTGTAGGTTGTCGAGGTAATCAAGAGTTTCTAACCCTTCCACCCTCACTTCGCTGCCAATAATCAGTAGAGATTGTGCTTATAATTCAAAGATTAAACTTACCATAATGAAGAATTTATGAAAAATTAACTTTTTTTAACAAGCTGATCCTTGATAATAAAATCATTGTCATCATAAAATTACTGGAACTGCATACTGTTAAAGACCTGATATCAGAGATAGAGAAATATGTATGATACGCAAAGGAGAAACTGAAAGGCTTGCTGTTGATATTCCTGATGCGCGAAATCATAGTTAGATAACCATCTCCTGCCAAAGACACCCTTAAGCGAAGCTCGAAGCTGGACAAAATAATTTTCATTAGTATCCCAGATATTCTCTCTGATTCAACCGATAATTATAAGTTGTTTAAGGCTATAAGATGTAGCCCGTAGTGTAGAGTTAGGTGAGATGTGAAAAACATGATAAAATTCCCCGATGACATGCGTGTTTTGTTATTAGTACTCATGGACAATTTATTTTTCTTTTAACGCAAATTCTTGAACATATTAGAGTTTTGGGGTAGAAAATAAGGGCGTCTTCAAATCATATATGCTCATAATTGATATCCAAGTTTTTCACTTTTTATTTTCTCCAAATTGAGATGGTTAAAAACGCTAGTTCTAGAGTAAGTAAACTTGTTTCTTATTAATTCCGGACCTATGGGGCCATATCTTCAGATCATCTTCGGATGGTTTGAGCAGCAAGTCAATATAGGCCTTTTCACTGGAATCACTTGGAAACGGGGGAGGATCTTGATCAATAACCCAAATCTTGTTCCTGACAAATCCGTGATGCTCTAGTGATCCACGGTTTCCAAACTGCAAAAATTACAAGAACCCCACTTGTTATCTCTGTGTAATTTTTCCCTTGGATTTTTGTCTGTGAATAAATTTATACAATTCAGTATCAGACAGTAGTATTATCCAACACTAACTAATTATACCTCAGGGAAACAGATCGCAATTCCTCCTCGTAATGGTTTGAGAGGATTAATTATTGCCTGTGGAAAAAATGCCCATGAATACCGAGAAAATTTGCTAACTCTTGTCAAACTAATTAAATTGTAGTTACTATCTTCAAGAAAAGAAAAATACCTTACTACTAGTAAACAATAGCTCCTCGCCACGTTCCCTTTTCCATGAAAGAACCTGGCCTCCGTGCAAGCTAACCTAAAGCAGTACGCGTCACCCACTAACATCAATTCATGAAAGGGTATATAATTCTATTTCCACGACACTTATCTACAATTATTTTCACAATTAAGAAAAAGAAGAGATAGCAAAGTAAGATAAAATAGATGATGTAATAAAAAATAAAAAAAATATTACAAAAATTTTATGTGATTAACCTTTACGAAGATAGAGTTTTGTGAAGCAAAGTGTGAGGATGTGTAAATGGTTTGTGAGAGTTAAAAGAATCATACCCTTGCTGAAGCTCCTCGATGGTTCCGAAGAACCACTAGGCCTATCCCGTTCTTGTCTTTAGTAATTTCAACAGCTCCCCCGTTATCACTTGTGGCCCCAGAGTGATTCATGTCCAACCTCCACCCTGAATATGAATTCAAGCAAGAACTTCAAAACTGATTCCCCTGAACCCTGATAATGAGAAAATAAAATCAAAATTGATATGGCACAATAGGTTCAGCTGCCACAGAAGCAGGTAAAAACCCATGAGTTTTCCATGACACCTTCCTCGCGACAATTGAAACCACCAAAATCACAACTAGTCAATTACCAACTACCTTAATCTTATCTAAACAACTACCAACTACCTTAATCCAGAATGAACATAATTCAAAGCAGGATTTATAATTCAGTACTGTCTACACAATAGATTCAATACTGATTGGAATGAATTATGGGGGGAAAAAATTGGGTCTTGTCAACAAAAATGATCAAATCCGTGATTATGAGAAATAGTGGTTTCAAATTAAGCTAGCAATTAAGTAGTAATTAGAAGCGAAAATATTATTTACCTAAAATTGAAGCAACCAGATCAGAAATGAACTTGAAGGGTGGTGAGTTTCAACACCTGTTGTGAACTCTAATATGTGAGTGCGATAACAGAATTAACGACCCAGTTACTTGACAATCCGAGTTTGCTTTTTCATCCCCTCAAAAGAGTTTAGAATAAAGCCTAATCCAATCCAAACTTCAAATGGACCCCTTTTTAGTTCTTATGAAAATGAGAGATATATTATAGTGCTTCAAGTAAATGGGCTGTCACTGCAAGTGCTGATTGGAGAATGGAAATGACCCACAATCATTCACACAGTAAGGAGGGACACGAGGATAGTGACTACTACCCTTAATTAATTTTTCAAGTCATATTTTCTTTCAGTTTGTAAACATTATCTAGGAATAAGAGAAGTTTGTATTTCTCAATCACAATGTGGGTAATTCAGAGAGGATATAGGAGATTAGGGGTGGGAACGAGGACGAGGTTGATGGCCTTATCCTCCGGCATTGGTACACTTTCTGGTTCAACATGCATGAAAGTGATAACATGAAAATAATAAATTAGAAAATTCAATTGGTGAACAAGATTGCTCGAAGTAATCCATTAAAAACCATGTATCCAACACTTGTCCCACCCTTAATGCGAATGGTCCAACTCAGCTGTCCATGTCACTTTATAGATCAACCTGTATATATAGGAATGGGAATTAAAGCTTCGATTAGGGTGCCAGAGTCCATACAATACAACAGATTGACATGGATTTTCTTTATGTATACCCCATCTCAAATCTTTATGGATCCCGATTGTCTCTGGTCTAGGCGGTGAAAATGGGTTATTTTTGCTTAAAATCATGACAAAATGGCTTAAGCCAATTTTTATAAAACGGCTTAAACAAAAAAAAATAGTTTAAGCAAAAAATAGACAGAGAGTTTTAATTTTCACTCAATTTTCTCTTCTCCTTCCCCCTAAACATAACATTTCCTCCTCAACCTTCATATTCAACCTCCTTTAACTTTCATATTCAACTTTCTTCTTTCTCTTATACTTAACTCTTCTCTTTCCCTCCTAACTCTCTTTTCCTTCAACCTCATACCTAACTCCTTTCCTCCTCTTCTCATTCTCACCTCACCCAATACTTATCTTTCCCTCTTTTATCTATACTCAACTCTTCATTTTCTTCTTCTTCCACTGCCAAATTTTTTTTATGCAAAATTAGCTTAAGCTAATTTTTCTGGCTTAAGCTAATTATGTATTAGTTTAAGCGAATTATTTTATCTTAAGTGAATTTTGTGTATTTAAAGATATGAAGGCTGAGTGTAGAGAAAAGAGAGAATTAAGAATGGATGTAGATAAGGAGAGCGGGTGATATAGTAGTGACGGTGGAAGAAAAGGAAATTGAAGAGTTGAGTATAGAGAAAAAAGTGAGAGATAAGTATTTGGTGATGTGAGAATGAGAAGAGGAGGAGAAGAGTTAGGTATGAAGTTGAAGGAAAAGAGAGTTAAGAAGGAAAGAGAAGAGTTAAATATAAGAGAAAAAAGAAAGTTGAATATGGAGGTTGAATATAAAGGTTGAAGAGGAAATGTTATGTTTAAGAGGAATGAGAAGAGAAAATTGAGTGAAAATTAAAACTCTCTATCCATTTTTCGCTTAAGTCTATTATTTTTGTTTAAGCCATTTGTTTTATGAAAATTGGCTTAAGCTATTTTGTCATAATTTTAAGTGAAAATAACCTATTTTTGCTTAAGCGAATTTTTTGCTTAAACGAAAAAAAAAAAAAAACTAGAGGTCCAGTTCCTGTCTAAACTGGAGATAATCCAGATCCAGTATTTATAGAGTGATTTGTGTGAATTTCAATTCAACTCAATCAAAATTTGATTATGTATGAAATAAATTTGAATCAGTTTGATATGTTAACATAATGTGTTATAGTTAATATTATGTATAATTAAAATAAAGGAGCATATTTTATCAAAAAAAAAAAACAAATTAAAGGAGTGTATGATTATGATTATAATTATAATTATAATTAAGATATACTTTATAATATATTTTTTAAAATAAATTATAGCAATATAATATTATGATAAGTTGATATCAATTGAATAAAAAATTATTATTAAAGTACACTGTCTAATTTATTTTAAAAAAGTAATGTTTAGTATTTGTCATTAAATAATTATATAAATTAGAAAAAATAAAACAAAATATTTTACCAAGAAGGATTCTGTGGTATTAATTTTAGTAATCTTATGGGAAAAGTAAAAGATAAGTGTTACTATTATTTAATAAGTTTCGTTGACTTCTTTTTTTGTTGTTAACGTCAATGATCAAAATCATTATTTTACATTTAAAATGAAAACATAACAGTTGTTAAATTGGCTTAATATATTTAACCCTAATTTTAGGAGTAGAAGTTATTAATAAAATGTCACCGACCCTAAAAGCACTCTGGCTAGCTTCCCCGCAGATGATTCCAAATTGAACTCTACTTTTGGCATCAACTAGAGAATACTTCCAATATTAACTACTTATAATTACGTCAGTGTCTTTATAATCATTTACGTATAATTTGTATAAATTTTTATTTATAAAAAAATAATATGAAATTTATGAAAAGTCTTTATTTAATTTTTTAAAATTTTAAAAATATTATTTTTAACTTATAAAAATATTTTTTATATATTTTTTTAATACATTTGCAAAAATAACTTCTAATAGCCCAAATTATGCGCTTTCCTCCTTAAACCCTGGTTGCTGTTTTTCAAACATTCGAACTATGCATACATTTAGTCGTGTATGTACAGGGGAAAGCTAAGATTTATATTTTATAAGTTATAACTGTTGCCAATAACCACACAATATTTTTTGGAAGCTATTTCATTGGATGAGTTTAATTTTAATGTAAAATGTGAATATTTTTATACTATTAATTAATTATAACTATAATTTTTAAATAGTTAATATAAAAATTTTAAAAATTTAATGAAATATTAATTCATAATATAATAACAAGATAAAAATATTTATACTAATATATTAAAGTTAAATTAAAATTACATTACAAACATTCAAATTAGTCAGCCTTGTCAATGAATGTAATGCAAATGGGAGAGTTCCACTTTTAGTCCACTCAGAAAAAGCACCACCCATAAGAAAGAAGTAAAACAACATCAGAATGCTACCATTTTTTTCTCTCCAGGAGCAAGTTTAACATGTCTTTAGGTTAATTTTACCTTGTTATAAGATTTTAAAAAAATTGACAGTAATGACAAAAAAAATATTAAAAATAATATATATATATATATATATATATATAATTTAAACTCAGTTTTTAAGATTAAGTTTAAATATCTAATAATAAAATTTTTATTAAAAAATAAAATATTTATTTTATTTTAATTTTTTAAATATAATAAATATTTCATTTTTAATAAAAATAAATAATTAGATTCAGTTCTAAAAGTTAGCATTATGTAAATATGTCAGTGAAAGTTAAGTTTTTATCTGTGTATGAAAAATAATTTATTGAAAACAAAATTTATTTCCAGAATTTTTATATCTTAAAAAATGATACGGTATTATAAAAAAAATTACAGATTAAAATCAAACCACGTATTAAATTGGAAGTCATCTTGCTTGGTGATTCCCGAGTGTAATATCTAACTTTAAAAATACCTTCATATAATAATAAATTTATTAAGAAACAAAATAGAAATAAATAATTGTATAAAAAGAATAGAAATAAATAAATGTTCGGATTGTAAACAAAAACATGTATTTAAAATTGAAATTGTTACGATTGGAGATGCATTGAAAAAGAGCTGAGCTGGTCTAGGCTGTGGGAGTGTGGTGGTGATACGTATCAACCTCAATCAAGCAAATTCGTTTGCAGTGGATCGTCTTCCAAAATGAACGACACAGATGTATCGAAGCAAATCCAACAGATGGTGAGGTTTATCCACCAGGAAGCTGAGGAAAAAGCCAACGAGATCTCTGTCTCTGCCGAAGAAGTAACTGCATTTCCTTCTACATTTTCTCTTTTCATTCTACTTTGCTTCATATCACCATCCAATTGATGTTCTCCAATGGAATTGGAATCTTACTGTTTTTTTTTTATTTGTTCTGCAGGAATTCAATATCGAGAAGCTGCAGTTGGTCGAAGCGGAGAAGAAGAAGATCAGGCAAGAATATGAGCGCAAAGAGCGCCAAGTCGAGATTCGCAAGAAGATGTAACTCACTTACTACATTTCCTTCTCTACATTTTTGTTTTACTGTTCTTGTTTCCGCAAATTCGTGATTTCTGTGGCTTTTTCATCCGTTGACATTGGTTGAAATTAACCTACTCGTATAGCTCTTGATCCTTGCGTGTGATAGTATCACAGTGCCTATTGATTGGGTTACTGCTGGTACTGTTAATGCTTGATTTCTAGTCCAAAATCAAAACGTCTATTGGATCTTTTGCGGCTTGCTGTACTGCTCAGCAAAATCAATAAATGATTTTAAGCTCCATTTTGAAATTTTGCATTTGCAAAATGCAGTTATCGGTTATATTTAGAGAATGTTTGTTTTACCTTTTAAAAACTAAAAACTGTTTTTAAAAAGTAAATCAAACATACTCTAAGTCTCTCTTGTTTGGTTTTGAATTGGTTCGGTTTGATGTTCAGTTTCTTTCAAATTATTGATATATGTGATTAATTACTTGGATTCAAGTATATTATCAAAAGTATGACTAGAAAATATGTAAAAGAATTATGTTTTGTTTTGAGGATTGATTTGTTTCATGGTGTGATGGATGTATTGTACTCCTAGTTAGAAAAATACAGTGCTAGTTGAGATAGCTCAAGTTTTGTGGCGCAATTATTTGTTTCTTGCAGTGAGTACTCCATGCAGCTGAATGCTTCTCGGATTAAAGTTCTTCAAGCTCAAGATGACGTGATCAGTTCCATGAAAGAAGCAGCATCCAAGGAACTTTTGCATGTGAGTCATCATAGTCATCATCATCATGTTTACAGAAACCTTCTTAAGGATCTCATTGTTCAGGTTAGTAAAATTTTGAATATGGTACACCTACTGATGGTTTGATTTTTCTGTTCTGTGAAGTATTATTATCAGATTGTTGCTTCCATTTCATGTCATTGTACCTGGTAACATCAATGAGCCAATGTCAATGATTGTTTTGAATCATAACTATTTGGTATTTGCTGATATGGGAAGAAACCTTGGTCTTTACAGTGCTGTGTTTATATTACCTCTTTCAATTCCTACCCCCATCCCTCTACCCTTCATTTTCCCCGGTCTACATTACCTCTTTCAATCCTTTGTAATCTTATATTCTGTTATTATTTTATGGACTATCTTCTGTGCATGAGTATATAGAGTCTGGACTTGGAACATAATATAAGGATTGTGCGTTACAGAGTTTGCTAAGACTGAAAGAACCTTCTGTCTTATTGAGATGTCGGAAACATGACCAGCACTTGGTAGAGCATGTGCTGGATTCAGCTGTAAAGGAGTATGCTGATAAAGCAAATGTTGATCCCCCAGAGATCATTGTTGACAACCAAGTCTATCTTCCACCTGGACCTAGCCATCACAATGCTCATGATCCCTACTGGTAATGTTTATGTTATAACTTATAATTAAAGTATTTGTCTGGTCCAGCCCCTGTCAATCAGGGCTTGCTTCGTTGCTTTACCTTTTTTCTCTTGATTAATTGTAACACCATTATATTTAGGTAAAAAAGAATCAAGAGTTTCAAATCTTAAGATTAATTTGCATTTAGTGTTTGTAGTTGATTGCGGATGCTTCCTAAAATTGTATCAGCTGCTTTGATATTTAGTATCAGTTGTAGCACACCTGATTATATTTGTTGACATTCAGCTCTGGTGGGGTGGTGTTGGCTTCTCGTGATGGAAAGATTGTTTGTGAAAACACTCTTGATGCAAGACTTGATGTGGTGTTCCGTAAAAAGCTTCCAGAGGTAATTTTTTGTGCATTGTCTTATTCTGTGACTAGTATCCTCTTAGTTAGATATTTGCTGCTGAATTGTTTGTATTAAGGCCAGCTATTGAGCAAGGAAAAAAGACTAAGTTCTTCATAGATAACTCTCTGAACTTGGAGCTATTGCTCTTTCTCGGATAATTTCCATGTAGCATTATGATTCACTTTCCTTTCTCTTCATTCCTCTGTATAGTACACTTTCTATTACATTTTTTTGAAGTTATAACCAACTACAAATGGCTTGATTTGATTTTAAACCAGTGAATCTTTTTTTTATCTTTCTCTTTTTCTGTGTCTTTGTATTTACTAGACCTAGTCTAAAAAATTCTTTTCATCGAGTACAATTCTAGTCTTACATAACTCTTAGAACGATTTTACAATTTAAGAGAGAGACAAGAAGAAAGAGAAAGAAATGTGGGATAAGATAAGTAATGTGATTAAGAGAGAGAGAGAGAGAGAGAGAGTGAGAGAGAGAGACGAGTTGTAAAAAGTGTTGAAAAAACTGTTGTAAGTGGAGCATTACTCTTTTATTAATTTTTCCTCGCACTTTCTTTGTCCTAACAAAATGTACCATATTCCCGTGAATCCATTATTGGCCAATTGTTGCTATTATATTTTGTTGACTTTGTATATTGGTATTTTTTGGGTTTTGATGTGTCTTAATGGAGATTGTGTAGTTTTATTTATTTAATATAATGATCTCATGTAACTCAGAATTAAGAAACAACTACATACGTTAGCAATTTTAAGCGTAGTCTTAGGTTGAATTTGTGATAGCCACTCAATGATGTGTCTAAATACTTGATTCTTATGAAGTTTCTTGCTCCTTATTGCAGATCCGAAAGCAGCTCTTTGGACAAGTTGCTGCTTGAAGATTTTGATTGAACTGTTTCGCTACCCCCGGAATATTTATTTCCCGAAAGCTTGTATTTGACGAATACCTGCCATTATCATGCCATTGCTTCTTTTAAACTTGTTGCCTTTTAGATAGCACCATTTTTTTCAGTAGTACAGTTGTTCCCATATCGTATGTGATAGGGGCTTGCGGTGTTTTAGATTTTGTTTATTGGTGATTGTTATCACCTTGCCTAAACGTTTGGCTGTTTGCGCTCATTTCAGCTTTGAGCTTCTTGGTAATCAAGTAGCCAGTAATAATATATTTGAACATTACTGTCAAAATTGTGACGTGACGAAATATAATTGTTAGTCTAATGGGGTAACTGGCGGAATTAAGGGTATGTTTAGAGTGGTGGTAAAGAGTGGGATAAAATGTAATAAATTGACATTTTCCTGTATTTCATTGTTTGGATTGTGAAAATGTTAATGGAATGGAATAGATTTTATCTCATTTCATCTTATTTTTTATGTTTTGTTTCTCTCAATTTAGGAAGATATAACAGAATTAATATTATTTTATAAAATATTCAAATAATCGAGTAGTGGTTTTGTTCATTTAATTCCCAACCTTTAAATATTCTAACAAAATATAAAAGTATTTTTATACTAATTTAATATTAATCAAGGTGAACTACCGTAGATAACAAAATATACATAAAAAAAGACACTTGAATCATAGATATGTTTAGATCTTGCAAATCAGTATTTTAAAAGTGCTTATTAAAAAATTAAAAGAAAAAATAATTTAAAATTATGTTATACTAAAGAATGTGTATTAACAACAATTTTTTAAAAAATATTTTTAAAATTTTTTAATCAATATTCGTACAATACTTATTAACATTTATCCAATAATTTTTATTAAAAAAATATATAACAACAACCACAATAATAATAATAAAAAAGTAGGTAGCTGACCAGAGCAAAGAGGGGTGACTATGAGGTACATATTTAGGTAGTTGACTGATTTTGTGGCAATGGAAACGCAGTCGTTTGATTGTGAAGGGAGTTACCATTGAGCCCTTCTTGGAGGCAACGACGTCTACGGCACCTCCTCCTTGGGGATTAAGTCGCTGTCCCTTCACTCCCTCGACGAGTCCGCCATCCACCAAACCAAACAACCCCCCACTCCAAAAAGAACAACAAAATCACTCTTCATACTAACATTACTAATAGACAGTTCCCATTTGGATAATAATAATAACATAGCATTCGCATAGGTTCACTCGCATCACCTACCCTTCCTTTCCTTTCATTTCCTTCCCCCTCTTCTCAATCTCAGCAGCCATGGAGTCCGCAGCTTTATCGCGCATAGGCCTAGCGGGCCTGGCCGTGATGGGCCAAAACCTAGCCCTAAACATCGCCGAAAAGGGCTTCCCAATCTCTGTCTACAACCGCACAACCTCCAAGGTCGACGAGACCGTAGATCGGGCGCGCAATGAGGGCTCTCTCCCTCTCACCGGCCAATACAACCCTCGCGACTTCGTCCTCTCCCTCCAACGCCCCAGATCAGTCATCATCCTCGTCAAAGCCGGCGCCCCCGTCGACCAAACCATCGCCGCCCTCTCCGACCACCTCGAACCCGGCGACTGCATCATCGACGGCGGCAACGAATGGTACCAAAACACCGAACGCCGCATCCAACACGTCTCCGAAAAAGGCCTCCTTTACCTCGGCATGGGCGTCTCTGGCGGCGAAGAAGGTGCGCGAAACGGGCCCTCGCTCATGCCCGGTGGGTCTTACCAAGCCTACTCCAACATCGAAGACATCTTAACCAAAGTCGCCGCTCAGGTCGAAGATGGCCCTTGCGTCACTTACATCGGCGAGGGAGGTTCTGGAAACTTCGTGAAGATGGTCCATAACGGAATTGAATACGGTGATATGCAGTTAATTTCCGAGGCCTATGACGTTTTGAAGCACGTTGGTGGTTTATCGAATTCTGAATTGGCTGAGATTTTCGACGAGTGGAACAGAGGGGAACTTGAGAGTTTCTTGATTGAGATTACTGCGGATATTTTCAAGGTGAAGGATGAGGAGGGTGGTGACGGGTATTTGGTGGATAAGATTTTGGATAAGACTGGAATGAAGGGTACCGGGAAGTGGACGGTGCAGCAGGCGGCGGAGCTCTCGGTGGCGGCGCCCACGATTGCGGCTTCGTTGGATTGTAGGTACTTGAGTGGGTTGAAGGAGGAGAGAGAGAGTGCTGCGGCAGTGTTGAAGGAGGCAGGGTTGAATGATGAAATGGGATTTGCTAAGAGTGGTGTGGATAAGAAGCGGTTGATTGACGATGTGAGGCAGGCTTTGTATGCGTCCAAGATTTGTAGTTATGCTCAAGGGATGAATTTGTTGAGGGCTAAGAGTGACGAGAAAGGGTGGAACTTGAATTTGGGGGAGTTGGCTAGGATTTGGAAAGGTGGGTGTATTATAAGGGCTGTGTTTTTGGATAGGATCAAGAGGGCTTATCAGAGGAACCCAAATTTGGCTAGTTTGATAGTGGACCCTGAATTCGCTAGGGAAATGGTGCAGAGGCAAGCTGCGTGGAGGAGGGTTGTGGGATTGGCAATTTCGGCGGGGATAAGCACGCCAGGGATGTGTGCTAGTCTTGCTTACTTTGATACTTATAGGAGGGCGAGGCTTCCGGCGAACCTTGTTCAGGCTCAGAGGGACTTGTTTGGGGCTCATACTTATGAGAGGATTGATCGCCCTGGCTCTTTTCATACTGAGTGGACTAAGCTTGCTCGCAAGAGTGGGGCTGGAGTTGGTGCTCTCAATTGATGAATGGATGGATGAATGTCCTTTTTAGTGTGGTTAGTTGTTTGTTTGTTGGTTAATCAATGCAGCATTTGAGTTCTAATTCTAATTGTATGTTTCATTGAGGATCCTTGGTTGGTTTAGGCAGAGCTAGTATTGTTTCCTTGCTATAGCTGTTTTTGCTCTTTAATAAAACAAAGGCATGTCATTTGACTTCCACTTATGTAGGCTCCCAATTGTTCCCGTTTTTACATGTTTCCCAATTAAAGTTATATGTCCGAGCAGCCTTTGCTGCTATACATGAATTTGTTGACAGAATATGACGAGAGAAGTGTTGAAAATTTATGTATTATCGAGTCAACGATGGTAGGAACATTCTTTGGGCTGAGCCTTATGTTACAAGTGATCTTGGTATACGTCCTGGATTTTCGCTTTTTCACCCTTGTTAACTTCAGTATGCATGCACATGCAGGTGCAGTCTTAAGATTTTGGGCTTCTTGTTGAAGCCTTGATGGTCAGTTTACTAATGTTACCTTTCGGTAAATGCCAGCGCTAGCATGCTTAATTGATTGTTCTTTGGCTGCTTTTTCAGGACTCAGTATTGCTTTTCTGATATGGTTTCTTTAAAGATTTTATTGGAGTTTACGCTCCTTTTTTCGCTTCAGCTTAAATGGTACACTTTACAGTTGTATGTGACTAATTAACAAATGCAAATTGCTTCACGCCAATGTGACAGATGATGTGTTAATCGTGGCAATTGTTCCTCCCCGGTAGAACGTATTCCATACAAGAGAGTAAAGAGACTAATCGATAATAAGGCTCGTTCTTGAATATCTACAAAAGCAGTCCTTCATTTATGGTGAAAAAAATAAATATGCCTTGTTCATTGCACGGAATGGATCAATGGACGAACCTCGTTTGTTATACATGCACTAACAAAAGAGTATTAGTAAACTACAAGAGTAATTGAAGTAATTGGGCAGAAGGTTAAATGGGAAAATGTAATGCACTACTGAACACCGCTCTCAAGAACTGGCTGGGTTCTTGTCACTGCTGCGGATGGCATTTTACTATTGCCAACCCATCTACTTTCAAGAACCTGATCTTCATCGGCTTGTTTTTCCATGGCTTGAATCTTCTTGCTCCTGAGAAGTCTCAGAGATGAAAATCCTGCACAGCCCACCATGATCAACGCAAAAAATCCGAGCACAGAGCCAATCACCCACAGATACCATGGTCTCCGCTTATTCTCCAATGGGAACACAACTGAAAAATGACCCTGGTCTCTTGAGTAACATACGCCGGGGGAACTCATCCCAGTGAGTTGAATTGTTCCATTGGCATTGAAAGCTACACATCTTGCCCTTGAATTGATACCACCCATACCCATAAATGGATTATTGGGGAATTTAATAGATATAGGCTGCCCCATTGTGTTGAGAGTGAGGTTTCTCACACTTGTATCTGTTATATTTGAGGCATCAAAAACCATGAAGCCAACAACAGAAGTGATGAGTGAGTAACCTGGAACGTTATAGTAGAGGGAAGACCAATTGCCCAAGTTTTGGTACACAATAGCCAACCTCCTCACATGGGGAATGGACTTTGTTCTCGGTGGGATCCGAAAGTAGCTGAAGTTGGCACCTTTGTTCCAGAGCCTTCTGCTTCTGAGACGTACTACTGAAACATCCATACCTGACAGGTTCCGCGGAAGAAGAGCATCATATAGAGCACCAGTTTGAGGCCGGTGTTTGATCAGTGTCCTGAAAGCAAAATTTTGAACCAAGGAATTTAATGATTCACTTGCAGCAGTGTTGTCCAAGCAGTGCCCCAAGGAGCAGCAACACAAGTTGAAAATCAAAAGCCAGATGAAATCCCAATTCATGTTGGATTCCATCAAAACTGCGCCACAGGCAGAGAACAATTTAGACAAGTTTCTAAGGAATGAAGGAACCAAATTGGCAATCTGTTTTAGGTCTTGTTGCTTTCATTTCTTTAGTATAGTATTGAGCTTATGATAGACGTAAATATAGCACCAAGTTCAATGATGTTTACTTTTCCACAAAGAAGAAGCATGCTCAGATTTGGGTCCCAACCAGTGGCTCCAGAGCGAAGAAAGACTCAAAAAGTGGGTATTGACTTGGGGCATTCTGATTCCATCTGATGACTTAAGGGGCTTTCTGTGGTTCTGTCTGTTGGAGAATCTTTGTCACTACAATGTGAGAAGCAACTTTAGCATGCGTTGATTGCTCATTTTCTCTCCTCTATGGGAGGCAAATTCAGCAAATGGAATCATCAATAATTCCACTGCCCAAATTGAGGCCCGCCATGCTATAAAGAGACATCTTCAGGAGCCTATGAAACATTTAGGCCCATGAATTGGAGGCCCAGCCCGGAAAGAATAGTAACATAATTACAATGAAAACTGACTTTAGATTTCTGGACCCAAAAAATATATAGATATCAGATTTGAGACTTTGTTGGCAAATTTAAAATCGTTAACTTTTGAGTTTTGCATTGAATAGTTAAAGTACTGTTAGTGTACACGATAGTTAATATTGGCAGGTTTATACATATAATACTGGAAGATCACTTGTTTAAGGAATGAGATTTGACCATAAGGCATAAATTTTGTTTAAATTGTATTCACTTGAAAATTCATGAATACTTATCAATCAACTTTATTTAATCCATAATATTTTTTAAAAATATAAATAAATATTAATTATAAAATTACATGTGTTTATAAATGTTAATTTTATATAAAATTCAGTTTTTATAGTTATTAAAATACAATATATAATTTAAAAGCTAAATTTATAAAACTTTTATTTTAGATAAAAAAAGAACTATTGGGAATAACTGTTGAAGACTTATTTTTCAAAAAATTAATTATCTTTCTTTTGGATGATTTAACACATATTTCTTGCTAAAAATATTTTTATTGTCCCAAATAACAGTGCAAAATAAATGTCCTTAGTGGTATTTTGAATGCATAAATTACTTGTTTGGTTGCTATAATTTGAATTTAAATATATATTTCTTTATATTCAACTGTGCTAAATGCTCAAATTTAATATTAATTTACTCCATACATTTCAATACCACAGGAGATAATAAACCTAATCGGGCCCATTTTTGCATTGTTTTAAAAATTTGTTCCTTTAAAGTACTTTTTTAAATATACCTTCTACTGTTAATTTAATTTGATTATAAATTACAAAAAACATATCAATTTCATTTATAATATAATGAAATTCACTTATATTTTAAAATAATGTTTAATTAAATATTTTAAAATAGCCTAAATGAATCTTTTAGATCCTATGCTTTTTTATAGTTTTAATTAACTCCTTGTATAACTATTAAATTTTAATGAGATAATATTATTAATTTATTAAATTTTTTTATTATAACAAAATTTTATCAATATTTTTTATAAATATTTTCTTTAAATTTCTAAATTTTATAATTTCTAGGAGATAAATTTAACATTAAATTGAACGCCTATCATTTTTTTAGTATATTGATGCAGCAACTAAAATGTGTTAAATCGGAAAATATTACAAAATTAAAATATTCAAAAAAATTGTAAACTTTTTTTTGCAAAAAGTTTATATTTAAATTTTAATTTTTTTACTGTACAATTAAGTTTTTAGATACAATTTATATAAATATTTTATTATAAAAAATATTAAAAATGTCACTAAATTATTTTTAAAATGCTTAATAGATCTGTAATAATATTAAGGAAATTGTAAAAAGGATTTACTTTAAACAGTTTTTAATTTTTTTAAAAATAAAAAAAAATTTATTCTTTAAAATATTTTTATTATTTAAAATTAATAAAATCATTAAAATGAAATAAGTTTAAAAGAAAATTATAAACACAAATTCTAACTTGTAATAGTTGTTATAGCCTTAAGAATTTTTTTAAAAAGACAAAAACTAAACTAAATCAGAAACATTTCGCTTGCTTTGTCTTTGTAGAGTAGATTAGGTTAATGAGTTCACTGACAAACTAATAATTTAGGGGTCTATAGTAGCTTGGGTGATTTTACAATTGAAACATAAAATTGAGTTATTGAATAGCTGTTTTCTCTGAAATTTTATCGAATCGAAAGAGTGGATCTGATGTTTCAGGAAGAAGATTAGATGGATGGATGGACAGGTCACAAGTGAGAAGAGTATGAAAAAAGTGTGATTGGACAAATTGAAAAGAAACGGTGAAGAGATTGGGAAAGAGAGAAGAAAGAGTGAATGAGACATCCAAATTTCTTCCACATTTGGCAGTCAGCTTTTTCTCATCGATATGACCCATTTCTGTATGCCACCCACAATCTGATGTGATCGTCATACGGAACCAACTGCTGCCTTTACACTCTATTTCTATCAAAAATCTTTTTATTAAATTAATAAATTTTATGAAATTTAAACAAATTAATTTTTAATAGTATATATTTTTAGTGTAACGGTAGGATAGTATTTAGATGCTTAGATTTTCATTCATCAAAATATTTTTCTCCTTTTATTTTTTTTATTAGAAGAATTTTGTATTAATTTCACCATTTTTTATATTTTTCTGCAGTTAGATAAGACTAATACAATACAATAATTTTATTATTTTATAAGAGTTAACTAGCAAATCTTAAAAAAAAAAATTTAAATAATGTATCACATATTTAAAGACAATTTTAATATTTTACTTTTTAATGGATTAATAAGTTTTTATCAGTAAAATTTTGTGCATGTAATTAAAAAATATCATCATGTTAAAAGATAGTTAATTATGAATTTGTGATATTTAATATGGTATATACTTTACTAAATTGCATATTAGTAAAGGTTTAATTAAATTTTGATCAATTATATTTTAAAAGTATTAATAAAATATTTTTTTATAATTTAGGACTTCTTTGTTTTCTCTTCTTGAATAAATTATTTTATTTTTAAAAATAAAAAAACTTATTTGTTAATATAAATTTTAAAAATATTTATAAATAATTTTAAATTTTAAATTTTTAAAACTTAAGTGTTTTTATTTTATTTTTCTTTTTATAACTAATAAAATTTAACTAAAAACAATTTTAAAACTAACTTATCAAACAATTTTTATTTTTATTTATTTTAAATCATTTTATACAATTATTTTTAAATGTGATTTTAAAAATTAAAAAAAAAATTAAATCAAACAATCCTTTAATTTTTATTTATAAGTAATATCTATTTTCATTTTGTTACTTTAATTTTGTATTCATCTTTTTCTTCACGTATAACTTTTTTATTGTCATTTTTTATTTAAATAATAAATAATAAAAGTTGAATTTTATAATCTAATAGTCACGAAAGTATTTATATTCTTAAGCTTAAAATAATATTTTAAATATTTTATTAAAGTTATAATTTAATCAATACTATAAAATTTAAACTGTAAATTTGTAAATTATAAGAGTTAATAATTAAACCGATTACACATACTTTTTTTAAAACAAACAAAATATTTTTTTTTTAAGTTTTCAGATTTTACATATTTACCAGGCTAAAACAGTCTATTGCAGCTCCTTTCATATCATGTGAAAACCTAGGTGCAAATGATGTGCAATATTAAATTTGACCGTTAAAATTTATTAAAATATACTATTTAATAAAATTTTAAATTATTTATAACATATTTTGTGGTTAAGATTTAATATAAAGATTTAGATTATTATAATATATATTTTATGGTTGAAATTTAATATAAGTGTGTTAAAAGGAATAAACAAGCTTGAAAAAAAAAATTGAAACAGGCATGCCCTAAGTGTAAGTGTAAGTAGAGTCTTCAATTTTACCCTAGCACTTTTTTTCTTAAAATTTATTCCATGTTGATGTTGGTACAGATTTGAGCTGGTCTTTTAACAGGGAGACCAGGACTGATTGGTGAACATACTTTTTGTATATTCTTAAAAAAATTTCTTTAATGGGAATTTGAATTAATAACATTTTCCATTAAAAATAGAAAAAAAATTTACATAATTTATTTGCTTAATCATTATAACAGTAAGATTAAACTAAAATTTTAAGTACAACATATACTTTATGTATTTTTATTATTCTTGAATTTAAATTAATTTTGTATATTTATGTAATAAATTTATATATTAAAATTAACACTAACTATTAAAATAAAATTCTATCTTCAGTAAAAAATAATATAAACAATATTTAAAAATAACATGTTTATTGCATGATTTGAGTTAGTTAAAAAATGTTTTTGTTATAATTAAAGAATTTATGAACCTTTGTATTATTTTTATTTTATTTTATTAATTTTTATTATTAAATTTTAGACATATTTACTAAGTATTTAAATAATTTTATAATTAAATATGTTTGATTTATTTTTAAAAATTGGCCATGAAATTATAAAAACTAAATTACATGATTAATCAAACAACTAATTTGTGTTTTTAATGGTTTATATTTACTACTTGCAACAAATTCAAAACTAATATCAAGTGAAAGGGAATTTTTTTGTTTTAGTTTTGCTGTCAGATTTATACATTTTTATAAAGTTTAACCGTCAAGAACTGAACACAGAACCCTTTTTCTTCTCTTTTACCTTATAAAAAGCCCTTCCCTTCGTTCATCCCTTCATGAGTTGCTTGCTCTAGATAGAGGTTCGAGATCATCATGTCTTCCGTGAGATTTGAAGACTGTTATTATGAGTGCGTTTACTCATATTCTTACTTTGCTCCTGCTCTCGTCTCCTACATGATCCTTCTGTAAGATGTTTTTGCTTTAATTTCATTACTTTCTTCTTAAATACTTTGACCATAAAATCATCCTTAACCTTGATTAACGATGAGAATCTTACACTGTGACTGTTGAAAATCACACAGATCTATGCACTCTTAAACGATGCAAATAGAGACGAGTACTGAAGATGCTCGCTGTTTGGATGTTTATTGTATTGTGTGGTAAGAGAGCTTTCTTCAGTTCACTCATGGGTGGTAGTAAGATTTAATTAGCTGCCGACTCATTCATCCAAATGTTGAGTAAAAGCACAAAAGATACTCAGCAAATGAGTGAATGATGCGGGAGACAAATTGAATCTTAAGCTTCCTGTACTTGGACTGAAGGGAGCTCCCTTTTCCTTTCTACATAACCATAACCCTCTTTTTTTCTCTCTCTTTAATTTCTTTTGTTCTATTCCTTGTTACTATTTCCTTTTTCTATTCTTCATATTTTGATTTGCACAATCACCATCTGGCTTTTATCAACTGAAGTAACTTTGAAGTCCATGTGGAAAAAGGTTTAAAGGCATGCTGATCCAAATTATGCTCCATAACTGTTCACAAATTTTGCTTAATTTCTGAAGACTGCTTAGGAATATTTATCTTTTTATTTTGGTGTAACTTACTATTTTGCTTTACACAGAGCTGGCGTGGCATGTAAGATCTTTGGCAATATTTTCATTACAAAGTACTTTATGGTTGTGGGGTTGTCAGA